GAAAAGTTCTGTCTACTACTACTGTATTTACTAAACAGATTAGCTGATCTGTTAAAATAGTACTATTATATTATTATTATACTACTAAAAACAGCTGCATATAAAGGGGAGTCTAATTATTATAAATAATCTCTAAAAACATACTAAACCACTAACAGCTTGCCTATATATTCCTAACAGAAGAGTTGTAATATTAACAACTTAAAAACTACTTTCTTTAGTATTTAACTTCTAGAAACTTGCTATATCTTCGGAATAGCAAGGATTAGTCTTAAAATCAATAGACTGCTACTATTCTATACCTAACTGACCTATTTTCCCTTAACAGCCTGGTATATAACTGGTTTTAGTATTTCTACAGATCTAAGGGTATATATATCTCAAAAAGTGTATAGTTGGAGGGGGGCAGGCAGTATAGTATAAAATAAAATAAAAAATATTATTATTATTATTATTTCTATTACTTATATAAAATTAGGTAGCACTATCTTTATTTATTTTTATTATTTTTTTTATCTAAAAGAAAATAGGGATTAGATAATTAAGCTTAGCTATTACTTCTCTGCTTTTAAATATATATAAAGATATTTTAGAAGGGGGGGGGCGATTAGTAATAATAGTAATAATAGTTGTTAAAAAAAAAGAAAAAAAAAAGAAAAAAAGCTTACTAAAAATTATAATACAGAGAAGATTTAATCATATAAAAAAGTAGACTGTATAAAAGACTAAATATTATTTTTAGAATATATATACTTATAAATTAAATAAAATTCTATATTCTGCTGTTTTATTTTTATTTTATATTTTTAACATATATTTCTACTTTGTATAATAGGGTGGTAAGGGTAAGGCAGAAAGTAAGTATTTCTATATATTATTTATCTAATAGTACTAAAATTCTTAAGATTTAGTAGTTTTTAAATTTATAGTTTTTTAAATAATTTCTTTCTTATCTTTAAAGGTATAGATAGTTTTATTTAAATATTAATTTTTTTTAATAAAAGGCGTATGCATACAGTGCTTAATATTAATAAAAATCTAATAAACTTAATTTATTAATATATAAAACCAAGCCTTTAGAAAATCACCTGTTTTCTGTATAGTATTAATTTTTAGATTTAAAAAAACAGGCTTTTTTCTAAGCAGGCTTATTACTAGTTAAAACTTATTATTTTTTTATTATATATACTATCGCCCTTGGTATAGGCAGGGAAGAAGATCTTTAAATATTAAATTAGTTTATCAAAAATATTATATAATTAGAAATATAAGTTTGGATTGATTTTAGAAAATAGGACTATTAGTATTATATAAAGCTTTATATAGATATAATAATAAATCTAAATATTATAATTTAGTTAAAGGTATATTACCAGTCTCTAGATTTTTATAAAGTTAAAAATAGAAATTAATAATTATCTAAAAAAATCTTTACTGGTCTCTACATTATATAAGAGCAGATTAATAAATACTTTTACCTTTTATACAAGTAAAAAACTAAAAGGAATTAGAAGAGCTTAAAATACTTATTGTTATAGGACCAAGGCCCTGTTATAGAGCTCGGCTTCAGGCACCAGTTGGCACCTGAGGCCTTGCATACTAAGTACTAAACTAGCACTAGCTTAGCGCACACATAAAAGAATTTTGTACAAACAGATGAAATAGCTTCTCAGCTATTTCTTCTTGTTCTAAGGCACGTTTCGATTAGCACAATCCATCCGTCCCGTAACATAATAGCTGTAGAAGATTTATTCTATTAATAAAAAAAGATAATTTCAGCCTTAAAAGGCTCAAGATTAATATACAGAGGCATAGCTGATGGAATAAGAAAGAATATATATATAGAAGAAGAATAAAACTTTATATAGTTCTTATTTGGAAAGCAGTAAGACCTGCAGTAAAGAGACTTAGCAGATGAAATCTATTTGCCCGATGGCCGCAATAGTCCGCCGTACACCGAGAGTAATGGCTTAATCTATAGCACTGTCTCGTATTACGTACTTACTGTGGCTTTTTGCTATATTACCTACTCAGCTTCTACCTGTCTTGATTTCTTCCTCAATCTTGAAGAGTGACCGGGGAGAAACGGCTGCAAACAGCAAAACTATGGACCTTGAGAGAGATTGTTTGAATGAGTGTATTTCTGTAGAGGGTTACTGAAGAAACGCAACTAGTCGCTGGCGGAAACCCTGGGTTGTATAGCCTACTTATTGGTTAAGCAATTCTGTTTAGACACATACGACCACAGGGTGTGGAAAACAGGGCTTCCCGTCCGCTCAGCCGTACTTAAGCCACACGCCGGGAGGTTAGTAGTTGGGTGGGTGACCACCAGCGAATCCCTTCTGTTGTATGTTTTTTTGGCCGTTTGTTCTTCTTTCACGTATCAAACCATGAATACATGTAATCACGGCATCACGCACAAAGGGCACTGCAGGCGTTGGTGCGCTCTCTATATGTCGGGATATATGACCCATGGTATAAAGCTGTCTGTACGAGGGCCACAGATCATAGTATGTACAGCCGAGGGATAGAGGTATAAATGTCACAGTAATCCCTATACGTGCGCAAGATTATAGCCATGATAGTGACTGGAGTGGTTGCGTTGGGCTGTCTAGCGCAGCGGCGGCCGAGTCGGCTGCTAACAGGCCGCTCTCTCTCTCACGAAGGCATTTACCCCACGACTGTGGTCATAAGCATGGAGAGAAAGGTTGGAGGAAAGGAGGATGCAAATTCTTCTTGTTGAACTAAGGTAGCCCGGGATACAGGTTTTGAAAAGCCGTGGGCTTTTATTTAGAATACTTATCCTTTTCCATAGTCCACAACCATAAACCTGGTTAAAGCCTGGGGCGACAAGCTCCGTCCTGGCATTGTTTTACCCAAGTACACTCTTTCTTTGCTATAGCTTGAACTAACTACCGCGTCATTTCCTGCTCCTTGTAAGTAGCTTTCCGATCATGGGACACTGTTACAGGGATACTCTATCATTCACATGCAGTGAGCATAACAGAGGATAAACAAGCCCCAGTAGCCGCATGATTGCTTTTTTTCTGTGTCATAGATGGCGCAATGCAGAAATCAATCTGTTATATTGCAAGGACCATTATGGACGCAGAACTGAGTATCTGCCCCACCCACAGTCGATTTCAACCAGATGACACAATTCTGTTCACAATGATAGCAGGTCAGGGAGCTACTGTACGAATGGCAGTCAGAAGATATGAGATCCAATGGACATACATCGTGTTTCGTATTTGATGAGGTACTTTGAACAGAATGGGTCTCAATCTTTACCCACTAGTTAAGGAAGAGGGCCCTTGGATTGTGACGTCAATATCGCAGAGCCTAGACCAAGAAGTTAGTATGTACAATACCAAGAGGAGCACTTACTGTACACTCTTCTCGTTATGAGTACAAAGGAAAAGAATATTCTTGTGGCGGCCAGACGTTGTCTTGGTCCAGTTTAGTCTGTATAGTTAGTAGGTAACGTAACACTCCCCATCCACAGAAGAAGCACTGTGATAAGCCTATCATCAGACAACCCCGTAAGCTTGGATCTAGACTAAACCCTTGAATAGAATAAGTTTATCACAGAACCTTGTTCCGCAAAGAGTACGATTTCTTCTGCGTGTCTGATCGTATAATGTTCGTGTCTTCCTTTAGTTCACTAGTGATATTGTGAATGGGGCCCACAGAAGCTATACGAGCGACCTGCAGACACAGGTCTTCGCCTAATGATATATCCCGGGATTTAACAAGCCTATCCTGTAGCGGGACCAGACCGCAATAGAAGTTTATCTAAACTAAAATCTACTGATCTTTCGGCAGCTGTATGTACCTATTGGTAGCTATGGTCAGTTGGAAGGGGATTGTGAATTACCTCCAAAGACGCCAATGTTTCTCTTTCACATATGGGCAGTTGAATGCATGGCGCTCACTACGCTCAGCGTTCTTGAGGAATATCTTAGCACTAGAAGCAAGCAGGGATCCGGGTGGGTACGAGTGTGGTGACCTGTGTGATAGAAACAACAAATCCAGGCTCCATGACTTTTTGCCGAAGGTGAATTACATTTCTGGGGTGGAAAAGCGGACGTCATATCACTTACCACGGGTCCGACCACATCTCCTTTCCGCTTGCCGAGCTGCAGCCGAGACATTCGTATCTCTGCTTTGTAGTGGCAGTATAGCATGAAAGCCAATTTATCATTAGAGCAATGCAAGTGAACGAGCTTAGGCCAAGGAACTGATAGTGTGAAGGCCCGGCCTCCTGGTTGGCTGTAACAGCTCACCGCCATCGGCGGCCCTTAGTTAGTTTCATAGAGATAGCTTGAATTCATCCATCTTCACGCTTCCTCAGATAGTGTAACCCAGCCAAAACTTGTGACAAAAATACGTAGTTCATCTGGATTTCTGCGGGTGGTAGCAGCGAGATATTACGAGATTTCGTATTGGAGCCACGTCAATTTGAACTGGACGAAAACGGCTCTTGGAAGCTCTTAGTTGGGCAAACAAACTTAGAAGTTTAATTACATGGTGCTTCCGCGGGTCTATAGATTCACTTAGTCAAGCTGCAGGAAATTAGGTTGGGCTTGTCCAATACAAGCAGTGTCGAGTTGGGCCAAGAAAAAGCTTATAATTCATTGAACTTTCATCCCATGACTCCCTATTTATAATGGACAGTTGCATTTTCAGATTGGTCATCTGATGTAAGTTAAGTTATCTGACCAGGATATGCTCGTAATTATTTCCAAAACCACGGTTTTTGTCCGAACAAAGAAGGTTTCAATGCTTATATGGCCATCGCTCCTTAGAGTGACTCTATACCATGATTCGTCATTCACATTGCAGGCAGGAGGCTTTTGACTTAAATCTGAATCAGTTCGCGCCTATATGCAAAACGATTATGGATCTGAAAACTTGCCATAATTCTTAGCACAACCCCCTTTTGGTGTTCGCTCATATAAGATATATCATCTGTACTATGTCATCTAAGAAGCTTCGAAATGTCCGCGAGGTGAGAGGCAAAGACAAAGTGGAGGGACTCTTTCTGGTTTCTCCTCCAAGAGAAGGATCAAATGAGCACCAGGCAGGAATCCAAAAATTGGCTAAGTGAATCTTCGCTGTTAAGAGTACAGACAATTTGGGAAGCTGATCATTGTAGGGTGATTCTTGTACATGATGTAAATGGTCATCCATTCAACAGCTGGTCCAAAAGGTACACAGACAACTTTTGGCCAGAACTGTTGTACAAGAATTTGCCATGCTCTAGAATCTTGTCATATGGGTACATTACAAGTCCACTCTACCCATTGACCTCAGCTGCGAGCATATTCTTTCGGTATCTTGACATACTCAAGGTATACAACCGTCGATTCGTAACTGTCTGATGCATCCTTTCACTAAGAACAGAATCAGGAGGAATTGGCCGACCACGAAAATGAAGGGCGAACCATATTTGTTGCCATAGGCTTGGGTGGAGCCATTGCCAAAAGGGTATGATACTTTATAACATGCTCTGACTGAGAAATTTACATCTTATTTGACAGATATTGCTTGATGCTCGCGAAAGTGTTACACATTGGATCTGGGAAAAATGTGATGGAATTATCAACATCCACCCAACTGCATCCTCATACCGTCTACGATCCGGCATTCGTCTCCCATATGACAGGAATCTAATGAATGAGGCTCAAGTTATAAACAATGAATTTCAAACCATCTCATCTATGGTCAACACTGCTGACATTAGAAATACTCCTCGTCGTTTATTTGTGAGTCCTTCATTACACAGGTGTCGCAAAGTGTCTAATGGTCTGTAGCAATCACCAGCAGAATCTTCGCAGGAACATGAAGGCTCCTTTGAAACAAATACATACGAGGCATATTCACAGTCAAATGACTGGTATCGCGTGCTTGATGAAAGCGATGATTTATTTATGTTCATACTTGACAAAGTGGTTACCTGGTTACGACGGGGCCAGAATATCTCCGCCAATACTCAGTTGAACACGCGAGCGGACCCCCACCTTCGGATACTCAGCATTGGTAAGGCCAAAATAGATGATCGTCGAATTACACTAACAATTATAGATGGTGGCGGGGTACGAGGTTTGTGCTCGTTGCTTGTCTTAAAGCGTCTCATGACTGCGATACGTGACTTGGAAGTTAGCAAGAGACCTGAGACCAAGGACGAAGCTCGAGAACCAGTAAATTATTTCCAATTTGCTGGCGGAACAAGCACCGGAGGGTCAGTAACGCTTTCACTTCCAGTAAGAACATTGAAGCTGACCTGGAAGGATAGATTAATCTGCATTATGCTGTTTCGACTTGTAAGTTCTGTCCTTTTAGAGTGGACATGAAAGTATTAACTTCGAGAAGGAGATGAAGGTGTCCGATGCCATTGAGGAATACAGAAGACTTTCGCCAATCATTTTTCGCCAGAGGTGGACACGTTTCCTGGGTTCCAACATGTTGAAAGCTGCTATTGGGAGACCCTGGTTTGATGGAAAGGCCCTTGAAAAAGGTATAAGGGATTTGTTGATTCGTAATCTCCCTGCTGCTGAGAGGAGCCGTCTGCAAGACGAGATGCCGGATGAGGTACAGCTACACTCAGGAAATAACCAACGTGTGAAAATGTGAGTCAGCCCTGGTGAGTCCCACTCCACAAATATAACACATTTTCCAGGTTTGTATGCGCGGTGAGGAAAGATAATGCTGCAGTCACACGATTCAAGAACTATGGGCAGCCAAATGCATGTAAAGTGTGGGAGGCTGCCACCGCTACTTGCGCGGCTCCGTTCTATTTCCCGACGGCAAGGGTAAATGGAATCGGATACTGGGATGGTGGTTTGGGAGCAAACAACCCGATATCTCAGGTGTGGCTTGAAAAGAAGTTGCTTTTTCCCAAACCAGACACTAAGTGTGTCATTAGTCTGGGAACAGGACGTCCTGAAAAAGTCACTAAGTCATGGATTCCATTGATTGGACGGGCCAAAAGAGTTCTTGGACATTTGATGAACACCGAAGTAAAACACAAAAAATTTGAGGACAAGGCTCACAAGCACGACATATTTTATCGGAGATTTAACCCAACCACTTCTGATCGTGACATCGGAATGGCTGATCATAGACTCCTCGATCTACTTGAGAGTTACACAGATGCCTACCTTGATGCAGATGACATTCGGGATGATATTTGGGATTGTGCTAGGCTATTGGCGCGGTGGCAGGACGAATAGTGTTGCGGAGGATCTTGTTTGCATTGAAATCTAGGGGGAGACAGCTCTAATGTATTGATGAAACAATCTCTCAGAAGAGATGTGCAACAAGATTGGCTGGCTGAAACGCGTGATACAAATTATGGATATGATTAAAAAAGATTATCCTAGTGGAGTTGCTTTCCCCTGACCTTATAGGCGGTAAGAAATGGCAAATAGCACCACTGCCAGCCAACAGCATTCGCCTAGCATCCAGGTGCTACTCATACACCTAACCGTTAGGCCATGAGCATATGAACACCATGCATAATCAATTCTAGATAATTCTATGATACCTATCGTGCTGGACAGGTCTTGACGGATCACCTCATACGTTCTTGTCTGGAATAGGGAGACACACCAGAACAATATTATCTAGATAACGTACCGGGCAGCTGCTGGCCTAGTCTGCGTAAGCCATCAGTCCCTCGGAGGCATACAATCTTATATGGCTATGCATCTCGAAGTCGCTGCCTGCGACCAACAGCCCTTTACTCAGACTAAGAATTATATACACAGACTCGTTTGCGCCATTATTGTTCAGTTGAATATAACTTTCCGTCACGATGCAGTAGCTCTCACACCGTAGCTCACCCTAATGGCCACCCAACTTTGTCTGTGAACCGATTTGCAACTTGTGCAGACTTTATCGAGACTCTTCCAGATCCTTAGTAGTCCCCAACGTTTGGTGGTTGATGTGTCAAGACCCTGAAGTAGCAGATAAATCGTCAAGAAGGATGCCAGCCACATAACCTGATACAATACACCCACTGTAATAGGAGACCACTGTATCCCATCGAAGACACTTGCATCACCAATGCCTTCCCGTATCTGGTCCCTGAATGGCCTGAATCTATTATCATACGCCTGGAATACCAAAATAGGAGAGTATGTCACAATCGTTTCTTCCTCTCCTCGCACAGTAATGGACCCATAGTATCTCCCAATCTCCATGCCAGGATATAGGCACCGACGATCGCACTCGAAGCGCCCATGCCTGTGCGTGCCGAAGGGAAATAGGCCGCAGGTGGTCCTGATACCACGGATTCAGTTGGATCAGACCTTGTCTCTCGCAGTAGTTCACCAGGTTCCATCAGCGATTCCAGAATCGTATCGAGTTCCACACCCGCTCCTTGACAGACGTCTGCGGACGCCTTATTTTTCTCATCAACATCTTCAGATTGTCCGTCACACTGCTGTCGGTCCTTTACACCTGAATACGACGCGGATCATGTTACCGGGTCAGAACAAACCGACCTCCGGCCCTCACAATCTCCAAGCCACCGGTAAGGTTTTACAACCCTTGACCATAACTGTTGGCATGAATATAAGCCCGTTGTATTCCCGAGAGGTCGGCTCTCCTTCAAATTGAACATTTCTGGTGCAACCCTTACCAACGGTACAGCTACTCTTTCAACATCCTCGAGCTTAGCACTGCCCCCGACCCCGGTACCCTCTCGATGCACGCGACTAACTGCACTCCTTCTACTAAAAGATCCATCCCTCACCCAAGATCGCCATCAACACACCCCGTCTTCTTTTTTGCTGTACCTGCGGAGACGGCAGGGGAAGTGTGAAATTGGAGGGGCATGGCAAGAGCTATGCCCGCCTTGGCCATGTACTGCTTGTACGGGTAAAGACGAGGCCAGCTTCGACAGCGACGAAGCCCGGATTCGCATGTCGAACATCCTCCCCGAGGTCGGGTGACTTTGGTTACCAGGAATTTGCGGGATTGGTAATCTCTGCTCCATATGATATAACTTCTTGAGGCAGTATATATCCATCCATCTATCTACTCGCTCCACTTCCACTTTCGAGCGTCTTTCCCTCATCGTCCCTCAAATGCCTTCGATCTTTGGCCCCAACACCCAACCACAGCAAATCCGGCCAGCTATAGTGACCCACTACATCCACAAACGCCTTGGCCTTGTCGATCTCATCTTGATCAAGGTCCGCATAGATGATCCCCTCCTCCGTGGGAGGAATGAGCTCCGACAGAAGCCGTCCGTCCGGCCTAGCGGCGTGTCCACGACGCTGTCGAGACACTCGGCGGACGCGTCGCCGAACGAAGTCCGTGCGCTCCATGTGCGTCGCCTTGATCTTGCGGCGGAGGGTGAGGATCGCGCCCGTGTGGGAGATGCTGGCCTGCGAGATGCAGAGGCTGCCGTGGAGGTGTTCGGAGCACGACGAGGATGTTGTTGTCTTTGGCGGCGGCGGTGGTGATGCGTCTCATTTGGGGGGAGTCGGTGCGCCGGGATTTGCGGATGTAGATGATGGTTGTTTGGTTTTGGTTTAATACGGTGGTTTCCCTCGGACAGCATGAGGTCGGTTTTTTTCTTTTGCTTTCCGTCCCGTTTCATTTCTCTTTTTCTTTCTTTTTTTCATTAGGCGGGGACATAGATAAGTAGGAAGAATACATCAGAACCAGGTGGAGTACCCCGGAAATCACCACTCGGGGAAGGCGATGAGCTGGGCCCCCTGCGAGGCAGCCTCGGCGATCAGAGCGCATGTTTTGTCGACCGTTGCGTCGAGGTCGAGCCAGACGGGTTCAGCTTGGGTTGACGGCGACGCCGATCTTGGTGGAGGGTGGAGCTGCCATGGTAGTGGTAGTGTTTCAGTTACTGAGTAAAGGTCTAAGTCGGCAGGCGATGGTGGACGATTGAACTGGTGGACATACGTAAATAGGATGGGTTAGGGTTGAAATCGATATCCCCGATAAGTAACGGCTGTGACCACTGACTGTATAGGCCTGGCTAAAGAATTGCACAGCTAATTAACTTATCAGAGCGGGCGGTGGGTTTCCGCCAGGTGATTGGTAGTCTTCTGGGTGGCCTCTTTCATCTCATTACCCTAGTTGAACACAATCGTCTTGTTGATCACTCGAAGTATGCCTATCATCGCCGTACTCCAGGTCGATATCGCGGCGGAAGCTGAAATTCCGCCGCTATCTGAACTTGGTTACTACTAACCTTATTGGGAGGGGCGTCGGGGCTGATAAGATCTGATTGATTCTAGCCAGATAACCCACGAACAAACCCAGCATCTTTAGTGTTGATCATTACTTATCCCACATGGGCAGTTGCAGTGAGAGAAGATTGTGGAAAGACTTTTCCTCTCAAATCTTTTCTAGTTGAGAACCCCCTTTAGGTAATTTTCTGTCTTGTGTAATCGCCTTTGTATGGGTGATGAGGCACTTTTAACAATCAATATGCTAAGTATAATTATCTCTCCTATTGATATTGGAAGGATGATTGCTGCTGAAAATATTGTATTAATAGATCTGTAAGGTAGACCGTACCTGCAGTGCAGGATTGATCAATACCCACCGGGCCCGAGACAGAAAGCCTAGTAGTAGAAGACAATCATGTGAAAGATCAACTTTGAGAAATAAATAATTAGCAGAGTCCGGTCCACTGCATGCTATAATAACAAGTAACTTCAAGTAAGGCTCGACTTCCTCCTCCTCAGCAAATCACGCGTCTCGGACCACTCCCTAATCCTCTTCCCCCAAAAGAACATCGCCAACGTCGTAAGCATAACCCCCACGCTCACAGCCCCAAACGTCGAGAAGAAAACCAGGGTCCCACTCTCACCCACGAAATCATTGAACACAAAGGACAGCCCAAACGCAAACGCGCTCTTGGCCACCATCGCGAGTCCAAACGCATCCCCTGCCCGCTCGGCGAAGACATCATTCGTGTACGCCACGATTCCCGTACACCCCATGCCGACGGCAAAGTTGATGATCGCCATGAACACCCCGCACACGACGGCACTGTCGCCATGGTCCGTCGCGGCGCCCAGCCCAAATGCCCCGACAGCCATGGCGATCGTTGCGGGGAGCAGCACCGGGAGCCGGTACTCGGGCTCGTATACACCGTGTTGGCTGCGAGTGGCCATCAGGCGGCTGCTCAGGTCGCACAGCCACCCGCCCAGCACGGTGCCCAGGGCGGACCCGATGAGCGGGGCGATGCCGGTGAGATTTCCCACCGCGACGGTGGACAGAGCCCACGGAGCAGCGGTGAAGATCTGCGAGGCCACCGCGCCGAGGAGGATGGTCCAGGTGAAGGTGACGGACCACAGGATGCAGCCCCAGATGACAATGGGGTCGAGGAGGAGGGCCAGGGGCTCGATAAGCGCGAAGATAAGGTTGCCTCGTTTCTCTGAGATGGGGAGCGGAGTTATGACTGGTGAAGGGCTGGCCCTCTCTTCTGCGTCGAGGTTCGTGGTTTCGGACTTAATGTCTGGGGTCTTTTCTGGATCGGATATTGTAGTGATGGTCGTTGTGATGGTGGTGGTGGCGGTGATGGCACGGGGAAATGTGGTTTCGGGGAAACATAGGATGATGGCCACAAGGAGAACACCGAAGAGGATGGCTTCGAGCCAGAAGGCCCAGCGCCAAGAGAGCGCCGTGATAACGTATCCGCTGATAACCGGGGTGAGGTTGACCGAGACGATGACGGCGAAGTTCCACTGGCCGACGCGGCGGCCACGTTCGGTGATGGCGAAGACATCATTGATGGAGGCAGTGCCCGCAAGGGCGAAGAAGCCACCCATCCCCAGTCCTTGGAACACACGGGACGCGATAAGTGAAGTGTAGGATTTTGCTGCTGCCGCCCAGCAGCACGAGATGAGCACCAGAAGGGTGGTAAACAGGTAGACCGGCCGCTTGCCGAAATAGTTGGCAAAGGAGGAACAGGCGTAGGCGCTGACTCCGAGGGCCATGACTAGACTTCCATTCAGCAGGGTCACGCTAGTGAGGTCGACCTGGAGATCGGCGGCGACAACAGCAAAGCCGGGAACGAGCAAGGGGCCCAGGGAACCGGTCGCACAGGAGCCCAAGATGATGGTAGCGAAGAGCAGTTCCTTGCGCAGGCGGCTCCAAGTTGATGGATCCGTGGAGGAGATCGATGGTCGCGAGAGTCGCTGGAATAGCTGCAGCATTTTGAAAGACCTTGAATGTTGAAGGTTATGAAGACAACCTGGAAGGAAAAGGCCTGTCTTGCCTGCTTTGGGGATATATTCGGTAATATAGGTTGTCAGTTTTATACGGGCATGCAGTGGCAGTAGGGGCAGATAAGCTATCCGTTACGTTATTATCACAGCGGAAGACCCGCTTCCGCTGCCCTCAACCCGGCGGAGCATCGATAGCATGGTGTTCAAATAGCTTCAAGGTTGGCCGTGACAATCGGTTTGGCATTCAAGCAGCCACCGAACACTAGCGAAAATGCGTCGATTTCTGAGCTGGCAAGGCCTTAGTGTTGCCTGGCTGCTTGCCTCCCCCAGTTTTTGCACTACTGGTCTGCTGGCTGATTTCCAAGGTATGCCATGCCACCATCGCCACCCACCACTCTACCACCGCTGACCTTCCCCTTTCCAGTGGACCTTCAAGACTGGACTGTGGCGTACAACAAATCAGTCGCGGCGGTAGCAACTCTATCCGATGCCGACAAAATCCGGCTGATCTCGGGGCAAAGCGTGCCCTCCATCAGGTTTGAGCCCCTGACCAGCAACGATGGCTCCCAGGGGCTGGAAAGCTTCTTCTACGTCAGTTCGTTCCCCGAGTCCTCGGCCATGGCCCAAACCTGGGACCCCGAGCTTATTCGGGCCGGCTTCCACGCAGTCGGCCAGGAGTTCTACGACAAGGGCTACACCATGGTCAATGGACCCACCACCGGCCCGCAAGGCCGGACTCCCTGGAGCGGCCGGTTGGTGGAGACTCTCGGGCAGGACGTATACCTGGCTGGCATCGCCTTTGCCCACGCCACGGCGGGCATCCGCGACGCAGGCGTCATCCCCTGTGGCAAGCACTTTCTGCTGAACGAGCAGGAGACCAATCGCTCCGAGGTCTACTGGATCGACAACGCCGTCACCGTCCCCCGCAATAACACCGCCTACTCGAGCAACGCCGACGACAAGACCTTGCATGAGGCCTACCTGTGGCCCTTCTACGACGGGGTCAAGGCTGGACTGGGCGCCATTATGTGCGCTATGAATCGTGTCAACGGGAGCTATGCCTGCGAGAACCCAGCCCTCCTCAACCAGATCCTCAAGACCGAACTCGCATTCCCTGGCTTTGTGACCCCGGACACCTCAGGTCAGCACACAGCCCTGGGCTCTGCCAACGGCGGCTTGGACTTTGGCGCCGCCTCCTTCTGGAACAACCAGACCCTCCTCCCTGCCCTCGCCAACGGCACCCTCTCGCAGGCCCGCCTCGACGACATGGCCGTCCGCAACCTCATGCCCTACTTCCAGCAGGGTCTGGACACCAAGTCCCCGCCGCCTGTGCGGAGCGCCACAGACCCCATCGACGTGCGCGCCAACCACCGCGCCCTGATCCGCGAGGCTGGCGGGGCGGCCATCACGTTGGTCAAAAACACCAACGACGCCCTCCCACTGGCTCGTCCGCGCTCGATCGCGGTGTTCGGCGCCAACGCCCGCCCCTCGCTCATCGGGCCCGGGACCACCATGGACGACGTGCATACCCACACCACCTGGCCCGGCCACCTCGTCTTCTCCGGCGGCTCCGGCATGGGCAGCCCCTCCTACGTGGTCACCCCCTATGACGCCCTGCTAGACAAGGCCCAAGCCCACGGGACCCAAATGATGTGGGCGCTGGACGACACCCTCCCGGAGATCGAATACGTCGCCGTGACCGGCACAGCAGGCACCTCAGCGCCGCCCACATTTGCCGGCTACGCCTCAGCCGTCGAGACCTGCCTGGTCTTCATCAACGCCTGGAGTGGCGAGGGCAACGACCGCAGCGAGCTGCGCAACGCGGCGCAGGACGCCATGATCCGCACCGTCGCCGACCACTGCAATAACACCATCGTCTCCGTCACCACGGTCGGCGCCCGCCTCCTGGACGCCTGGATCGCCCACCCCAACGTCACCGCCGTGCTCTACTCCTCGCTGCTAGGCGAGCAGTCCGGCAACGCGCTGGTCGACGTGCTCTACGGGGCCGTCAATCCCTCCGCAAAACTGACGCACACCATCGCCCGCCACGAATCCGACTACCCTGTTCCCGTCTGCATGGCCGCCGACTGCGACTTCGTCGACGGCGTGCACCTGGACTACAAGTACTTCGACCGGTACAACATCACTCCGCGGTATGAGTTCGGGTTCGGCCTCTCGTACACCACCTTCGGCTACTCCGCGCCGGCCGTGGGGGGTGCGGATGAGGCGGCGCTGGCGCGGCGTGGGGCGACGGGCGTGCTCGCTCCCGGGGGGAAGGTGGATCTGTGGGATGAGGTGCTGCGGGTGAGGTTTACGCTCACGAATACTGGGGCCAGGGCGGGCGCGGAGGTGGCGCAGCTCTATGTCTCGTTTCCCGACGAGGCGGCCCAGCCGATGCGGCAGCTGCGGGGGTTCAAGAAGGTCTTTCTCGGTGTTGGAGAGGAGGCGCAGGTCGTGTTCTCGCTGCGGAGGAGGGACCTGAGTTATTGGGATGTAGTGAGCCAGGAGTGGCTTGTTGCGAGGGGGCAGTATCGGTTCTATGTTGGGGCGAGCAGTCGCGATTTGAGGGGTGATGTTAGTTTTATTGTTTCTTGAGGGAGGAGTGGGGTTGGTGGTGTTTGCGTTGGGGTATCGGTAGGTAGGCAGAAGGAAGCAGACACTGGATACGTTCAAGATGCTCACAGTCACTATCATGTTAGCTTACCGATTTCACAAACTCGCTACTTGGGTATGGGCTGAGGAATAGTCAAGTCCTAGTCCAATTTTTGGGATCAGGGCTAGATTATGTGGTCTCTAGTCTTGCCTCCAATAACTAGAGCTTTTAAGATTGAAATACATGCAAATTATGATAATGTATGATAGGTCATAGACATATAAGATGTATTGTATGTTGCAGAGAGCAATTAGAGTTTATAGATCGATGCTCACTCGATGCTCAGCTATCTATACTATAGCAAAGTATAAAAGTCCATCCTTCTAGGCATTGGATCGGATATACTTCCTTTTGGGTGGTTCCCGCCTGGCCCGGTGTTAATTACCCAAACGGGATTAGTCGGCGCAGAACTTAAAAAGTTCATATTGAATGGGATCGACCAAGATGTCGTCGCTAGCCAGGCACCCAGACAGCCCTGGAAAGAGTGGTAGTCAGTGGGAGATTGTAGAATAAGAATCACCATTGTGAATATACAGATGATATTTATCGAATATATTAAACAACTCAATAGAAAATAACCATGTAGTCTAGGAGGCGTTTCAACTAAGTATGATTTATATCCCTACCTCTCAAGCAGTTCTAAGCCCCATGGTCACGGTAAGATAGCGAGTGTTGCGGGAAGTCAGAGCAATATGTCTGAAGAGTCTTATATTCTTGCCGTTACTCACCGCATTAAACATTCCGAGCCTGCAGGACATAATGCTCTGGGGCATGCATGATTCTACTTTAAAATCTTCAGCCAGATTTTGCAGCTCCCTTCCGAGCGAGACTATAAAATAGTGCTGAATGTGGACACGTCAGGCGGGTTCAGCTGGCCCACTGTTAATCCCCACACTCTGCCGCTCTTGCAGCTAAGCAACCACGCCATGAAGCAAGTCTCTCGGAAATGGTGCGACAGGGCGGTGAAGTGTTTATTAGTGGTTGCTAGGTTAGAATTTAGTGTCGTGCTAGTTCTAACTAGGCTAGAGGTTGCTTGTTTCGACTGTCAAAGGCTATATCACTTCGATTGTTGATTTAAAATTCTTCACAGCTCTAACTAGGAGGGTTACTTGAATAGTGACTAGCCCTCAAGAGTCCCCGTCCATTATAGCAACTCCTAAGCTAGGCAAAGCTTTGATGTAGTCCAAGCTCTTAACAAATAACGATTGACAATACAACCGTTAACTGGGTCAGAGCGCCGACTACGCTTCCATGGCTTCTGATTTAATTGCGCTAAATCCTGGCCCAGTCGCAAGTGTGCCCCCGGTGGAAATCCTGCCAGACGGCTCAGCCTTGCCGATCGAGTTAGCACACCATGATAAAAGGAGAACCCAGCCTTTCCCACCCGCTGCAACGTTGCATTCAACTTCCTCGTGCGCCCATTGAATGACACTACCCCTGGCACCATGACTAACGACACTCGCGTCTGCTATTACCCCTCGGGCGCGATAGCTGATGACAACGTACCTTGCTCATCCGACGAGTACACTTCATGCTGTGGAAGCACCGACCTCTGCCTCTCCAACGGGCTCTGCCTGAGTGTCACCCATCAACCATATGTCCTGAGTCGAGGTGCCTGCACCGATCCACAGTGGGGCACCGGATGTTCCCAATATTGCCGTGCGTTGTCCACCCGGGAGAGGGGCGGAAATCCTCTCCTCTCGCCTCTCCGCCTCTCCGCCCTCCAGGTGTGCTGGGGCCATCACACTGACCGTGTTTCAGAGGACAACAACCCCACCGGCGGCTGTTCGATCATCAACCTCAAGTACTACGATGGGGTATCAACCTACTGCTGCGGAACGCCCGTCGCCAACAACGAGTCGGAAGTCGTCTGTCCCGACAATGCCAGCTCCTTCGAAGTGCAGACCGGACACGCAATGGTTGGCTACGCGATGCTGGCCAACGTATCGACTCTCGATGCTACCACGGCAACGTCAACGTGCTCTTCATCGAATGAGACATCCACACTCGCTAACTCGACGGCATCGTGTACGAAAGGCGTCTCTAGCCACGACGCCGCCATTGGCGCCGGGGTAGGAGTACCGTTAGGGGTGATTGCGCTGGCGTCGATCGTATGGGCATTGTTCGAACGAAGGCGGGCAACCGCAGGGCGTGCTGGTTTGTCATCAGCGCCCACCAGCCAGTCTGCGCAGATATATACCCAGCAGCTACTCGTACCCAGTTCACAGCACTTTGGTGGGCCAGCACCTACCGAACTGGATGGGTCGAAAAGGCCATCGGAGCTGGAGACCCCTTGATTGTACGCCTTATCTGTCACCAAGGTTTTACATGTCCCCTCAATGATCTTCTATAGTTATGAGACGGACAGGCAAAATCCGACGACATGCCTTTTAGAGATGCATAAGTGGAGCTGGCATTGCCCCATCCCAATTGCGTTCCTCTGTACATAACAAATATCTACTGGAAGCTCCCAGAGAGTTGGGCGGCAAACAGAATTTGAGCTTTCATACTGTCATTGAATAAAACTGCATTAACCAAACGAGACCTGTAACAAACAAGAGCTATAAGGGGACAAAGACTGCTTGACCTGCTTGGCATTCATCACCAACGCCGCAAAGTAGAAATTCATTGCACCTGCAGAGCTCTTGTGATCCGCAACATTACTGCAGCGCTCAAAACACACAGAGTCTTCATTTGTTCTTTCACACTCAAATTGAATGGACCATAGGTCGTCATCTCCAAGAATGTATCGTGTGTATGCGAGCCCTCCGCGAGGTATGCCGGGTAACTGGTCGTCGGCTTGCCAAATACAAGCCAGGCCTGATGGCCGTCCTGTGCGAAAAGAATTTTACTTGAAAGTTAGCAAACGGCTGCGTCAAGGTGTAAATCGGACCACTTACTATCCACCAAAGACATCATTCCACGGCTTGGCAGACTTGAGCCAGCCGATAATTTCTGCTGTCTCTTGCATTCTGATCCTATCTGAATTATCCATCCGCAGCCCCTTCTTGACCTCTGCGATCGCGCGCACATCATCGATGTCATTCTTGATCCAGATGCCTCCGTCGGTTAAGGCCTTGTATGAACACGTCTTGAAAGTCGCCTCGAAGGCGACGCGGACAATGGTGACTTCGAAATTTGCTTGTGGAATCAAAGTTGACACCGCATCAAGAAACGTGATAAGAGCGACGTTTGTGACTGCCTCGTCATTCGGAGGCTCCCAATCGTCGGGTTCGACCTTGAGCTTCGATTCTACTACTAGGCGTGAGTCACGAAAACCCCGAGGCGTAGGGAGTGGCTTACCTGGTTCATCGCGTTTTCTCTTCATCTGGGAGCGCGTGTTTGCTGAGGGCGAGAACTGATCAACGGCGTCGGCCTTTCTTGCGATGTCCACACATCTCTTCTGCCAATTTAAAACTAAGGCCCATGATCCTGGCCAGCCCGGCTGACCCTCAGCCACGGCATCCAGTCCATCCGGATTACCGACCAATGAGAAATAGTTCTGAATCTCGACCGACTTCGCCACAAGTTGCTCAGCATCATCCCAAACTTCATTCAGGTGGTACTTGGCCTTGTCATTGAGGATGTGAGAGAACTTCTCCGGGCGGGGTCACACTGCCCGAAACAAGACAAATTGCTTCTTCCTGACTTTGGAACCAGAACCAAGCTTCACAAGATCGTGGAGAGACTTTCCTATAAGACGAGACTGTGTCGCAAGCCGGACCCACTCGGACCTGCTTGCAGGGAGCGAGAAACTCCCTCGGAACGAGTCTGCGTCATTATCCTTCTCCTTCCTTCTGAAGAGTGACATCGTGATGAAGGAATGATTGCAATGGTTGTCTCAAGAGGGGCAATGTGGATCTAGAGAGATCGAGTGAGTGATAGAGAGGGAGGGAGGGAGAGAGAGTGTGTGTGATCGAGAGTAAGGGAAGCGGAGAGAGAGAACGTGTGTGTGAGAGAGAGATGAAAAGGGAAGGAGGGAGAGGGATGGAGGGAGGGTGAGGGGAAGATACAGTGCTAAAACAACACAGTCCATGGCCCACCAACGCGTTGCTGCGTTGTTTTGTGTGTTGCCTCCCGGCTTAGTCTCACCTTCGCCTCCCTCTAATTTGTTTCTAGACCGCATCCCAGTTTAGCTCCTATGCTAGAAGGATAGCAGATAGGTAGGATTCAAAAGTAGGCCCCAAGTCATGAGTCATGGTGATATCCCAGGAAATTGCACCCTTCTATGCATTAAGCCACATCCTCGTGACCCTCACGTGCTACTCAGAGTGGACAAATACAAGTAATAGAGCATCAAGCTGTTGAGCCGCTGCACATTGCCCATTTTCTGAACTTTTCAGAGAAAGAGTGAGGAAGCAGAAGACGAGGAAAAAGGAAGAAAAACGACAAGTACAGTACGAATTTATCGCAAGTGACCGTGAAAACTCCACGCAGACTGCAACTCCTAGCCTTCTACCACATCGACCACCGGCAGCCTCTTTGTATCGAGCTTCTTGTTTATCCCCCCACCCATATATCTGACAACATGTCGCCTGATCTCGTTGTTTTCAGCCAAGTAGAGAGGAGTTTTCGAGATGCGAAGCTGATGCCCATCGTGTATGGCAATCAAACACCGTACCTTGCGTCCAAGGAAGGAGACAAGCATTACCTAGCGACAAACAATAGGCAAGGAATATCAGCCCCAATTCACCAAATCGGAACAAGAGCAACGTTGGGATTACCGGAACAACCATATCGAGCAGGCCTTCCATAGACCACCGGGAATACATAAGTGCCAGAATGACTTTTAGCTCAGCCTTTAGCAGAGTGTGTTCCGAGTTGTCAACATCGCCGTGGCTGAGGATGGCTTTGACATGGGGTGGTAAGGGTCGAATCCGGCAGACATAAAGACCTTCGAGGTCCCACGAGATTTGGGTAGAGAAGACCACCCCATCTTTTTCGAAAACAGGTTCCAGGTTGGAATGGTCCCTGGCGCACGTTGCTTAGTTTGCAAAAGCCAGGCCTCGAATCTGCTCTAGGGTCTCGAGACTTACGTTTCTCGCCACTTGTTCAACCAAGTGAGCTTCTGTGTCTCGTCTTCGCAATTCAACCGGGAGCTTGACATCTCGAGATTGAGCCAGTAGGAAAGCTCACCAGCAACAGCGGAAGATGAGAGCGGCTCATTTCTGAATAGCATGAATTCCGGCTTTAGCACATCTGCGGTATTATTGAACCTTTCAGCGGTTTCTGGATCGGAGAGATCCACGGGGTGCTCGTGGATGTAGTCGTACGTGAGAGGGACAAAGTAACTGGCCGGATTCAGAGCTGGAGGGATATCAAGATCGTTGTCAGGGTCACTGGTGAGGCCAAGAGGTAAGATTAGGACGCCAAGCCTCGATAACTGCTCTGGATCCATCAAGATCTGATCGAGCTCCATCGCCCTTGTCACCTTATACGTGACCCAGAGGTTGGATAGCACCTGCTCACGCTGGGAGTCCAGGTCATCCTTTTCAGAAGCACGCGAAAAGAGACGTGGCAGGTGCCTGACGGTACGGAAAGTCTTTCGAAGGATGGCAGACATCACGCGCGGCGAGTGGAGGGATGGTGATGCTCGTGCGGGAAGGGATTCAGGCCTGATGGATAGATAGGATGTAAGAGAAGAAAGTGCGAGGGGTCTGTGGGCTGGGAGGGAGATAGTTGGGAGGAGAAGGAAGCAATAAATAACACACGATAGTGTGTTGTTGATGTCATGCGGCGGACTGCCGTTGCCCCCAAGGCTCGGGAACACCTCACTGTCGCGTCACCCGACTGTTGCAAACATGCAAACCCATATAGATAGATTATGTGAATAATTCAAGCAACGAGATTACCACAACTTTGGACATTTGGAGTAATGCTCTGACTGATTCTACCGAATTCGAGTATGGGGGCCTCATTCCACTCACATGCACAGTACGCACTGTGAAGCCGTCGGCTTGTCTCAAAGCCTCACATTTCTTCTATCGTGTGTTCTCTCTTTCTATCGCATTCGCCATCTTTCTCAAGACATCCAGAACTGTGCAAAATCGGTCGTTCTCGAGATCCTCGGTCCACTTCGACTTTTCAGTCGAAGAGAAGGGATTTTTCGGTTCAGTAAGTAGACCCATCACGTATCCATCACGACCTCGTCCAAAAGCAACCCGTCCTCGGATCCTCCGCTGCACTTCATCATCTCCATCATTCTCGTCCAGATCCCTTCATTGACACGTCCCTGCACCCAATAGCCCGCCTGTCTGCCCTCATCTCTCCCGCCGTCCGCATTTTCGGTTCGCGCAGACGCCCTCGCCTTACACGTCGTCAACCCGTCGTCCATCTGCACTCCCATTCTCGTTAATGGCCGACTCAGCCGCGTATTTCCGAGAACGAAGGAGGGCGTCGTGCCCTTGACATCCAATTCGTACCAAGGTAAATGACACCATGAGGTCAGCGCCACCCGGGGCGTGCGGGAGCCGTATCCGCGCGGAACTGCGGGCGTGTCACGCACTGGCAGATGTTGATCGATGATCTGGGCCACGCAGACGGGGTCACGGGCGTCTTGGATGGTCTGGCGGATGTGGTGGGCGATGTCGATGAGATCGTCCGATGCCGATGCGGCACCAGGCGCAACAGGTGCAACGGGGACGTTGATCCAGGGATTGGTCAGAGCGCCTGGGACCGAGGCGAGATGCGATTGGATGTTGAGGGTGAAGATGAGGCCGGTGTGGGCTCCCTTCGCCTTGACAGCTGGAGTAAAGGCTGACTACTCGGGGTCAGATTGAGGGGGTCTGGGTGGCCCATAGGGAACCGTACCTGATATACGAAAGCCATCAAGAGGTCATGTTCCGTGACCTGAACCCCCCTGCTCTGCGCCTGGGCCATCCAGTCATCAATCCGCGACTGTGGCACGAAAAGCATTCGGCGCACACGACGAGCAGATGTAGGACAGAGCGCCCAGAAGCGTTGGCGGAGATATGCCGCCAGGAACCTCGCCCAGCTGACCTGGAAGCCTTGCGAATAGCGCACGGCAATTGGGTGATTGGGCATGCCGTTGTCGGCAGCCGCGGTTCGCCCGGCCTCTATCACGTCGGGTTTGAGGTGAAATTCGGGTCGAATGGCAGTGTCTCGACTATGCGTGCCCGACAGTAGAGCGCAGTACGTCCTGGCAATCCAGTGGACCCCTAGAACCCGTCAGCAACAAGACGCACCTGGCGGCGGAGGCTCCGGGAAGAGTAGCATACCCCCGGCGTCTGATAATGCGTGTTGAACGATGAATTGGATGACACATGCATCTCGCAAATGGACTGTTCGGATGGACAGTGCCTGTTGGCCATCGTGCTTCCCTCCCTTGAACTGAACCAGTTTTCCTAGTACCTGGGGGTCGTAGAAGATAGGCTCGTACTCAGCTTTGATCGAGCACAACTCGGCGGTATTCGATGGTACAAACTCCTCCAGATGTAAATTGACTGTCTTGGCTCGAAAGATTGTTCCGAGCTTGCTGGGTGTGTGCTTCCCCTTTACAAACCTGGAGCGCTGTGTCACCGTCTGAGGTTAGCATTGCCCACGGAAGTCAACTTCATTCGTGTGGCTGCGAAAAACCCGCCTTCAGATTCAATCTCGTGCCCAGGATAGGATATTCCATGATCATTTGGCGGGTCGCTGCCAGACATTCCTCCGGCGTCAATCTTATCGGCAGCGCAACCGTCAGATACACCTCGAGCTGTCGCGAGAACGATAGTTCTAACGGCGAGAGCTCCATCTGGTGCTCTAGTGACCGCTCGGAGCCTGGTAGTGAGCAGGGCACAGTATTTTCCAAAGGCTGCTTTTCCATCATCATTGTGATCGATGCACTCTGACATCTCTCTTGTTTTTCCTCTTGGTCCCGCTCAAGATGCGGACGGAGGTCTATATAACTTCATCCTATAGATAATTCACTAGATGTGGGGTTCCTCCCTGCACGAAGCACCATGCATATGCAATGAGCATTGTGGACGGAAAATCAATCGCGATCGTCATTACACCGTCACTGTAATCTCTTTTCTATACGAGAGGGGCCAATAGGGGGTTGGCAGGGTTGTTCTAGCATCTTAGATAGTGGGGCTGAGGAGACATGGCGATCCTCGTCCTCTGTTGCGTCTCTGTTGAGTCTTCTGTTGGTGATGAAAATATCTGCGAAAAGATCGCTTCATCCGTCTGAACCTACGCTTGCTCCCGAGTCAGCCCCATCATCGCCCTCAGCCGGGTCTGTGATCCTCCATCCGCACCAGGATGCGAATTCAAATCCAAGTTCGAATGTTGACCGTTCAGGGGTGACAGAAAGCAGGATCTGCAGTGTAGATCTTCAGGGGGGGCAAGGAAGATAACTCGAACCCTTTGCTTGGCGGGCCAAGTTCTGCGTGGTGGAGCCCGAGATACGATCAGCAGTTTCTATAGCGAGTCATGAGGCGGCCCGAATCCTCATTCCGTGGGTGGCGAAGATGGATGGTCGACTCCCATTCGATCGAAGATCGATCCGATATGGGGTCAAGTAAATTTGGAAGCCATGTGGATCTGTCATGCAAGCAGCAGCCGGCTCCTTTTCCCTCCCCTTGGCTGCAGCAAAAAACGAAAATAAAAAAAGGAAAAATTAAAGTTAATATTGTTCTGCAGCTTGTCTCGCAGTGCAGGCAATCTCAAGTACAACTATTTCCCTCAATCAGTCACTTATGACAGGTGGAAAGAAAATACAATAGAAGGGATTGGCTGGTGGTCAGTGACCCACTCACCCAAATACTCCCGACGTGTGGCTTGAACTACTCTTCCTTCGGGTTTACATTCTTATGCAACGTCCCTTCTTAACAGCTCGAAACGCGAACTTGAGCCTCGGTCCCAGGTTGAAATTAATCTATCGGACCATTCTTGGACGTCCTAACAAGAAATCTCTCCAACAGAAAATACCCGGGGGGGTAACGCGGAGGCAAGAAAGCACGTTCTCGTCGTGGAAGACAACGTTCTCAACCGCCGAATTCGCAGTCACACGTTAATTGCAGCGGCTTCGATGTACCCAAAGTTGAGTGCCAGACCTATCTCTGTGTTTTTTCCCTATGGATAAAGAGATGTCCTTCTAAACGGGATCTCGGCCACTGAGAAGGTTCGTGGGCTTGAAAAGCTTAACAAAATGCATCTACCCGTAATAGGCTTTACCGCAAACGCTCAGGAGGAAAGAGGCTCAATGATGGATGCTGGAATGAAGGATGTAGTTTTCAAGCCGTATCTACCGCATGAGCCACTTGGAAAGGATAAACCGCTATTAATGTCCCAGGAATGACATTAGGGGATGGCGACCAAAAACCTGAGAACATTGTCTCATGCCGTACGGAATCCAAGGAGAATCGTTGGGAATGGGGTTGATATCGCGTACAAAATTTGGGAGATAGTGGAAGGTGGCGCTAGTATCAAGGTGTTATGGTCGTTAGCACATTTTTGAATGTGTTGCTTGATATCAAACTTCGTTGGTACCAAGGCAAGGAGGGATCATAGATTCATTCTTGGGATAATATCCCAAATAAAGCTAGCGAGCAGCTGTACATATAACACTACCACCAAACACAGCAGTTCAAAAGATAATTCCCGCCGCTCTGAATCTCTCGAATGCTTCCAGCCAGCCATCAACCGGATCTCGCTGCTCAGTAAACCCCATCGACCTCAACCTCTTGGAACTGAACTGTCGGTCAAAAGTGAGCCACCACCCAACAGAATCCAGTTGCTTCTTCCCCTGGCCAACGCCGCAGGTCAGTCCCTTAGGAACCCCATTCTGAGCGAACAGATGGCGGTATTTGTCGACATATTCACTTGGTTTGAGGATGTCGTCTTTCGCTGGTCCCACCCCTTTTAGCCCGAACCAGGCCGCGATGCCCGGCCATAGGTCGCTAGCGCTGACGGGGGTATCGTTGTCTAGCATGTTTATGATCTTTCTACCGCATGAATCGGGATGTAGTGCTGCATGGATTGCAATGCGACCGAGAATCTCACTCGAGACGGGCGTGTACAGCGACCGATAACCAGCCTCACTCCCGGGAAACGGAACATCGATCTCTTTGTCGGTGACGCCTCTGTGATTGTATGCATATAAAGAAAGGTATTGCGCCCAGTGAAGAGCAAGGGAGTACGCCGAGCCATTGGGAGAAAACCCAACCACGGCATCCGGACAGACCTCGCTCCAGGTCCAATTGCGATCCTTGCTGGCTTCAGTCAAAATCTTTCGGAACCACGGATATGCGACGGTCTTAGCGTAGTCTTCCGGTAAGCCATCGGCCATGGATTCCTCGAGTGGTGGCTGGAAGACGCCACTGGGATTGTAAATACCGTAGCCCTGCTGATATCAGTCGCCTCTCCTGTTCTGTGACCAGATTCTTACTCTTGATCCGCCGGAATACACAAACGACCGGAGCCTTGGGGCGACGATGTTCAATGCGCCGGCCAGTCGCTGCATCATACCGCAGTTCTGGGTACACTCTTGGATATGGTCATCGTTGAACGGCGCAAAGACTTTTCTATTTAGTAACTCGTCATCGTAACCCGGCTTCCGACCGATACCTACCGAAATAAAAGACGTGGGTTATCCCTTCCGCGCCGGGGACTTTTTCTTTCAGTTGCTTTGCAAGATCATCTGTGTTTGTCTGTAGCAAATTGATCCCCAAAACCAGCCCAAACGAAGGGCTGTTCGGTCCTGAGGGCAAGCAGAGGTCAGACTCGGCGACGGGTCGATTGAGGACCGCGGTGACACGAGTGAATGGGCTTGATGAGGGGTAGCCGGAGAGCAGCTGGTTCAAGGTCGCCCATCCGAGCAGTCCAGCTGCCCCGAAGACGATGGCATGAGATTCTGTCGCCATTGATGGTGTATTGGCAGGTGTCAGGATAATGCAGTATAGATTGTCAAACTCCTCCGCTCTCACTGAGATATTTAAGATCTCGGCAACTTCGGGCGGGGTCTATTTTGGGGTTAGCTTAGCCTGCGCATTAGCGTAGCCGGAATGAATCATAATGAGTGTACACCGTGAAATATGAGCAACTAGTCCCTGAAGCTTGTGAATTGCGGGCCTTGGGCAGGATTCACCTTGTTCCTCCCTGTGTGGCACACTTCGAAATCATTCTCAGTCCGTCCATGGAACGCTGCTTCGTTCTGGTTAAACAGAACGGCATACCATGATGGCTAAATCATCGGGAAGCGGAGCCAATGCATATGAGCGCATAGTATTATCGGTTCGAAGGCGATCTTGCAAGGACCACTCCTGACTCAACCAGGCTGTCTTCCAAACCTGTTGTTGTAACATAGATATGATTGGTTCCACCAAGTCAATCTTCTGCTAAGACAAATGGGCGATTGAATGACGAGCTGGTATGTGATAAGGATTGTCCAGAGATGTTAGCATAACAAACCCCCTTCAAGCCGGATCGGAGAGTGCATCCAGGGCCTATGCGCTGTAATTTCTGTCTTCCGATGGTTGGCATGGTGTTCAGCCGTACATATTCTAACCAGTATTGTTGACTGCAAAGCCTTGGTATGTATTCCCCAACCACGCCTTTGGTGGCTGTACGAACCGTGATGGCTCTTCCGTCCTGGACCCAGCTCACGTAATAAGCGGTGTGGCAGTTCTCTCATCAATAAGAGGTAATGCTTGTGTGCACAGTCAGTCGGACACTCATAATTTCAGGCCGCCGATAGTCATTGAGCAGAAGACATTCCCAGGAATGTCTCTACTCGTTCCATTTCCTAGCTTGACGTGCCCGTCTTAAAATGATCTAACCGCTACAGTGCTCATGGTCGGAACAGCGATATCACCTTTGAATAGCCCCTCCTCTGCTGCAGAAGAGAGCCCTTTCCTGGATGAATCTCTCCTGTTGTTTTCACCGCGGCGCGTTCTTCCAGCGGCTGAAATGAATCTTCTCGGCAGGTTCAGGTCTTCTATCGAGTATAAACCCACAATTTTATCGGGAGCACGGCCATATTAGAGGAGTAAGACTCTTGGTTAAGATCGCTCTCCACAATGAGGCAGGGAACAGACGACTTTACCTCTCCATAAGCCTTGCCCAGGACCGTATAATAGCAACCTAAAGCGTCAGCAGCAGAGTTCCTTTGGCATCCCTCAACTGTGCCCATATGCTGTTTATCTGGGGCTCGTAGAACGGCCAAATGATCATTTCCGGCCGGGGCAACCTAATTTTCCCTTCAGTACCTGTGCTCATCTGTTTACAGGTTTGTTGCAGGGCTTGGTCTTGCTGGTGGAAAATTTCCTTACATATAGTAGCCAGCTTCATGACGACTGCTAGCCCCTTGGCATTGAGAATCCCATGCTGCGTCCGAGGCACGGTGGTCTGGCTATCTCATAATGTTTGTTGTTGGTCTCGTGGATGTTAGGCGCCAGGGGTGATTTAGCTGGGGTGTTCCAGCCAACTGCTGCAAAACACTGACACTCAAGGAAACATTTTCGGCGATATCGGTGATAAAATCTTGTCCGTAGTTGCTCTGACCAGCAAACAATATTAGCTTAAGGTAACATTGGATCCCGGTGGCTACAATCCCGAGAATCGCAGATGCGGACCCGACTACTTACATTGCGGCGGCAGTTGACGATATCATCATCCATGGCTAGCTGAAGACTTTCGAGATGTGGACCCCGCATATGAGACAATAGTTCAGCCACGCTGTGGGGATTATTGAGTCGAGTGGATCGCGGTGGGGCTGCTCAGCTGGCATTCTTCTCGGGAAATTCCTTGGTAGGTACCATGCAGTGGGACATGAACGCCACAATCTTGTACAGACACGTTAGCTATTCTGCAGATCACTCCCGAGATAATCATCGATCTACGAACATGAGTCGCGGCGCACAGCCGACTCCGCTACCCGAAAACTGATCAAGTACGTACATATAAGCCCACTGAATCCCCTCCCCCTTTCCCCTAGCCTCTACAATCGCGCAACAAATCTCTCCACTCTCACTCTTTCCGTCCTACTCCAGCCCTTTTAACCATCATGCGGCGAATGAACGACGACGACTACCGGGAACTTGGGGTTGGCCTCGGGCCGCTGGGATGGGGCATCTACTATGCCTGTATGTACTCCCCACGGATCAACCTAGCTCTAGCATTCGATTGCTAAAGATTTCAGGGAACGCATTCGCGGACAGTGATGACCACCCCGAATGGAGGACCGGGGTCGACATGACGGGCTGGACGCTCGCCTGTAACGACGACGACGATCTCGTCTTCCTGAAGACCGAAGGGTACACCTTTGCCTACTTCTGCCACAACAGCGCGCCCGGCGGCGCCTACTTCACCCTTCACAACTTCTCTGTCAAGTCGCGCGAGTCGGACGCCAAGTTCATGGTGATGCACCCTTTCAGTGGCGGCGGGTGCGATCGGGATCAGATGGTGGAGTGGGCGCGACGCTGGAGCGGTTATGAGGTGACGGGAGACGAGAAGGAGTATTATATGGAGTTGATTCGGGCCGCGAGGGCGGGAGAAGGGCAGGAGGCGTAGAGATTGCTGCCGCATGTAGCTCTACCATTCCAGAAAGAACTTGTATAGTTGGATGTATATGTGAAGTACTGTGACTTTGTATGTATCCTAAGGTCTACCTATGTAGTCTTGCATCGTTACGCTGTCCCCTGTATCGGGCAACTCGGGACCCAGCACTATATAGTGCACTACAATATCTTCCGACATTTGCCGCAAGGGCCGCTATTCAGCAACAACTGTATAAAATGACGATATGGGTATCCCCGAATGATGACCCCACCAGAGTCGAATGCATTAGCAAGATAAAAGGTGAGATGATACTAATTGAGAAACAATAAGAAGCAAAAACATACAACAGAAGGGATTCGCTGGTGGTCACCCACCCAACTACTAACCTCCCGGCGTGTGGCTTAAGTACGGCTGAGCGGACGGGAAGCCCTGTTTTCCACACCCTGTGGTCGTATGTGCTATGATGAAGAGGGTTGCCATCCTCGTACCGCCTAGGAAGAACATTTATTAACATCTTCCACCGCTGCCTCTTCCGCTTCAAGCAGCGGACTCAGACACAGCCGGATGGGGAGCCCAGCACGCGTCGGAGATCTATATGCGGTTAGTATATCCCATCATAGATGATAGCATTAGTTCAATACGGTTAGGCATAATCCCGAAGATCCGTGATCAAGAGTTCGATGTCGGCCTTCGTCACCTGTAGACTACGTACCAGTAAAAGTTACGACCTGGGCAAGGCCACGCAGTTATAGAATGCTAATCCGCTTAATACCCCTCATGCACTTTCATGAGGTGCCCTGCCGTTGACTTACGTGTGCTCTGATCCAATGAATTCTAGAAAATTTCCATACTCATGAGAAACGCTAACACTTACGCCCTACGGAACGCAGCCCCACCTAAATGTACAGTGTGATTGGCGGTCCACCGATCCAATCCACCGCGATCAAATGATAGAAGGTATCATCAGTATACAGCAAGTGCAACCCTTGTCGGTTTTCTCGCATACCTCAGTTCAGGAAACGTTACTGTATCTGAACTCACGAAGAGCAAAGATTGCTGAAATGTGCGACATTTCGAACCTATAATTCGTCTCGTCACTATGAACAACTCCAGTTCCCACGAAGCCTTCATCTCCTCCTTCCTCACTCACCAGCGTGCCCCGACGATCCACGAGTTTCGCCGCTCATTTCCGATGCACCGAAACAGAGGTACTACAGGACCTACAAGCACAGGTCGACTACCACGGGGTAGTGCTCCATCCGCACTCCGACGAGATCTGAGTGGCGCACCCGTTCTCCACCGCCCCGACGACCTGCATCGTCTCCTGCGGTGAGCGCGAATGGTGGGGCAACTGCGCCTGGTGCTCGCTCGGGGTAATACAGCTGGCCGGCGGCACGGCCTCGCTCACCACCCGCCTGGGCATTATCGGCGACGAGATCTCCATCGCCGTGAAGGACGGGGAGCTGGTCGACAAGGACTACGTCATCCACTTCCCCATCCCCATGGCCAACGCCTGGGGCAACGTCATCTTCACCTGCTCCGTTATGCTGGTCTTCCGCAACGAGGCTGAGGTCGACGCCTGGTGCGCCACGCGCGGCATCCCCAAGGGCGACGTCCGGCCCATCGACCAGATCTGGACGTTTGCCAGGGAGTGGCACAGCCTTCATGCCGATGCGGACTGGACGAAGTGGTCGCTCCGCGATGCGGTTGAGATCTTCCGTCGCCATAATCTGACCGGGCCGGTTTGGGCCATCGGGGGCGATGCGGAGCGCTTTTGAGGGTGGTATGCTTGATGAGTACGTTCTGCTGCGTGTTGAGCGAGAGTGTGGCTTGTCAAAGATGAATTATGCGTCTAGTTCTTAAGTATTTGTAAGGAAGTGTCGTTGACGCTTACTGATACCGTGCGACTTGGGAATGTATCCAGAGCAGCCTAGTTCTATTCACAATATTTACGCAATGGGGGTCATGGGTTTACAAAATGCAAGCCTCCCTACTAAGTCCTACCAGTGTGAACGTTGAAACGTAGCCCTATTTCTTTATACCCTGTAACTGTGTGTCTAAGGTAGTGGGATGACCTTTATATAGTTAGCATTATTAGAATAAAGTTAGAAGCTGAGCCACGTCAACAAGAGGGGCTCTCTTCTTACGTGGAATGCGCTCAGAGGCCGTTGATATAGAGTCCGACAATATTTATACCGATACAGATAATCTTAGTACGTCGCAGCAAAGTTGCCATGAGAGGGCTTATCTGTTAGTATTGATGATGAATGATGGCTGCCAAAGGCAGAAGGTGGATGACGGAGGGAATGAAATCGAGAATATCACCAGATATATAGCTATTTTGACTGTTCTACGCTGCTGGGGGAAATTATGCTGAGTACAGGTAATATATTAGCTGTGTTCGAATCAGATGGCACCATATTCCATCGCTTACTTAACCCAGAAAAAGAAATATACATGAAAAATGACTCCATCGACAAAGGCTTGGACATAGTCCTATGACTGACACTTGATTGGAGCAAGGGGACAGGGATTATCACCCAACGATGCAACACAGCCACAGCGCCAGCCTCGAGCGGCCTTTGGCGCCTAATCATGAACCCAAAACCAGAATCTCAGAAATTCTTCCCTGGAAGACATTCGCAATGAGCTTCATAGAGTCCGTTGAATTGAAATATTGAAAAGCACGTTTCGAGCATGTCTGCGACACAAAGTCTCATCCAGAACGCCTTCGATGCCGCGGTGCAGGAGTTCAAGGCGAACCTCAATAACGACGCAGTCTACCAGAAGATCCTCTCCGTTACCTCCATCGATGAAGTTTACGACCTTACCGATCAGCTTCAGGCCGAACAAGGCAGAAAGGGGCACCTGCGGCACCTGGCCAAGATCGAGCCTTACCTGAACCGTCTCCGCGACTACGCAGCAGTGATTGAAAACTTTGTCCAGATCAAACCGGAGGTCATGGCCCTTATCTGGGGTCCGATCAAGCTGCTGCTCCAGTGGAGTAGCGTTCTGGCTCAGTCCTTTGATGCAATTCTCCAGACTACGGGCGATATCGGGGTTTTGCTGCCGGAATTCAAGGATTGCGCGGTCTTGTTCGCGCAGAACAGTCGTATCTATGATCTGATGGTGCTGTTCTTCAAGGATATCCTGGACTTTTACCAGGTGGGGTTGAAATTCTTCACCATGTCGCGTACGTATAGACGGTAAAAGGCTTCGAGGTCTAAGCCCAAATGTGACGCTGATCTGGGAATAGGTTGGAAATACTTCTTCGAGCCCCTCTGGCCCAACAGAAGAGATCGCATCAACCTGGTCAAGACTCATATCGAAAGACACTCTTTGCTCATGCGGAATGAAGTACGCCTAGAGCACATTCGCGAGGAGCACAAGGCTCGATTGAAGGCGTTGGAGCATTTCAAAGCCGAGGAACGTGCTCAACGACTACAGCAATATCATGTGATCAAGACCGATGTTAACCCGAGGATGTATGATGACAAACTGAACTGGTGTCATGGTCGCATTTGTGACGGATCGGGCGCATGGCTGCTTAGGGACAAGGCTTTCACTCGCTGGTTGGATTTCTCTGCTGGGACGTCGCCCGTTCTGTGGCTGCAAGGCATCCCAGGTGCCGGTATGTGAACTTCGAAGGACCCATTGCCAGCGGAAGAGACTGACACCCGGAGATTTTGTGAAGGCAAAACATTCCTTGCCAGCCTAGCAGTGGACAAGGCGCGCACAGTAGCTTACACAGCCTTCGCTTTTCTGAGCCACACATATAGTAGCAGTACTTCAGCTCTGAGCGTGCTGCACTCTTTGATATTCCAGCTCGCAGGGCGAGATGAGGATATGCAGGATGTGCTCTGCCATTCCATCCACGACCGCATCCGAAGCGATATTACTGTTGCCGTCCAGCTTCTCAGAGACTTATTGAATTGTGCGGGTTCTGCATTTCTAGTTGTCGACGGTGTGGATGAGATAGAAGAGCTTGAGCGTGGTATTCTCCTCAAGCAGCTTCTGCTCCTGTCCGAAAAGTGCCCCGAAACGCGGGTTTTAATCAGCAGTCGGCGAGAGGACGATATTGCTGCCATTTTGGAAAAAATGTCGGAGTCAATTCGAATTGACAAAAGAAACCAGGAAGGCATTCAGGCATTTATAAGTCAGCGGCTGAGACAGATGTTTGAAAGTCGTGAGTTTCCACCCGACGTCCAGACGCAAATTCGCCAATCCATGAAGCCGCTAGCTTCAAAAGCCAATGGTAAGACGACCTGATGTATCAGATCTTATTACTATGTGATTGACTTGAGTTTAGGGATGTTCTTATATGCCAAAATTGTCTTGAGCAGTATTGAGCTGCTAGACGACGTCGCGGAGATTTGCGAAGAGCTGAGCCTCTTACCAGAAGATTTGGACAGCGCGTGAGTCTCGTATACAACACTGCGAAGAACCAATGCTCAAGCCTCACATGTAACAAACAGCTATGCTCGGATTCTACTTCGGATTAATAATCTACGACCGGCATCTGTCAAGGCGAAAGTTAGAAGGATCCTAGCCTGGGTGGGCTGCTCACCCACGCCATTGACTTTGCGGGAGATGGAGCAAGCCCTGAGTATTCAGCCCGGCAATTTCGATGCAGGGAAGAAGTTGAGCGCAGCTCCAAATCTCAACAAACTCTGTGGACCAATAATCGAGGTTGCTGGCGAATATGTACAGTTTGTCCACTTCACTGTCAAAGAGTGAGCACATTGCAATGGTGGCTCTAAGCACATAGCTAACCTAGTAAAGATATTTCTTTAGTACAGCTGTAACCGGCCACATCAGCTTAATCGATGGGACTCTCGACTTAGCTGCAACCTGCATTACATATTTCTGTCAGGGATTTCACAATCCTGATGTCGTCAGCAATGACGATCAATTCACTCAGCATCTCATTGAAGGTAGCTATAGTCTGCACTATTATGCGCAAGAGAGATGTTTTGAAGTCCTTCAGATCTACCTACGCTTGTTGAATGGTGCAAAGGCCCCCTCGAACCTTTTGGATTGCCTCAACATGTTGATGGCTACGCTGAGGAATGATCAATTCGCGCTCGCGTCGGACAACGGACGCATTATAGAAGCCTCATTTCTACATGCCTTTGAAGAAGATCACCCAGAGCTTTATCAGTTTCTGTACAATATCTATCGATTCCGCCATATGTGCTCACAAGAAACATATCATCTGAATGAAGGTATGCCCGTTATCTCACAGTTGTTGGCCCGATGTGCGGATGATAATGTGTCTAGAAACGAAATGGGTTGATTTTGATCCACTAGTATCGTCCCAAGTATCAATTCGACTGTACCAAGACATCAACAAAATGCAGTGCGCTTCCAGCTCCCACAACCCCGGATGCCAATGCGGACTCCTTGACCGTGTATTCGGGTTACAGCCCTACAAATGCGGGTATTTAAATTGCCCTCTTCACCGCCGTGGGCTTGAGTCCATAGCAATACAAAAGCAACATGAAGCCGAACATACTCGCGTATGGAAATGTCCTGTTTCAGGTTGTGAGTATGAAGAAACTGGATTCTTGTCTGCGAATATGAGAGACCAGCATGCACTCAAAGCTCACAGAAAGCCAAATGATTCTAATGACATTCTTGACGACAGCCATATGTCACCCGAGGACGAGGTAGAGTTTATCCTAGATCTAATCAGGTCTAACAATGTTGAGGCTATCAACTTCCTCCCCCATACTATATTGAATGCGAGATTTCCATTTAATAGCAAAAGGTCTTGCAATCTGGGAGAGATACTGGGAAGGTTTGGGTCTGCGCCAATTGCGGTGATACTTTTGCGATATGCCGACATAAAGTTAGTTTATTCGGAAGCTATAAAGGCTTCAAATACTGGCCTTCTCAGCTGGCTTCTTGACGCAAAACAAATAGTGGAATTGGCTGGGTTTCACGCGCTAGTAGCGGTTGGCAAAGAATTCGCACGGTGCGATTCGGCAGAGATGCACGACATTGGCCGCAGATGGTTTGCAATGTCTCAAGATGCAAATGGGCAGAAATTTGAGGCGCTTTACACAGCAGTCATGAGCGAAAATGTGATAGGTGCTACAGCAAACAAACCGGGTAGAGAAGACTTTTTAGTCTCACTGTGGGATTCGATTTGGTCGGATTGCTGGCAAAGTTGGATTACACAGGCGTTGAGGGCCGTTGTCAAGACAACTTGCTCTCTAAGACTCGGGCAGATCCTGATTCAACATGGGGCAGATGTTAATTGGATAACCAAAGGTAGCAAGATTTCGGTACTCGAGTACGCAACACGCAAATCTACAGCGAAAAATGCCGAATTTGCCAAGCTTCTTCTGTTTCATGGCGCTGATGCACAGCCCGCTTCAGCCTCAATTGAACTGTCCGACCAGATCGGAGCGAAGGAGATAAATCGTTGGCTTGGGGTTTCATGGGACGATTTAATAGAACAGGCTAGGGCCCATTGCAAGCACCTCTTGAATATGCCACACACAGAACTAGCCAATGACGAGTGACTTTGTATCTCATGTGTCATATAAATGCACGCGAAATTCCAACCTTGAGACATTATATACACGTTAATGATGATAAATCCCACATAGTATTACCAGCAGACCGTCGATGATAATTTTCTTAGATGATCAGAGAGCAAAGAACAGTGAGGAAGAGAAGTTTCTAATTCAACGGCAGGCTAATCAGCTGCCTCTGCTGTGGGTAAGTTACTCAGAAGAGCCTGTAGCTTCTGAAACAGATTTAGTCATATTCTATCAAGGAAGCACTCAGAAACAATACCCTACATACCTTCCATCGCCTATATTCAAGCTCTGCCTGTGACTTTGGAACGGAAGCCAACGACTGCTGAATGATTGCTATCTTGTCTTCTTGGACCCAACGAACGTACTACATCCCGTCAGTATGATAATTTGATGGGAAAGTAAGTCTCGCACATACATCCTCAATGGAGTTGACAGTGAGATATCTTGTTACGATAACTTCGCGGGATTGACCTATTCGATGAACCCTGTCGACTGCCTGCGCCTCTAGCATTGGGTTCCAATGAGGCTCCATAATGTGCACGGAGCTGGCTGCGGTGAGGTCAATGCTGCGAATCCTCCGTCAGCCGACCAAACATGGAAATTGTATACATGTTCTCTCACCCCTCCCCGGCACTGCCAATACTGGCCAGCATTACCGTGCAGCTCTCGTCCCTCGTGAATCGCTCTATCACTAGCTGGCGATCTGCTAAGCTCGACCCTCCATCGAGCCGCACGAAGTCATAGTTGTTGGAGTGGAGAATCGGGGCCATCAAATCGAGCATCTTGGTCCACTGACTGAAAACCACACTGTTGATCACTTAGTGGACTTGGAAGTCTTCGCTTGTAACCGCGGAATTCTTGCAGCCTACCTTTTTGCAGGCATCAAACCTGATCGCGGTGTGCCTCGTTGCTCCGTTTCCAAGTTTTTCAGCAATGCTATCATCTTTGGAGATAAGCCCAAAGAAGACTCTGGACATCCTTCCATTGCCATTTCACCAGGACTGTAAGTTGCACGTCCGATAGCATCATACACGTCCCCAGGCTTGGCACTGCTACCAGCAGCTTTATCACGAGTCGGTGTGCTTCGATTGTCGGGGACAAACCCTTCCTCATTCAAGTAGCCGCCTACACTTCCACAAGGTCCGGTAATAACATCTGCATGTCTGTCTCGATTGCGCCATTGCTCGAGCGCGGATTTAGGTAGCAAGCGCTCACCATAATCGCATATGAGCCGCAGGATGTTAATCAGTGCGAGGGTCGTATCTGCACCAGCTTGTTTTCCAGGATTCAGAGCCTCGCCAGAGAGCTCCGCTGCCGTCTTGGATGCTTTCGCTTTGAAATAGTCATATACCTCCTGATCTGCGGCCGTCAAGTGAACCAATTCGCTTCTTTCGACCTTTTTCGGCAGCTGAAGGGCGGAATCAAGCGTCTTCTTGGTCCGCCGGAAAGCTGTGGCAGCCACGAGCGCTTGAAGTGTCTGGATATAGCCCAGTTGCTGACGCTTCACCGGCGATGCAATCCAATAATCAAATGCAGACTTGGTCTCCAGGACCGGCATTTGCATGAAGCTCAAGAGGGCACCATAGTCGTCAATGGAGTTTTGGATTGGCGTACCGGTGAGACACCATCGAATGTGCGCTTTCAGGGAGCTCACGGCCTTGAACACCTGTGAGGATCGGCTCCGGATACGATGTGCTAGGCTGAAGTCAGATCACAACCAGCCCTATGTCATATCTTCATCTCAGCCTCTTTATCATAGGTATACCTTCATCTAGAACTATGCGATACCAAGTCTCTGTGCTTAAACCATCCTTTGTCCGCCAATCCTGGCGTATGGTTTCATATGTTGTAATGACAATATCGTACTCGCGTACCAGGGAAGGTTTAACTTTGCCTCGATTTGCGCCATGGTATATGAAGTACCGAAGTCGGTTATATTTGATGTGTCTGGGGGCCAAGGTCAGCTGCGAAATGACAACATGTGAAGAACACGCCCACGTTTTAATCTGTTTCTCCCATCCCGGAATAGCTTTGTGTGTCAACCCCAGCTCATTGTAAGCCATGAAGTATTTCAACTTACTGGTCTTCGGTGTGATGATCAGAGTCGCCCGAGGGCTGTCGGGAGATGGCTGTAGGCAATCTATGGCATCGAGGGAGCAGCAAAGTAATGATAGAAGACTCAGTGTTTTGCCCAAGCCCATGTCCTGCACATATGTCAGACACAGTCCCATTGCAGGGTACAATCCAATAACTTACATCCGCGAGGATTCCGCCACGCATCGGTCTAGGGTCTGTGTCAATGGCCCCTGTGATTCTATGCCGGTACCTTTCACCAGTCAGCGGCTATCAACAGTGCTAATCACCTAGTGCTGTTAATATCCTACCTGTGGTTCCCAAGCCCTTCCCAGATAGATGGAAATTTCAGACCATCAATTTGTCCAGACTCCCTCTCTATCATCATCGCCAATGCCACTTCCTGGTGACTGCATCGAAACATCAGCGTCTGATTTGATCCCTACACGAATATCTCACTTACGGTTTCAACCTCGACGCCAACCTTGGACTGGAGCAGGCTTCATATGACCCCTCATAGGTGTTAATCGTGTCAAGGATCCGAAATAGCTCACTTTTGACCCCTTCATTTAACCTGTCCGAAACCTGCGAGCCCTGCTCATCGTCGGAAATCCTGAGTTCATCAATTCGAGGCATCTCGCCTCCAGGTCGTACAAGATACTGTGGGTTCACATATGGGAATATGGGGTCATACTCTGCGCTTTTGGGGTGTTGCAGGTACATTCCTGCGTCCGATAAGCAAGTCCCGACCGCGTCTTGATCATCGATTCTTCCGTAGACAACAACTCTCATCTCTGGCTTGTGACATTCCCCAGTCCCAGCATTCTTACCGAGTTGAGCGGCGAAAAGTGTGCCAACCAATTTGACACGATGTTGTTTCAGGAGTTTAACTAACGCAGGCATAGCGACGATACCTGCATACTTCTTCGTGTCTGCGAAGGACAATTTGACAACTCCGCCAAGTGTCGTTAAATCCACCTGGGCTGACATTCGGTTTTGAGTTTTCGTCTTTCCATCGTCCTTGAATGTGGAGGTGGCTTCGAGGGTGAGCTTGGAACAGTCAGCTTGCGACATGAAGTAGATAGAGACAGCAGGCGTGTTTATGCATGTACAGTACCTCTCCAAAGCAAGTGTCCCATGTCACTGCGTCGTTTGATTCAACGCTTGTTACAGGCTCGCTTTGACATTTATCAAGACACGACCGGTACTGTTCCTCGTCTGTATCACTCTTTGGTTTCTTTGACTTGTCCATGATCTTGGGTCGAAGCTCATTTGTACTAGGACTGGTACCGGATAACTCCATTTCAATTGCATTCCAGTCAAAGTCAGGTTCAATCAATGGTTCCAGGATGTCAGAGGTTCCCTTAAGTTCCAGATCGGCACTGGAGCTCTGAGACTCTGCTGAGTCTTGTTCGTACCCTGGCAACTGGTGCCCCAACCACATGTCTGTTATAGGGTAAGGAGCGCCTCCTTGCCCTTACCAACGGATGTAATGTTAGCCCGGGCGCAAGGAAAAGTACAGGCAATTTGTTCTTCCAGCGCAAGAGGCTTACCACTCTGACCTAAGTCCCGCAAATGTGGCGCATCAAAAGCGCCATGACGGTCTTGCACATCTAAGCCCATATTATCCCCTAGCCGTGCGCTCCAATTGCGGTCCAACATATCGATATCCAGCCCGCGCAACGGATCAGGCACCAAGCCCGAGTCCCGGATTAGTGCTCCATATGGGTCCTCCACCCGTATTTCCGGACAATCCTGCTGTGGCCAAATCGAACCGCCCACGTTACCGCCCACGTTACACCCGAAAGGGTCTGGATGGTCGTCAAATGGCTGCCCCGCGAACCAGTCGCCATTTGGAGTGGTGATCGCATGGGTGAGACTCTCCGCGGGCGTCTCGGAGCAAGCCCGCTTGCTACTTATGCTGCTCCCGTCGTTATCATCCTCATCGTCAGGCAGCAGGCGCTTGTTTGCTGATCGTGCCAAAGCCATCGGTACTATCTCCCTCAGCTCTGGAAATCTCAGTCGTGCGGCCTGCACCACGTATTTTGGGGAAATGTTCAGTCGAACCATAGACAAGAGGAGCCGAATCTGACTTTTAAGACAGATAAAATGCAGGTTCGTTCTCAGCTCAACTGCCGTCTGACGCACCACGCCTCCAGGCTAGCGGTAGTCACCGCCACAACAGGGATCATGCTGGCCAACACACACATACGAACAACCAATCAGATGGCTGAAAGTGGAAGAGGCGCTGACTGCGCCACGCCCTGGCTTGATGGTTGGGATATTGCACTCCTCAATCCTAATATCAGAAGATACTAGAGCGGTACATTTCTGGTCTTCTTTGTTATTCGTTCATTTTTATGTTCAGTATAACTGTCACTGATTTGATGTGATGTAAAAATGTTTTCAAAACGGGACAATTCATGACCGCCCAGTTGACCGCCATCTAAGCTCCTTCTGGTCTATATTACTTGTAAGCGATTGGTAAAGCTCAGGGATGGGCGATATGGAACACTTTTTGATTCCTTGGTGGTTGGTCGATTGATGAACCAGCTAAGATCTGCACGTGGGTAACTCGCTTGGTGCATCGCTTGGTCACGTAGCCTGGATTACGCAGAAACACTACCCCCCTCAAACTAGATAAATCACCATCACTTCATGGTTTTTTTGTCTTCTTCTTTTGTTTACTCTTTCTTTTTCTCTTTCTCTTCTTTTGTGCTTTTTTTCATTTTCAAAATCAATGCAATCATGCAGCTCCCAGCCCATTTCGACGTAATCACAGTCGATATAGTGACACTCAGGAATAGTCGGTATGGAACGATTCCTTGAATTCTTGGTGGTTGTTGGTCATTGCTAATTGACTTCTCAATGTGTAGACTACTGACTAACTTGTTCAACCGCTGGATCATGTGGCTCTACTATCCACTACGCTGACAATCACAACTCTGTATCAAACTGGTGCATTCGAAGAAGACGATTTCATCCGACCAGTAGGCGGACGGCATCCGCCATCCGGTGAACTGCTCTGTTGTAAAATTGAAGAATACTCGGCTTAAACTGAATATCACAAGAATATCTACTCTCACGTGGAATGTTGAAACATTGGTGGTGGAGTCGGCACCCTCACTACCGATTCGGTTCAGGCGGCGCGCGGTACTAGCCGAACCTACATCACACGCACCTTTTTTAGGGCTTTAGGACACGGGCAGCGTTCTCCACCAGGAGACCCTGTAGGGCCTGCTACCCACCCCCAGAAGGGACCGGGAGATGCGAGGCTGGGGCTGCCGATGTAGCGGGCAAAGTCTTAGCCGCGGCACCCAACTCGGCAGTGGAATGGCCGTAACCCCCTTATCAGATCGCCCTAAAAGGCTTATCCCCTCCTTGGTCTGGTTCAACCCTGAACTCTTTCTCGCGGGGTGTAGTATGGCGGACTCGAAAGGAGAAGTAACGCTGTCCGCTGGGTCGGTGGCAGTCAAGAGCGAACATATCTCGCAGTCAGCGCAGAATGAACCACCTACAAACACGCAGCTACCCAGAAATGAATCGGCCACAGAGATTACGTATCCAAAATGGTAAGCATATTCTGATTGCAAATACTTCCAGCTCTACATTTCTGACAGCCCAGGCACTACATCGCTATCGTTGCGGCCGGCTGCCTCATCATGATGACCACGTGCTCCTTCGTCTTCGCCGTCGGAGTCTACCAATCCCTGTATGAGGAGATGGCTGCACAACCCGACACCCCCTTCACCGGGGCTTCGACGGCGCTCATTGATCTCATCGGCACCCTGGCCATCGCGCTCATGTCCATGGCCGGACCCTACGCCACCGCCTGGTCGAAGCAATACTCCCCGCAAGCCGTCATCATCGCGGGCGGCTGGGTGTTTGGGGTCGCCTACATCCTTGCCAGCTTCAGCCGGGCGCTGTGGCATTTCGCCCTAACACAGGGTCTGCTTCTCGGGATTGGATGCTGCCTCGCCTACGTGCCCACCATGTCCGTGGCCCCGACCTGGTTCAGCGCCCGCCGCGGCCTGGCCATGGGGGTGATCATCTCTGGCACGGGGATCGGCGGCATGATGTGGCCCCCGGTCCTGCGTGCGATGATCTCGCACATCGGATTTCGCAATGCCCTGCGTGTGTCTGGTTGTATCGCCACGACGATCGTGACGGGCGCTGGCGCCGTCCTTCGCTGGGAACCGCGATTCCACGCCAACTTGAGAGTCCGACAGCAGCAGCAGCAGCAGCAGCAGCAAGATTCTAACACCAATAACTCCCAAACAACGCAGTGGAAGCGCCTCCTCAGCGTCCCCCTCGTCGACCGCACCACCGCGCTCTCCGCGCGCTTCCTCGCCCAAGCATCAGGCTGCTTTCTGCAATCCGCCGGGTACACAACCCCACTCTTCTTCTACGTCTCCTTCGCGCAGACCCTGGGCTACAGCACCACCACGGCCGCCACTTTCCTGACAGTCAGCAACGCCTCGAACTTCGTCTCGCGGATTGTTCTCGGCCACCTGGCCGATAAATTCGGGCGCATCAACGCCCTCGCCGCGACCACGCTCGTCAGCGCCGTGGCAGTATTCGCCTTCTGGCTGCCGGCCACCTTTTCCCCGGACGGCGGGGTGTCCGCCGCCGCCGCACGCGGCTGCTTCATCGTGTTCACGGTGCTGTACGGGGCGTTTGCGAGCGCGTACATCTCGCTGTTCCCGGCCTCGTTGGTGGAGGTGTTCGGGGTGGAGAAGTTCACCAGCGTGAACGGGGTGCTGTATCTCATCCGGGGCATGGGGGCGCTGGTGGGTACCCCGTTAGTGGGGTTGTTGATCCCCGAGCGCACGGCGTTGGTGGAGGCCGGGACGTATCGGCGGGCGGCGGGCACGGTGGGCGCGTTGTTGATGGTTGCGGCAGGGGCGTGTTTCTGGGTGCGCTGGGAGATAAGAGGTAGCAATAAGGGGTGGAGGGTGTAGTTTCTCAGATGCTCGAGATAATGTTATACAATAACTGTTCGTGCATATTAGAACGATAGAGATTAATTAAGACTAACCTATAATACAGCCCGCCACATTATCATAACCAGGACTTAGGGTTGAGGTTGCCGGGAAGCTGAAAGACAGGGGGGTCTGGGGGTTCTCCCCATGGTTGACACATATTCTCATCAGGAACCACCTCAGTCTGACCCTGAATCCAGCTCACTACTTCCAAACCCCCAAGGGAGAATCTAACCCATAACCCCAAACAAGCACGAAGAAACCACCATCCCCAGCACGACCCACCCGCCCATCGAAACCTTGTGCCCGACCACCGCCGCACTCTTATCCGAGGTACTCGTGCCACTGGCCGCACTGCCCGTGCTGGTGCCCGTCTTATCCGCCTTGCCAGTTTCCGTGGACGACACCTTGGCCGTCGCGCTGGCCGTCAGGTTCCCGCTGCAGAAAGCCTGGGTCACGGCGCCGTTGTCCTGGAGACACGCCAGCAGGGTCTTGACGGTCTGGTCCTGCGCCAGGCAGTACAGGCCGCAGTCGTTGTCGTATTTGGTGACGGTCGCGGGGGAGCAGCATTTGTCCATCACCGAGGAGAAGTTGCCGGAGTTGGGGAGGGCGCAGGCGGCGTCTTGGACGGGGAGGACGTAGAGGTTGCCCGTGCACGTGGCGGCTGCGGCGGAGCCGGTGGTGGCTGTTGCGGTTGCGGTGGAGGTGGAGGTGGACATTTTTGTTGCGGTTTGTAAACAGTGGAGGTGTTGTTTGGGGTTTCAAGGTGGTGGTAAGGTAAGCGAGTGTCTGTGTCTGTGGTTGAGTCTGTAACGACTCCGTGTTGTCACTGCTGCGCTGCTGTAGAGTATGCAGATAAAATCAACGACCGTGTGAAGCCCAAAGACGGATAACTAAGTAAGGAGAAGTAAGGTGGAAGAAGGAGAAAAGGAAATGACACCAGCTGCGAGGAAGGCAGGCAGCGGAATAAATACCCCATCCTTCCCTTGCAGCGATGATCACCCCATAAAACTTGATATATTGCCCCCCATTCACTGCTGCGCCCCACCCGCTGACCCTATATTTATCCACAACTCTCCACAACCTGCCGTCATTGGGCCCGGGCCACGTCAATCCCTACTGGTTTAGTCTGTGTGACCCCGGATCGACTGTGCTGCTGTCTCACCATTGTGTTGGCTGTTTGTTTTTCTTCTTGAGGTGCGGTATTAAGTCACTCAGTTAAGTTGGATTGAGAATTCATCGTCAGCTGTAAGCTTACCGTGTACAGTACGTCATTATCTTTTATCTTAGGGTTCCACTATGTTGATGGTTTACTGCCAGAGAGTTATCCTTCGAAATACTCATGTCCACCGGCTCAATTACTTATTTGTACTATTAGATTTCAACGTAGTCAACCATGACCGTTGATGGTAAAATTTATCTAAAATTACATATCTATAGTTCTGTGCCACCCTAGAAATAAATCACTGCAGGTTTGGCTTGGGGTTCACAAGTCTTACCACTATAAGAGAAAGAGAGAATTGTACACCAATGTTTAATCAGAATATAAATGAAGTACTAAGTATATAACTATTACACTTATATGTATCTAGACGTTTTGAAGATACTTAGAACACTCAAGATTCACTCTCTAATCCGCCCCTCCCGCTCGTGATCACGGCATTTCTTTTTCTCGGCTTTGCGATGGTTTTCTGCGCAAATCTTGACAGTTATACCATGTCCCTGGGCTTTTCCTTGGGCGTGTATGATATAGGAGGGATAATTCCTCCACTAATTACGACAGCCATGGTGTCCCACGCGGAGTAATTTCAGGACCTTACGAGGTGGCGGTAGGGCAGTCTTTCCCTTCCTGGTTAGCATCATGGCACAGGAGATGGGCACGATGGTTCTGCATCCGATCTATTGGGTACTCTATATGGTCATGGTTTTCAGCCAATGCTTTCTGCCCGCAATTTCGAAGCAATCTGAGTGACGAGAGTCGTTCGCCATGGCATCGCATGGCAAATAATACATCCAATTCGATCATGTTAGTGAGGTTCTTGGATATAGGGCCGGAAAAGGTCAGCGTCATATTGCGAGCGGTGACAAGTCAAATAAATTATGGTACAGTACAATGCTCAGTCCAGAGGCCGCCCTACCGCTGTTTATTGCTACTAGGCATACGGAGTGGCAGAAAGTGGCTCTTGCGGCTCGACGCGCTAGGTGGGAATGAATACTGCTTTCTACATTTCACGTATTCGAGGCCTAGAAAGCAGGCAGCCGCCTTGGTCTCAAATCGTCCCTCAGCAGCAAGTTCCCGGCTCTTGCCCTCACATCAACGCCGCGTAGGCCGTGGTGCTGAGCGATTTTGGCCGCTCAATCGGTACTGTATAAAGCCCGATCAATGATCAGTTGTGACAGGACTCTCAAGGCCCTCGATACTCCGAACAAGGCCGTGTACAACTGAGCCTCTTGTAAACCGTAATACCGCAGAAGAACCCCGAGCGGGCATCCACGTTGGGAAACGGATTCTTCACCTTCTCGTGGGCAGCTAGCATCCGCGGCGTAATTGTGTAGACCTGACTGGCTAGCTGGATCAGGGGTTCATCAGCCATGCGGTGGAGGGGAAAGTCACGCAGAGCGAGATACCGTGGCTCAGTCCTACGCAACACCGCATGGCCGTAGCCCAGGGCTACCTGCCCGTCCTGCAGAGTCGCTCACAGATAGGCCTCCACTGACTGGTCACTTAGATCATCCCCAATCATCGCCTGCATTAACAATAACCAATCGAGAACCACCTGGTTCGCGAGCCCGTGCAGAGGCCCGGTCAAGCCTTGAGGCCGGCCCCATCGCATGCATTGGAGAGTTCAGCGCGCTGCCGAAAAGGTGGGTAATGTGAGCGATCACATTCCCTTCTTCGTGGTCTGTGTGGAGAGAGAGGTATAGACGCAGCAGATCAAACAGCCCATTCCGTGTATCCAGTCCGAGCTGTGAGGCTTGGCATTCTGGAGACTTGTCACGATATACTCTACCACATATAGTCACACTCCAAACGCAGCATACACTTCCAAACAGAAATTTCTGGGGAAAATAACATACTCGACGTTTGGCGGTTTATCTCCATGATCCGAGTTACTAAATCATTTATCCGGGTTACGAATAAACCATTTATGTTACCGAACAACATAACAATTGAGTCTACAAGCTTTATTAGACGACACTTAACCGTTTTGTGGTTTTACATCTCGTTCTTTGACTTTCCGCTGTAACAGGATTACAAGTCTTTATTAGAAATAAAGTTTATGGAATACACCACTACGTTATCTCTATTATAGACGTATTATATCATACCGGTTCGGTTCATACCTATTTCTGGACGTTCATGCGGTGCTGGAGGATGGTTGCAACCCGGGAAAAGGTACAGTACCATGCGGAGTCTTCGGGGATACGTGAACGCTGCTTCTCACGCGGAGTTGTGCTGTACCTCCCCGAGTCCGCGATGAAGTCGAAGCTCGGACACATGTAACATAGGAGCCCTAGAGAAAAAAATCCCCTTTTTCTTTACCCCGGGCCCTCACCGAACGGGAGTCTAATGCCAGAACGGAAGCACTGTTGTTATGCAAATTCTCCAATATGCCAAGACTGCTGGAAAATCAAGCTTTGACAAGACGGGGAATGACTCAATCCCACGCATATGTGATGATCTCTTGTTTCGTGCAAAATCATACCCTCATGCCCCTCGTGACTGTAGGTCTCTATTGATATGGATTGAGCCGGTCTCAGTATACTCTAGTGCTATTAGAATGTCGAATCGAGACGTGATAAATTCTATTCTGTATTCGAGTTCTAAGTATATATAACTTTTCTGATTCCGTCGGCAAAAAGCAGCCCAGAACACAAGACATGAAACCACACGAACCAGCTCGGTATGGACTTGCCACCGGCTCTGGGGTCGCTTCTTATATGAGAGAAGGTCATTTTAACTCGATCTTCCCCGTCCTTGTACTTCCGAGTGACCTCGAAGCGATGTGAGGCAGCAAGACCTTGGGATTTGGTACGTCCTGCGTACTCAGCGAACGCGAAGTTAGGCCGGGGAATATGGATTGAATCCGGAAAACAGATATGTGGTGATCTTCAGTGCAAGCACTAGTGTCGAATAGGATGAATAGTCCGAAGAGGGTACTTCCCAGTGGAGGGAAAGTATCCCGGGAGAGCGAATCCAACTTCCAGATAGGAGGTGTTGATGGGTCTGAACTAGAGGTTTTGATGGCCAAAATCACTGTTTTGATAGGTTGGAGGTCAGTAATACAGTATTTAAAGTCCAGATGCAGTATCATACATTCATAGTGAATAGAACGCTGTATCAAAGGGGCAATCCACCTTTCCGGTGTCAAGATCCATCCTCCAAAAGCGCCTTTGGTGAATCTGGCAAAAAGCTCTTCGTCGAAAATTCCAGCTGGGAGTTCTCGTGTTGAGATCCGGAGACTGTAAGATTCCTCATCTATAGGACCATCTTGAGGATTCAAGATCCTCGAAGAAAAGGATTTGGAGTGACCTGGCGTGGCCTGCTATGTGAAATCCATATTCCGACAGATTGTGCAGGTACACGATACCATAACCGACAGAAGCTGCAAGCACTATGCGAGCTGGGACTTTGAATCCCATGATGCATTAGATAAGATGCTTAGAGAAGAAATTCTACTGTGACCTTTCGACGAATAGATTTTGTATATGTATGGATACAATTGACGTGGGCACCCGACAGTGCTGTCAGATGGATTCTCGGAAAAACTAGGAGGCTGTACGCAGCGTTCTGTGGTAAACATTCTCTGTGAATTTTCTCTCCCTAACACAGTTCATATAACACCGAAGGACGAAGATGAGGGTTCAGAAAAGTCCAGATTCTTAAGCCCCACTGCGGGGCGTCTATCAGACCTTTGGTTCTTAACTCCGCGCCTTCCCCTAACTCCGTTTACTATGTACTCGCCGATTTACCCCTTCTTACACTCTGAACTTTTTCAACTTTCGCACACTTTCTTACAGTATGTGAAGAGCATCCAGAATCTGAGACTTTGCTTGTTGTGTACTCTTCCTTGTCTATATACTTTCCTTCCCTTTCACTCGATCATGATTCAATTTCACTCTCCCTCACAAATTCTCTTGTGGGCATAATATAAAGGAAATATAAGTTATGAATCTTTTCAATTTTTCTTATCGGCTTTTAGTCCACCAAGCCTTAGGTTGTGTGTCTGCTAATTCAATGGCTGGCCTGAACAGATGCTAGTGATAGATATAGCCAAGCTTCTATATAATCCAGAAGCGGGAAGTTGCTTTGGATCTACAAAAGGTATTTATGTATCTACGGAATACTTCGGAAGCAAATAAGTAATTTCGCATTCTGGCCCTTAAGACCACTCTTATCCCCGGAAACAAGTCCCACTTATACAAAACTGACTTTGCATTCTCGATATCTGTTTCGAAGCCTCAAATCAAACATATATAATGACTCTCCCCGTTCATATCCGACTTAGACACAACGCAAGCAAGACAGGAAAGAAGAAAGCTATTATTATCTCACAAAGTCATATATAAGAACGAAAACATGAAGTTCTTCGACGCTCCAGCACCCAACCCCATGGCCGTCCGCCTATTCGTCCTCGAACGCGGCGGTCTTGCCTTTGACGTCGAAACGGTGGATATCATGAGCCTCCAGAACCGACGCCTCGCCTACCGGGCGATCAACCCGCGCGGCGAGGTCCCCGCACTGCAACTCGACGACGGCACTGTCCTGACCGAAACTACCGCCATCTGCGAGTACTTCGACGAGATCGCACAGGGGGGCGTCTCCCTCTTCGGCGACACGCCCGCCCAGCGCGCCGAGACGCGCATGTGGCTCCGCCGTATGGACCTGGAGATCTGCCAGCCCGTCATCGCCTGGTACCGAAATGATCCCGCCACGCTGGACTTCTACAAGGGCAACCGACTCCCCACGCCGGAGGCGCGGGTAAATCAGAAAGTGGCGATCAACCAGGCGCTGAACCTGCTGGATGATCAGCTTGAGGGAAAGACCTGGTTGTGCGGGGACCGGTTCTCCGCCGCCGACGTGCACTTCTATGGACTGATGAAGATGATGAGCATGCACGTCTCGGAGTGGATGCTGTTACCGGGTCGAGAGAACTTTTTGGCTTATTGGAAGAGGTTAGATGAACGGGAGGCGTCGCAGAAGGCGTTGCAGAATTTCCCGGCTAAGGTTGTTGTATAATTTGAACTAGTTTCGGGTGATGCTTGATTTCTCCAGTTTGTAATTCCCTAGATGTTTCTGTTCTAGATTTTCTTGTGAATAATCTATATTCCGTCGTGCCAAGGATATCCTATTCAGAAATTTGCGTTTAGCACTTCTCAAGAGACAGGGAGGTGTCAATTGAGTTGGCTGTCACTGAATAGATCTCTGGCAGTCATCCAGAACTTTACGTTGCATCTTGTAATTTGCGGCACCTGCTATATTTGACATCTAATGCACCTTGTCTCTGCAGAAACTATATATTCTTGAACAGAACCTGATTTGAAGGTGTTTAATGCTGTGTTATTACAATCTGCTATTACTGTATCCAGACATCCGGGAAAAAAAAGCAATGATACAATTTTTTTAAAAAATGTTGACTATGTTTTCAGGCTAATCATACTTCCGGTGTTTCGCATATTGATTGGTATGTTTCTACTCTTGGAGTATCTACTCTTGGGGATTAGTTTAAATTGTTGGATATATTGGGAGGATGTAATAGTTCGAGACCGGCCTAGTATCAGCCATTTGCGAAGCTCCTTCATACGCAACTATTCTTAGGCAATATCCTAAAGTTCTTCAACCCTTTCTGAATATTGTCAACAAACCGGCGGCCAACACCAACTTTTATTCTACGCATGATGAAAAATTCCGAGTCCTTTTCTCTATAACTTTGCTCGAGATCAAATCAAGTTGTCAATGCTAGGTCGCAGGTTTTCCTAATATTATAAACGTTTTAAGTTTCACTCTTAACTGCTGGCAGTGGCTATATTCTTCTACTGCTAAATCAAGCGGCAGGTCAGGGATACAAAGTGTATCAATCATGTTTGCATTTGTTTGCGGCGGCATAGGTGGAATTGACATGTAGCCAAAAGAATGTCATGTGCCTCAATGAATCAATCAAGCGTTCAAGAATCGTGTGTTATCGTGGCATGTGTAGTAAGTTGATACATTACTGTCATAATACTTTGAATTACATAGTATCTTGCTTCCAACCAAGTGTATCTGTTTACTATACCAACCGTATGTAGACAAGTGCTCTCAGCATGGGGATTGGAAATAATCTTTCAAGAGTCTGGGTAGGCATGGTAGTTATGCAAGGCACTGTAATAGTCAGGTTGGCATTGGATTCACTCTCTATCGCGACTGAGCTAGATGTCTGTGTCTACTCCGTAGGCCGAGCAGATATAAGGGTCTCCAAGATGCCAAGCCACGGGATACCCCTCATTTCTCTCCGAAGCACCCCGTATTTCATTTCATCAGCCTCCTCCGGCCAACGTGATGGCGGACAAAACTTCTCACCTACCAAAACATCTACCAAAGCATCCATCAGGACCATCAGGACTTCAGTTGCTCGATCACACACAATCATGACAGCACCCAGCCCCGTCGACGCTCCCTCTCATATCCTCCAACTCCTCGCCGACCTCCACCAGAAGTCCCTGGACCAAGAGGCTCTTCTCTCCAAAACCGGCAAGGTCTTTTCCTCGAGCATCCTGAGCGAGCTCCAAGGTCAGGACCCTACCATCGCCACCCCTACGAATCCCAAAGAGCAGTTTGACCGCCTCATGCTCGACAAGTTCATCGCTCTGGACCAAGATAAATGTCAGTTCACCTACCAGCTGATCACTGCAATGGGCGCCACGAATGTCGTCGAAGCCGGTACTAGCTTCGGCGTCAGCACTATCTACCTGGCCCTGGCCGTTGCGAAGACTACTGCCCGTACTGGAAAATCGGGCATTGTGATCGCTACCGAGAAGGAGGCCTCCAAAGCGGCGGCGGCACGGAGGTACTGGGCGCAGTGCGGCCCCGAGGTGGAACGGCACATTGATTTGCGCGAAGGGGACCTGTTAGAAACATTAAAGGGCGGATTGCCGGAGGAGATCGATCTACTGCTTCTTGATAGTAAGTTTTGTGATATTTGCAACCCCATTGGACCGGTTGGGCTGACATGAAACCCATCAAAGTCTGGTCTGCGCTGGCCTTGCCGACGCTGCAAACGGTCTTGCCTCGTCTGCGCCGCGGTGCAGTGGTGCTCACGGATAACACCGTCTCGGGGGCCAAAGGATATGCCGATCTTTTGGCATTCTTGCGGTCCCCTGAGAATGGCTTCCAGAACATGACGCTGCCCTTTTCCAATGGCTTTGAGATGAGTGTTTACTTACCGTGATTGGAGCAGAGGACGCTGTCGTTGTCCATGTAGAAACTGAGTAATTGACAGTATGTACCGCTTTTTGAAAGGCTGTTTTGTGATATTGTCCGGGTACTGTACTGTATCGTAATATTCAGAGAAGAAGGCGGCTTAGTAAGGCGGGCGATGGCGTGAATGACCCATCCCTAATTCGAATTTGCGAGAATTGTCTCTGCGATAGAATCTCATCCTTCAATGTCCTCTCACGATGCCAGCGACGAAGAAATTCAGGCTTAGATCCGCTGGGTCAGACCCCAGTGAGTCACAAGAACAGATAAGAGCCTTTCGATGTCGGTTTTGTGCCAAGGATTTTCTTCGCAACGAGCACTTACGGAGACACGAACGGTTACGTATGAGATCCTATCCTCTCACCACAGCAATTCAAACACTCACAGGCCAATCAGATACGAAAGAAAAACCGTTTCGCTGCGTCAGCTGTACTGAGGCATTTACCCGCCGGTATGTGCTGGTCTTACACATCATTACATGTCAGGACAATCAACATTGAGATAATGCCACAGCGACCTGCTGGCCCGTCATACTCGAATGTCCCATAACATCTCCCCAACTGGTGGCGATACCCAGACTTCAGATGGCCCTGTCACTCCTGCCACTACGCATGATACTAACCAATCGGTACCGGTGGCCAGTGTAGACGGCAGGGCCCCTGTGCTGGATGGTTCTTCCCGGGCTTTCACATCTCCAGACAGCGGTTCTATGTTACCCCAAGGAATGTTAGAGCCCCCCCTTAGCTCAAATTCTTCGTTGGTCGATCCTCTCCTAAGGACGACGGGGGCATCACTCGGCCCGCTGCATACACCATGGCCAGAACCAACCAGTAATTTCGGGGACTTTGCTTTCTTCATCGACAGTATGGCGATGCCGTACGGAAACATGAACCCAACGCTATCAATGGATCAGCCCATCTTGCCCTTCTCGTCAATTTCGCTCTTCTCTGATGGCACCCGGACTCAATCGTCACAGCTTCAGGCCGACATGCCAGACTCCGTGGGGGCCGATCCGCAAGCGCCGCGATTGTTTGATGACTTCACCTCCACATTCCCCTCCTTCGACCCTCCTCCTAAGTCAAATGCGGAGCCATGGAAAGTCACTCAGGAAATCTGGGATTACTTTCTCACGCAGATACAGAGCTTTGCGGCACTACTTCCTCCGCAATTCTTTCTTCCGTCCCGTCACACGATGACTCGCTATATCACCACTTACTTTACCGGGTTTCACCGACATCTACCCTTCCTCCATGTCCCGTCGTTCTCGCCCATCAAGTGTCCAGTGGAGCTGGTTTTAGCCATGGCGACGATTGGGGCGCAGTCAGCCTTCGATCACGCAAACGCCATCATGTTTTATCGGACCTCCCTGGCCATCGTCCAGGAGCGGCTGCAGCGTAGAAAGACCCAGCAACGGGTCAAGTGTTTTCCTGCGCCAGCGAGAGATCCCGCCGAGCCACAAACAGATCAATTTGACCCGCTACCCCCGGCACAAACGCTCCTTATACTGATGGCGATGGCGACCTGGGGCAACTCTCACGCGATCTTCAATGAAGCTGTCGGACTGCAAAATACTCTTGCCAACTACATCCGCAATGAAAAGCTACTGGCGCCGCCGCCTCCACCAGACCCATCTTGGGCTTCCTGGGTCCAGGCCGAAGGCATGAACCGCACCATCAACATAATCTTCTGCTTCTTCATCTTCCACACCATCGTGTATGACACCCCGCCTGCGATCCTGAACTGCGAACTACAAACCCGTCTCCCCTGCCGAGAGACTGTGTGGGAGGCCCCCAACCAGGCCGACTGGATCGAAGCCCGCAAGAGCCTGCCTGCAGAGCCCACCTTCCAATCCGCATTCTCCCGCCTCTTCGTCGAGCAGCAGCAGCAGCAGCTCACCTCAAGCCTAGCCACGTACCATTCGCTCGGCGGATACACCCTAATCCTCGCGATAATCCAACACATCTACTTCCTCCGCGCCACCAATCACCACCGGCAGCAGATCGACGGCTGCCTCAGCCCCCGGGCAACGACGATACCCCCACCAGCCATCGCGGCCGTCGAGCAGGCCCTCAAAAACTGGCAGCTGGGCTGGTCGCGCGACCCGGAATCGTTCCTGGGGCCCGGCGGGCCCAGCGGCCCGATCTCCTTCAACGCGACCGCCCTCCTCCGCATGGCGTACATCCGGTTGAGCATCGACGTCGGGCCCTGGCGGGCCCTCACCAGCCACGATCCAGGGGAGATTGCGGCGTCGATGTATGCGTATCATCGCCAGCACTCCCACCACCACCACGATGTCCACCACCGGCTCACCCGCACCGTCCTCTACTCCGCCCACGCCCTCAGCATCCCCGTCAAGATCGGCGTGAACATCGTTGCCCGCAATCAGGCGTTCGCGTGGTCGCTCCAGCATGCGCTATGCGCGCTCGAGTGCGCGTTTGTCACCAGTCAGTGGTTGCTAGCCATGGAAGCGCGGCGATGCGATACCGACGCCACGCTCACTTCGGCCGAGGAGCATGAGCATCATGGCGTCCCGAGAGATTCAGGCAGTGATCAGGAGAGGGGGGAGGCGGAGCGGTTGCTGGCGTACATCAAAGACATGGTGGCGGAGGCGGATCCGGCCGGCGAACTGGCGGCTCGGGGGGGTCGAGGCGGTTCCCCGCACGTGGATCTCTGCGTTCACGTCCTCAAAATCTGGCAGAAGCTGTTGAGTGGTTATGCGGTATGGGATGTCGTCCGCTTGATCGGACGGGTGTTGGAGGCCTATTGGCGGATTCTGGAGGGAGGACTCGCATCCGAGGTCGGGGATTCCGGGTGAGCAGTCGGTAACGGGTCCGAGGATGACTCGTCAGCTGTGCACTCCTCTTCCACTCAATAGCATAAGAATCGAGAATTTCATGGTATGCATTGGAAATATCGAACATGCTTGGCCCGGGTGCAGGCATCGATTGCTACATGGCACCAAAAAGAAATTCTAACCTAACCGAGCGCTGACCCCGTTGCACCCCTCGATCGACTTTCAGGTCCACCATCAGCTCTGAGTGAACAGATCCCCTCGCACATACTTAAGACCGGTATCGCAGCCCACGGTAACCACCGTTCTCCCGGGCCCTACTTCCTTGGCCAGCTGCAGCGCGGCGACCACGTTCAGACCGGAAGAGGTGCCCACGAGAAGACCTTCCTCCCTCGCCAGCCGTCGGCACATGGCCCGTCCCTCCGCTTCGTCGATGGCGCGGGCCTCATCATACCAATCCCGGTTGAGCAGAGGCGGGGGAAAGCCAATGCCGATCCCCTCCACCGAATGTTCCCCGCCATACCCCTTGGTCAATGCCGGCGCTGAAGCCGGCTCCAGGACTGCGACACGGCACCCCGGCCACCGCTGCTTCAACGTCCTTCCGGCCCCCATCACCATGCCGGCCCCGCCGATCGCCCCGCAGAAGGCGTCAATTTCTCCCGGGATCTGCGCCAGCACCTCACGGCCCAGTGTCTCGTAGCCCGGAAAGACATCGGGATTGCTGAACTGGTCGACGTAGTAGTACCCGGCGCCCTGGGCGGCGATCTGCCGCGCTCGCTCGCGCATCGCGGGGATCAGCCGCGGTGTGATCTTCCCGGATCCGCTGGGCACGATGTCGAGATCCGCCCCGAACGCGGTCATCGTGTTGAGCTTCTCCGGCGCAAACGCATCGGACGAGACCACCCGAAAGGCATACCCCTTGACGGCGCAGACAAAGGCCAGCGAGGACCCCGTGCTGCCGCCCGTCGCTTCCACCACGGTCATCCCGGGCTGCAGATCCCCGCGCCGCTCCGCTTCCTCGATCACGGACTGCGCCATGCGATCCTTGTACGAGCCGGTCGGGTTCAGGCTCTCCAGCTTCATGAATACCCGGGCGCTGTCGGGAGGAACCACGTGCGTGAGTTCGACACATGGCGTGTTACCGATCGCGCCCAGGGCGCTGGTGGTGCTAGGTCGACTCGACATGCTGTGGCTCAGAGAAGACGGACGATGCGATGCGTAGTGTACGGAGGGAAGGGGGTGAAGAGAGCGAACGAATTGTTGGGATCAGGTGATTGGAACTTGGGTGTGAAAAGCAATTGAACTTGTTTTTGCCATTTTACTAGGTAGACCACTATGTTACGGTACTGCATGGGCTTTTATGTGTACAGTATTAGGGCAGGAGCACTCAGGCTGCATCTATCTATTGGGGTTCCGCTGAATCGGGACAACTTGCGCTTCTCCAAAATGCCAAGCCAGCCTTACCGTGGAGACAGACTAAGGAGGCGGACGGTTCGGCAAAAAAAAAAAATGGTATCGCCCCTCGTCATCTCCGATCCTGATTTCCTTTTCCCTTTAAGTTGGAATTGGTAACATGTGCGGCGGGGTGGACTGAACCATGGCCACCACCCGCCAGACACAGTGTACAAAACACGCTGAAGCCCATCGGGGAGCAGGGGTCAACGTCCGGGGACAGGTTAATTGACGTAATGTATAAATCCTGTCTCTTCCGTTGGAATACTTGACTGTATCTAGCCAGAACAGCAGAACAGCAGAATAAAGCAAAGCCTGCTGCCGAAGATTGTCTCGTTTCACCTCGCAAATCCCTCTGTGGCTGTACTACCTTCAGAATATGACGGATTCGTCGGGACCTGAAAATGCACCGCCCTCCGCCCATCGAAAGCCCTAAGAGGGACCACTCCCGTCGGTACGTCACGCCTTGTAGCCCGGGACAACCAGCTTGGCATGGTCTAACCCCGCTAGACACTACGTTCTGATCGTGTTGTCCGGATTCATGCGCAACTTCACCGCGTGTGGGATTGTCTTCGCCTATGGGGTTTACCAAGCCAAGTATGAGAAAATGGCTACCCGCCACGGCACTCCCTTCACCGGCGCCTCCTCCGCCGAGATCACCCTAATCGGGAGCTTGTCCTCGGCGATAATGAAGCTCGGCGCACCCTTTGTGGTGGCATGGTGCAAGTGTTTCAGTCCCCGCATCGTAGGATGCGTGGGCGGCCTCATATTCGGGGTGGCGAACATCCTTGCCAGCTTCGGCACCGCGGCCTGGCACTTCCAACTCTCGCAGGGGCTGCTTCTCGGCATCGGCAGCTGTCTCTCATAATACATGCCTTCGATGATCGTACCACCAACATGGTTCTCCGAATGCCGCGGCCTCGCCCTGGGTTTCATTTCGGTCGGCACCGGCATCGGGGGTCTGATGTTCGCCCCCGTGATTCAGGTCTGTATCTCCGCCCTCGGCTTCCGGGATACACTCCGGTCTACTATATCTCTTCGTACGGCCAGACGTTGGGCTACAGTGAGTCCGAGGGCGCCAACTGGACCTCTCTGAGCAACGTGTGCAATGCGATTGGGAAGGTCGCCGGACCTGCCTGCGGCGAAGGCCTGCTTCATCGTGTTCACTGTTCTGTATGGCCTGTTCGCCAGCGCCTATATCGGGCTGTCCTCCCCGGCCCTGGTCGAGCTCTTCGGTCTTGAAGACATGCCCCGCATCACCGGCATCATGTACATGATGCAGGGCGCTGCCGGGTTGGTCGGCACCCCCGTGGCGGGGCTCCTGGTGCGCACGTCCAACGGTAAGACCACCTCGCGCAGCTACCTGGATATGGCGATCTTTGTCGGCGCCTTGATGGTCGCGTCCACCCTGGCGGTCGCCTGGGTTCACGTGGAGCAGGGATTTGGTCGTGTTCGTGGGCATTATTCGTGGGTGTGGAAGCTCTAGGGTTTAGGCAGGTAAGTATGGGATATCTATCAAAGATAAATCATATATTGAAGGCGTCATCTCATTGGTAATAGGCCACAGCCGTGCTGCTATAAGCTGGATTAATGGTTATAATTTCTAGATATTCTGTGATGAGCTCAGGGCCCCTGTTGTCCTGGTTCAATTTAGTAGGTTCTTCAGCCAGGCAGGTATACTACAGGCAGCAGACTTGATAGCCGTACTACGGAGACCAAATTGAAGAGAAATAATAGAAGAGCTCGAAAAACAGCGGGCACCTGCGCCCTATCAACTAGACCTCTGGATAGCACGGCTCGCAATATGTACAGCTTGTTTTCCTAGAATGAAGTTTATCTACTTATACCCCCCCCAAAATAGGCCACTTGTAGCTGACGAACTACAGTTGATTAGTACAGCTTCTAGAAAAATAGGGAGGGGAGGCACTGTAGCTCTATTCTTTTGTTTTTGTTGTGTTTGTCAAGCAGTGGCCTTCAGGGGTTGTGCTGGCGATCCTGCCCCGGCCTCTCCATTGTAAGTGACTTGGTCAATGTGTTGGAATAGCACCGCACACTAAGTAGCCACTGTACAAGGTCTTCTCCCAGCAGGGGCTTCAAAATCCACCAGCTGAGTCACCGCCGAACTGCGCGCAGAAGGGACCGTGTCACGTGACACAGTCACAGTCGTAGCATTTGAGACAGCCGAAGTTCTATTCAAGGAGGTTAGAGTAAGCTTTTCCATGGCTACCTCTATAGAGCGCGGTGTCCTTCTGCTAGACTTCATCAAGAGCTATTCTGAGGAATAGTAGGGCACATCGCACGCAGCCCTGAGTCTCTGGACTGTACTTACGAGAAGCACCTATCGGAATAAGTCTACCTCTTGCCAATGATGGTGCATGGCACTAAGGTAACTCCTGAGCATCATCTCCCCTGCCAGGTGCGCTGCTGAAGAGTCGCTCTTCCAGGTCCTTGGACCGAATGGTTTTATCTCAATCTGCTCACTGGTTCTGGGGTGCTCAGCTGTTCTTGATGCCTCAGGTTCATAAGTATCGGAAATACCTGAGTCCCCGCTTTATGCAGCTGTTGTGATTGGCTACCTCGTCTACATCTGCTTTCTTATGCTGCTTTGATTCGCTGGACATACTGCTGATTAATTTTCAGCTATGTAAGCCATTCCCACGCATTTGTTCCTCCAAGATACAAAACATCTGTACTTCACCTTACATTATCTTTGATTCAATCAACATGATTCGCTTGATGCGACCCTGATTCAGTACTGAAGGCTCCCCCAGGGTTCAAAGCACTGCACAGCTTCTCTAGAGCTACGTATCTCGGATACTGCCGAAATGTTCCAACCTGCACGATCTGCCTGCAGGCCAGCAACGGCGCCTCGCGGGCATGGCACTAAAACCCGGCTGATTGAGACCAATCGAGATCCAGCGCAGTGATTGGATTGGAGGGGGAAAGACCCCTGTCACGTCAGTCTACTGCTATCGAGGCAGCCTACTGCTAGACCCCATTATTTAAGAGAGCCAGATCTCGCGCAATCGTCCATCATACGTTTCCTGCCAAATTCCCAATTCCCAACTCCCATTTCCCAACTCCCAACTCCCTACATGGAGTCACCGATCGAAACAGCTATTCTCTCGAAGCCTCAAAGAAAGGCGTTCTCGAAGAGATCCCGCACCGGATGTCGGACCTGCCGGTAAGTAGTCTGTCTGCCTTGGACTTGACAGACTGGCTGAGATTAACTAAAAAAAACCTTGATTGGCGCAGAGCCCGCCGTGTCAAATGCGATGAATCCCCTGGTGCATGTAACAACTGCACAAGTACCGGTCGCACTTGCGCGTATGACATGCAACGGCTTCCGCCAGCAGGTGGTCGTAAGAAAACCACCGCCAAAGCCATCGTACTGTCCGCTCCTAACGGCGCATCTGCCACCATCCGCGCCGCCATCGCAGCCAATTTCCAGTGGAAGGTGACCTCGGATGAGAGCCGCTGTCTCTCCTTCTTTCAGCACCGTTCTGTTCCGCAACTCGTGGGCTATTTGGACTCGCCTCTATGGCGGGAACTGATTCTCCGCTTGTCCTGCACGGAACCCGCGGTGTACCATGCGGTCGTTGCACTTGGGGCAGTGAGCCAGGCCAACGAGATGGCAGGCCGTACTCCAAGGCCCGGGCAGCAGCACCTGCTGCGGGATAACTGGTACAGCTTCGCGCTGGAACAGTCCTCACGCTCATTTGCTCTCATCCATAGGAGACGCAGGTCGCACGATCCGCAGCTCCAGGAAGTCATTCTGGTCTGCTGTCTGCTTTTTATTATTTGCGAATTACTGCGTGGGAACGTCACCGAGGCCACCTTCCATCTGCAAGGAGGGCTGCAGATCTTGCATACGATGAATATCGAGCGACGCTCATCGGGGCTAGAACTCAGCTCCGGTGGAGTGGACGAGTGTGTCGTGGAGTCCTTCATGAACTTCCAAGAAGGGTCAATCTACTATGGTCTGAAGGAGCCCCTGCGTTTCGACAGCCAGTTCGTCTACGACCAACCATACGAGGCGTACCTGCAGCCCTTCCAGAGCCTCTCCTACGCACGCAGGGCCTTCCGGCCACTCCAACACACCGGCTTCGAGCTGATCGCGACGTGTATGTCGGCGTCCGAGGCCGACATCGCGAGCAACTACTCCACAATCCACTTCCAGCAGCACCGGCTGATCGCCCTGCTCACCCGCTACTTGCAGGCGTTGGACGACTTCTGCCTGCGCACGTTCGGGATCACCTCCTTCACCTGCCCCGTCATGGCCACGAGCCGGGACCCCGCGCGCCGCAGGGAATACCGCGAGCTCGAGCTGACGCGGCTCACCTGCCTCGCGCTGCTCCTGGGGCTGAAGACCGCCACGTACAGCAAGCGGCAGCCGTCGGTGCCGGACCGACACCTCTGCGAGCGGAAGAGCCTGATGGCCGCCGCGCAGACGGTCATGCGCAAGTTCGACGGGCCGGACCGCCCCGCGTTCGCGCCCACCAGCACCATCGTGGCGGCCGTGTACATCGCCGCCCACGTGTGCCCGGACCACACCTTCTACTGCCTCGCCAGCGACCTGCTGCGCTCCTGGAGCTCCGACGAGGGCTTTATGAGCTCGACCATGAACGCCAAGATCCTCGACGAGTCGCTCAAGCTGTACCTGGCGCAGGTGTGGCGCAGCGCCGCCCCCTTGCCGCCCGGGGTGACCTTCACCACGGACGCGGCGGGCCTCCAGGTCACGGCCCACCTGACGTATTGCGCGGATGGGGTCGAGAAGCGCCGGTCCATGGTTCTCGAGGGGGATGAGTCCCTCGTGGCGGAGCTGCGGGCCATCGACAACTCTCGGGATTGGGCGTGTTCGCGCGCCTTGGGGTTGCTGGAGAGGAAAAGTTACTGTGAGGACTGATCGGTATATGCATTTGCACTCGGACACTATAGATAACCTCTAGACCATGAATTTGTATATATTCGATGTGAGTCCCTGTTGTAAGAGCGAAAATCAAGCTTACAGATCTGCATTCACCCAGCTGCGCTGATGTGTCATGGTGCATGGATCTATGGTTCGTCCACGGCTGAACCATCCCTGCGAATTTCTCGTAACCGGATCTCTGAGCTTTCAAGAGTAGTAGGTAGCCCAATTGACTATGCGCGTGATGCCCCGATGGTCCTATCATGACCCATTGAAATAACCAGATCAGACTGTAGGAATCACCATGCATCCTAGGGAGTAAGGGAGCAGGGTCCGTCTACGAACCAGATCACCTGGACTCAATTGAGGCAGGTGGTATATAAGTCCTTTCCCCCTTTCTACTCTCCTTGTTGAATGAAAAGCATCACTGACATTTAGTCTACTCGCTACTAAGCATAAACTTTGTGGAAAGCAAAGCCGAATTGCGCAAAAATGTCCTTGGGTGATATTTTTCCCAAAGAGTAGCAGAAGCCCTGTGTTCTTCGTCTGCCTAGCCTCTGGTTCCCATCATGCGTCACACTGCAGATAAATCAAGACTTTCCAAGGAAGATGTTGCACAACTTCTCAGTCGCTCGATCCTGTGCGACCGGCATGTTTGATGCTGTGCGAATTTCAGCTCTGGAACTTGCGTGGCTGCTGTCGCACTGCAGATGGTTCATGTATCCACCGTACGTGAGGGACGATTTACATCGACTTTATCTCAAACAACTTTTGATGAGACGGCCGGTCACGTCGTCGCGGTTAGTGGAGACTCGTGGCTGCTGTTATTGCGCATCGCCTTCGTCCACTCACCAAAGGGGCGCGAGTCTGGCTAAGGTTCTCGCCGATCGGTCTCAATCAGGACTACGATCGTCGCAAGACGGCCATCGAGCTGAGTCTGATGGTTTCGCAAGCAGGCGGAAAGCTGAACAGTGGGTTCAAAATGGTCGGCGGTGGTTCTCGCTGATGCAGTCCCAGTCAGCTTCACATTGCTTTTGCGAGGCAGGACTAGTGGTTTGCAGGGCTCTCTGTAAAGCTAGTTCGCCAGGGTTGTTATTCTTTGTGGAAAGGCTGCCAATTGCATACATATATGAGTCGTGTCTCAGATGTTCCAGCACAGTGGTTCCAGTCTCATTCCAACCTCCAATCTGCTGGGACTTAGTCACGGACATTCTACATTTCCTCGTGGTAACGCGACAGGCTGAGACTTTTGACTGCATCTCTGCCTTCCCAGCCTTGCCTCTAAGGCTTGCAGCATGCGTTCTCAAGATGAAGTCGATCTAGAACGGAAACCCTTACTCGACCGACGCTCGCGAAAGCTCTTCCAGATCCTAAATTACAACTGGGCGATTTTCCCGTGCACAGCCTTTCTATCGTTCCTAGGTACGCGCAAGGCCTGTCTCTGATTATCTCATGCTTACTGGTCCGTTGTAGGGGTATATTTTCTGATGGTGTGGGCGGGTGTCCCCGAAGCAATTGTGCAACCGGGGGTGCTCTGGACGCGCGACTGCACGATCATTACCCTCATCATCACCCCGTTCCTCCTCGCCCAGTTCCCCCCCTACTACATCCTCTGGGGCATGTGTCTCCCCATCCGGCCGTTCTCGTACACCCAGGCCCCAAAACAGCGGCCCTTCCGCAGTCTGCGAGTCGTGCTCGTCACCAAAGCGACCAACATCCAGGGAAGTACTGTCACTGCAACATCCCTCTCCCTGTACTGACCAAAACAAAAGACCGTCCTCCACACCGTCGAGCTCTGGAAACCCCTCAGCCAAGCCTTCCGCCTCAGCTTCATTGTCGTCGTCGACTCAGCCCACAACCCCTTCACCACCCTCCTCCCCAGCTGGGTCGAGCAGCTGCAGTGCCCGCCTTCTTTCCAGGCCGCGCGCGCCACCCACAAGGCCCGAGTACTGGAATGGTACCGGCGGCACAGCAGCCTCACCGACCGGGACTGGGTGCTGCACCTGGACGAGGAGACGGAGATCGACGACTGCCTCATGCAGGCGTGTTTGGACTTTATCGAGCGGGGGAGCGATGATATTGGGATGGTGCGCACTTGTCCTATGCCTTTACCCCAACCCCTTCTTTCTCAATCTCTCTCGCCCTCCCTTTTCATGCAAAGCCCTGACTAAAGAAAGGGAACAATCTACTACAACGCCTCCTCGCACTGGAAACATCCCTTCACCACGGTCGCCGAGATCCTGCGCATCGCCGAGAACTTCGGCCGGTATCAGCTCCCCGTGCGGTTCTTCCGGCAGCCGTTGCTCGGGTTCATGCGCGGCAGTTTTTTGTTGCTGAACGGCACGGTCGAGAACGCTGTGACTTGGGATACGGACTGTTTGACGGAGGATCATTGGTTCGCGTATTATGTACGTGCCCTTCTCCCTGCACTCCCGTGTCCGGGTGCGAGAGTAGGGCGTGAGCTTTTAGCACAAGCCCTACAGACGACTGATTGACGGAGGATAGGCCGCAAAGCAAGGCTTCACATTCGGATGGCTGAACGCGATCGCCCGCGAACAGGCACCCTCCACGCTGGGCGATCTGCTCCGACAGCGCCGGCGGTGGTACAGCGGAGAGCTGATGATCCCCAGCTGGGCGCTGCGCGTGATGGTGATGTTCAACACGTTGGAGTTTGTGGCGCATTTCTGCTTGTATGTGCCTCTCCCTCGCCTCTAGCTATGCTGGGATTGCAGCTCTCGTCTTTGTTTATATAAAGAAAGATTGCTGATATTATGGGGGAGAATGATGACCATGATCTACGGCGGCTGGACCATCTCCGTCTCCTACGGCTTCTTCGTCTGGACCACCTTCAACCTGGCCGTGCTGCTGCACGGTCGCGTGGTCGCGTGTCTGATGGAGGATCTGGACTGCCATGCCACGGCACTGCTGGATATTCCCCTACATGTCGTGCTGACGGTCGTGCTGGCGCCGGTGGTGGATTTGGTGCAGGCGGCGACGTTCCTTTCGGCGGTGGTGTGGCCGACGAGGGAGTTTACGGTCATTCGGAAGGATTAGCTGTCGCTGGGAAGAGGTTGGTTGTGGTTTTGTTGCTTTGTTATTGTTGTTGTTCTGTTTTGTGAGGGTAATGTTTGCGGGGGTGGATGAAGTTCTGTTGCTGGTGAGTGCTTGAGATATTGTTGTGCATCCTCTATACTAACTGCTATCTTACTCCATGCTTGAGTATTTGCACTGAATCAACCACCCACTACCCAGGAGGGACAAAAGGAGAGTAAATGGAGTAGTAACCCAGCTCACCATTCCAACCAAGCCCTGTCGCAATCTCAATTACTCTGAACCCCACACCCACACATCTACACCCACGTGTTTCCAACTCTTGCCTTTGTTCTTTTAGTCGCATCACGGCCAGTGATATGAGATGAGTTGGCATAAGTATGGGCAACCGGACTGGACTGTATTCTGGTTCTGCCTCTAGGGCCGGGGGGATACCCAATTCGACTGCATCGGGGTCCGGTTCATGCATAGTTCGGGGACCATGTAGCGAGGGGCTATCTGAGTGTGTGCTATACTGATTGTTGTCGTGGCCGTCGTGGCAATGCTATTTTACCGTCGTGCCCTGCCTTGTTTTCTGATTTTATTCTTACGATGCTGGGCGGTGCGGATCTAGTGAGGTGTAAAAAGCGCTGTGTTCATTGTGGAGGATATTGATCCTCATCCTGTTTCTGGGATACTCTACATAATTTTATCGTGAGTCTCCACAGGGGAATGAAGGATCAAACGCAAAGCATACAGTTGATGTTGGGTATCTAGCAGAGTGCTAGAACAATTGGCACGGGACTGAGGTTCTGGTGTGGCCTGTGCCCTGATGAAATTATATATCTTGCGCAAACCCGGCACAATACCAAAACAGAATCTCGCCACCAACAACGAAACATTAATCCACAGACTCAGACATATGAGAAATACTATCTCTCTATAAAATCAAATAAATCCAGTAGATTTCCAACACAACCACCCATACACCATAGCCCTCAAAACCTAACACACTGCAAACCAGATGTATGCTGCTGATTCCCCACCACGCCCTAGACAAGGTTAGCAAAAAGAGCGGCACCTTCAACAACTTGTCTCGATGGTGTAGTTGGTTATCACGTGGGTCTCATATCGCAGCATATGACTCGGAAGCGCAACTTCTGGGCGATCCCAAGGCCGGGAGTTCGAACCTCCCTCGGGACATTTCTTTTTTTCCCACCACCGTGCTGTAGAGGTGGGATGGTTTTCGTTCTTTCACCTTGTGATTTGATTTTTTTTGTCCCGAAAGAATGGGACTGCACATTGCGTCATTACCTCTGGATACCTTCTTGGTCCCTGGGTCGGTCGTGCTGCCGAAACCTTACGTAGAGTATCATGGTACATACGCACGCGACATCGGGGTTACCGCAGCATGACGATGCAAACTGACTTCCGTTCCCGCTGGGTGGTCTAGTCGAGACACATTTACAGGCAGAAGAGCTTACACAGTTCGGAAAGAATCATCAGCAGAAATCCGTCGCATTGAGCAAATCCCCTCATATAGATCCGAACAGACCAGAAGAATCATCCAAGACCAAGAGTACGTGTTATTGCTCGGGCCGCAGACTTGTACTGTAGTACCCCCACCCGCAAAAACAACTCTTCAGACATCTTTCATTCACCATCACCTAATCTTGCCATAGCCTGTGGGCCGCAAAGTTAGTCATCCAGAATGGGCCTATGGCGCAATTGGTAGCGCGTACGACTCCAGATCGTAAGGTTGCCTGATCGAGCCGGGCTGGGCTCATCCATTCTTTTTTGCCCTTCCCTTTTACACCCGGTAGTTGTACCCTAATTTCCCTCACTTCACAATGGTAGGTAGTACGTAGATAGATTACGATTACATCTCTCGCATATCCCAGCACGAAAGAAACATTAATATTCTGCTAGGCATAATCTAACACTCTAATCTATTATTACCACAGAGAGTAAAAATCTGCTCCGACACAGGCATTCACGCCCACCCCCGCTTCTGCTTCCACTGCATGAACTTGGCGGCGAAAGGGAAGAGCAGGATGGAGAGGGCGATCCAGATGAAGAGGACGGCGAAGTCGAGGCCGATGCGGGAGTGGGTGTCGAAGAGGATGGTGCGAAGGGCCTCGACGACTGTTTTTCCTTCGGGTCAGTATCATCGCGATGTATGCATTCCCAAGGAGGGGAGGGGGACTTACTCCGATGCAGCGGCCACGCGTACCCCCACCGGAAGAACCCCGGCGCCAGATCGATGGCATAGAAGCCCGTGGCGACGTTCGTGATCACCCAGAAGATTAAAAACAGTGAACTCCACGGAAACCCGATGATCATGGCCATGTTCTCGCAGGGAAAGCCCAACGCACACATCCCCACCCAGTTCAGCATCCAGTACACCACGAACGAGCCGTGGCCGTACGCGTTGGGGTTGTCGGCGGGCTCGACGGGCGAGGCCGGCGGGTTGGTGAAGGGGATCTGGAAGGCGAGCGAGACGAAGCTGTAGAACAGCGAGAGGCAGAAGTACGTCCCGATGTTCGAGACGATGCGCCACAGCAGCCACTGCGGGATCTTGAGCGAGGGGCTGTTGGGCGTCTTGAGGAAGCGCAGGTGCACCGGCATCATGAAGGGCGTGTTGAAGAACGCCAGGATGATCAGGTAGATCAGCCCGATGCTGGTCGCCGGGGAGATGACGGCCGGGCCGAAGAAGCGTAGGTCAATTTGCGTGAAGCCGATGGCCGGGTTGAGGGCTTGCGCCGGGGTTTGCGTTAGGTTGGTGCTGGTACTGGCCGTAAGGTTCTGGATCCAGCGCGGCCCGAAGTAGCTGCGCACCGCTTGCTCCAGCCCCCAGAATTCGGGCAGGATGTAGTTGTAGTAGGTGGATTCGTCGCGCGCGCTGATGATGATGAATTCTGCTGCACCGTAGGGGTCGTACGAGGTGTTGCCCCCGGTGACGGCTCCCTGGAGGAGGGCGGTCGCGTTGGCGTTGATGATGATGGCCGCGTAGGCGTGTTCGTCGTACACGCTCTGGCGCACCGCCCACGGGTCGTTGTTGAAGTCCGCCGGCGAGCGGATCGTGTACCCCAGTGCTTCCGGGTTGGTGCGGACGGTCTCCTCGACTACGTGCGTGATGGCTGGGCCCACGATCGGGGTGGTGTTGCGATAGGGCTCCACTTGGCCGTCGAAGTCGACGACCCAGACGGTGAGATTCTGGAAGCGCGTCTCGAGCTTGAATTGCACGGCCCAGAATAGCGACAGAATGCCTAGGATGAAGGTGCAGAGAACCAATACTGCTCAAGGGTCAGTTTTGATGTGCCCTAATTTACCGTCAGTTGGGCCAAACTCACCGGTCTTCCCCCACTGGAGGAAAACATGACGTCGGACTGGCGATAAGGCAGGATCGAAAAACGAGACGCCGGCGGGTGGCGCAGAAGGCTTGACCCCCGTCTCGGCCTTGTCAATGGACTCCTCGGCGCTGCTCATCCTAAAGGAACGGAAGGATTACGAGGCGCAGAGATGGCTTGGATTGATGAAGGCCAAGGATGTAACCAACAAAAAGGGACCAGGCTACCAACTAGCTCCAAGGCAGGCGAGCGGGCGACTTTTAACCCTAAGCATGGCCGATGGCTTGGATGCATCATTTGTCGACGCTGGCTGCGTAATTCGGCCTGTTATCCCCTTCGAGTAATCAAATTCTTATCTCCGGCGCAGATGCAGATCCATGGGTCTCATTGGCCGCGCCTTCGGCCTCGATCGGGGCCCGAAGGGACGCGAGCAAATTTGCTTAGTGACCTTGTTAAAGGGGTCTGGGTCAGGAGACTGAATCCATGGCTCTGCTTGTGCCGGATTCCCGGATCTCGGAAATATTTGCTCAATGCTTACTTATGCTTATACAGTCACCCGCGATCCATCCATCCCTTGCGCTACCCGCATCCTTATCTGATGGATCTATCCTACTATAGATAAATAAGCAACGCCTCGGACTCTTGCACAGTGAAGGTCGCCTGGCCGCTCTGCACCGCCGTCGTCTCCGTCTCCTCCGTGCCTTGCAATGCACACGTCCCGTTGGCAAATGTCTGTCCCCCGATGGTGATGGCCCCCGCTCCCACGGTCGTAGTCGCCGCATCTCCCGTCAGTCGCTTGGCTGATACGGTGGTCGAGGACAGGCCGCTCAAGGTGATGTTGACGCTGCTCCGTGTCCCTGAGGTGTAGTACTCCGAGTTGTACAGCAGCACCCGCGACGGCGCGCCGCTGCTGTCGTAGATCGTGTACGCGGCCACCCGGCTGTCGCCGCTGTCCAGCTGCGCGACCTGCGACGCTCCCCCGAGCGCCAGCGCCGCGGTATAGGCGCCAAAGAATGGGGCGTTCACGGTCTCGTCCCACCAGCAGTACGGACCTGCACGTGTCAGAGTCAGTATCGCCCTCATACTGCACTTTATCGACCACTTACAGTTGCCAATGGTTCCCTGATGGAAATACAGTTGCTGTCGACCGTGTCAGTTCTGTCATATCAGCATCCACGTGGACGGTTTGCTTCCTCACCTTGATCCCCAGAATAACCGCCTGCATCGCGTAGTCTAAAATCCACAAGCCCGCGCCAAAAGTGGGACTGATCCCCCCGCCTCCCCCGGTTGCTGCTCACGCATTAGTTGGCTGACCACTTCCAGGATGAACTGGACGCACCGGAATTGGTCTCCCCCATCACGAAATCCTTGTCAAGCTCATGCGCCGCGGACACCTGCGACTGGAACGCGGTCACGCCCTCCACGATCTCCTCGTGGCTCATCAGCCCATCGAGATCCGCGGTCGAGGCGGAGTAGGGGTAGTAGTGGTGGCAGAAGGAGCGCACGTATTGCGTGGCATCCGTTTCTTCCTCCTCGCCCACGAGGTTGGTCACCTCGTAGGACCCTAGTCCGAAGAAGACGCCCGCTTGGATGATGGCGGTCTTGTCGAGTGCTGTTGCGACCGAGCTCTGCCATGCGACTTGTGACACGGCGTCGGCGGCAGCGGTCCAGGATTTGCCGTCGGCGATAGGGTCGCTGGATGTGAAGACTGGTCGAGGGTTAGATCGGTTGGAATGGCGGGGCAGGGGAACGTACAGTTTGGCTCGTTGCCGAGTTCGATGGCGTATAGGTTACTGATCGTGGAGGTGGCGACTTTGGCGGCTGCGATGGTGTTGTTGATGTTGTCTAGGCGTCTATTGAACCCTGGAGAGGGTTAGTACGGTGGGTGACAGGGAGGTGTCTGGTGGCTTCATACCGATGGTGACAGATCCACTATAGCTCGCTGCGATGTCCATGAACGAGTCTCCGAAGGTCAGCGTCTCGGGGGCGTCGTCCGGCGAGGCGACGGTGTAGGATACGGCAGACGATAGGGAGGCGTTGTATGTCGCGCGGTCCCTAGTAAGTCAGTGGGTGAAGATTGACTCGAAGAGGAGAACTCACTGGGTGGTTCCACCGATCCGGATCGGGGGACTCGTTCCATATGCATCGGCCAGCACTCCCAGACAACCGTCGGTCAGGGACAACTGCTCGAAGTACTCGGGGAACGCGAAGAACTCGAATCTGGGTTGTTAACTCTCATACCAGGGATGAGCGAGATCGAGAGAAGACTCACGACAAGCCCACCGGCGCAGCATCGATCTGCGCACTCGCATTGGCAGGCACAGAAGAAGGGATCGCGAAGCTCAAGCCGTTGGCCACGCTCGCAGTAGTCAACACACCGCTGACTATGGCAGTCACACCTAGTTTCCTTGTAGTCATCGTCAAGTTCTGTACACACCCGAAGATTGATGGAGTTACAGTTGACCGGCTTGACCTGGGAGCCGTGTGGCCATAAATGGAGCTCATCCTACGCTCCTACATCCCCTCGGTTATTTATCTGGCTCAATGGCTGGCCAGCAGGAGCCCCTCGGATAAATTGAGAGCAGTTCGTCAGCCCACATGCAGGTGTCTCGGAGAATTGACCAGCGAGCAGGTCGACTCCAAGATGGATTGGGAGAAGATCGACTCCAGTGACGCTCAAGTGCGGGGAAAACGCGGAGAAGCCGGGGTGAGCAACGATCGAGTTCTTCCACCAAACACCATGCGTCACTTGTTCTTGTTGTAGAATTAACTTGTGATATAGTCAGAAGTCTCAAGGAGAGATGTTGGACATAGCACCATCAGTCCAGCAGAGAACAGACGGAGGGATACCCTCCCATACAAGATAACTAACTTTGAATCCACCACATGAAGTGACATCAACAACCTCACCTCAACCCTCAACCCTCAACCCACAACCCTCAACACCACCACCAACATGACCGTCCCCGACCTCCACCCCCAAACCTCCATCCTCTCACCAGATCCCCCCACCACCCACCGTCTCAACGCCTGCGCCTACCAACAAAGCGCCCTCACAACCCTCGCCCACACGCAATACGCCGCCTTCTACACCCCGACGCCCGACCCGACCACGCGCTTCCTCACCCTCGCGCGCCGCGATCTCTCCAACCAAACCGGTGAATGGCACCACCTCACCTTCACCGACTACGCCCAGCGCACCGACGACGGCCACAACACCATCTCGCTGGGCATCTGCGCCGGCGACGGCACTATCCACCTGGCCTTCGACCACCACTGCGACACCCTGCACTTCCGCCTCTCCCAGCCGGGTTTGGCGTATGACACGCGCGAGACAAGCTGGACGGCTGCCAGTTTCGGGCCGGTGCAATCCCATCTGCCTGGGTGCAGCACATTAGTCGATGTCACTTACCCCCGGTTCATCTCCGCAGGGAGGAACCTGTTCTTCGAGTGTCGCATCGGACGGTGTGTCATCTTCCCCTTGCCTTTCCCCATTCTCTTCCCCATTCTCAGCACCCACCCCTAATGAAGTGAAAACAGAGCAGGCGCCGGCTCAGAAGCCCTATACGCCTACACCCCAGCCCTAACCACCCCAGCCACAACCACAGATACACCCACCCTCCAATCCGCAGATGCGGGCTCAAAGCTAGGAAGATACACCCCCCACCCCACGCACCAAGCCCTCTATCTCCACGGCCAAAACTGCAACCCCTACCCAAACGGGCTCTCCTTCCACCCCCAAACCAACACGCTCCATCTCACCTGGACGAACCGGCATTTCGTCCCCTACGACGGAGCAGGGGACCCGACCTCCACCGCGCACAAGGCACAGGCGGGGCCGAACGGGCCCGAGAATAACGAGGGGCTTTACCATGTCTTTGCTGAAGTCGATGACGCTCCCCCGGGAGAGGGGATAAGCGTGCGGTGGCGCGGGGGTACCGCCAAGGAGATCCTTGCAACCGGTGCGTTCGGCGCGGACCTCCCAGCTGAGGAGAAAGCGATAGGGCTGGACTCCCAGGACCCCCGGCTCCGGGTGAGGGATATCCCCCGCGGCAGCGGGATTATGAATCAGGAGGGCCAGTTTGTCGATGCCGATGGCGGGGTGCATGTTTTGAATCGCGAGAATACCCGCCAGGGCAGGGAGGAGTGGGTGTATTATGCTTGTCTTCCGGACGGAAAGGGGAAGGCGGAGGCTAAGTGGGAGAGCTGGGCGTTAGAGGGGGTATATCCAACGGAGACGGGGTTAAGGGGCAAGGTGGTTTGCGTTCAGGGTAGGGTCTGGTTTGTCTTGCCGGAAAATGAGAGGGAGGAGTGGGTGCTGGCGCGGTGGGGGAGGGAGGACGGGTTGGAGGTGGTCTGGAGGGGGAAAGGGTTTACCGGGGAGCCGGTGGTGGATGAGCGGGCGTTGGTGGAGTTGCGGGTTTTGTCAGTGTTTGGGTTGAGGATTGCCGGGGAGGGGAGGGAGGTTGTGGTTGTGACGTTTGGGTTGGAGGAGTTGAGCTGATAGTTTTTGGAGTGGATGCGCTGTAGGACCGAGTAAGTCGCTTCTATATCAACCCTTCGCGGATGGCTCGATGAGAAAGAGAAGGACAAGAATAGGGCGAGGGCTAGGAAACGGAAATCGTCGGGTGAGATGCCGAAAGACAGACACTGACGGAATCTCAATACGCAATACAAAGCACTTCTGCATATGTCATCTCTTGATATTAACTATAACTAAATCATCATCCATGAGCACATACTCAGCAATGATCCGTCCACTGCCCCCAAACGGACAGCACATAAAGACACGCATCCCACGGCGGTATGCAACAATGTAACATGTAGAGAAGGAAACAACAAAGAAAACCTGGATATTAAAGAACATAGACCGCCGCCGCCGTCTATGAATGCTCGTGTGGGATGCGGTCGCAAAGAAACGCAATTTTGTACAGGCGTGATATCGTATTAACAATCCGGTTACTCGGGCTTGCGAGCAACCATCAGGTACATCGGCGTGAACAGCTTCTTCTCACCACCGGCCACCAGACAGTCACCGGCCAGAGCCAGACTGTCGGCGGTCTTCTGCGAGCCCGCGGGGGCGAATCCGATCTTCTCCAAGGCGCCAACGAAGCGGTGCGCGATCCCACGGCCCCACCAGGTCATGCGCGCAATGGTGAAGAAGTCCCAGATGGTACCCATGTGCTTGAAGGAGCCGGCCAGAGGATAGTACCAGGGGATCGAGTCGGGCCGGTCGGCCAAGTCCTCGTTGTGGAGGAGCTCGAAGCCAGCGTCCTTGACGGCCTGGAGACCCTCGGACACCTTGACCATGTTGGAGATACCGTCACCCTGCTCGATGCCCAGACGGATCTTGCGGTGCTCGGCGTTGTCGTTGTCGTATTCATCAGTCATCAACCATTCGTACACACCGAAGACACCGCCGGGCTTGAGCACGCGGAAGATCTCCTTGTAGACACCCACCAGCTCCGGGGCGTGGCAGGTGGCCTCGATGGCGTAGACGGCGTCGAAGGTGTTGTCCTCGAACTTCATCTGCATGAAGTCGCCCTTGACGAAGTTCAGCTTGTGGCTCAATCCCTCGCGCTCGGCGTAGCGGGTCGCGCGCTCGATCTGGTAGTCGTTGTTGTTCAATCCGGTGACGTTGGCGTCGGAGAACTTGACAATCTCGCGAGCGGGTCCGCCGACACCGCAGCCAACATCGAGAACCTTCATGTTGGCCTTGATGCCCATCGTGTGGGCCAGGTAGTGTTCGTGACGCGCAATGGCCTGGCGGAAGGGCTCGCCAGGAGCGAAGCGGCAGAAGTGGAAGGAAGTTCCCCAGCCGTATTCGTAGAAGTCGGTGGCCAAATTGTAGTAGCTAGGAAAAAAGAGTTAGATGGGCAATTGTGGTCAGAGCGGCGATGGGAGACATACTGTCGGGTCAAGGTCGCATACTCCGCTCGGCGGGCCTGATGTTTGTGATTGATTAGCTTGGCCCAGCGGCAACGGGCGCCGGTTGCACAGTGCTTACCGCGCGAATCTCCTCGGTCTCGTCCTCGGCGCTCTTGTTGTCCCAGTGCTTGAAGTACTCGTCAACGGCGGCCTTCTGGGCAGCGGCGTCCTTGCCACGCATGGCAGCAATACCACCCTGGGCCTGCGCGGACTTTCCATGCAGGACACGGTTGAACTCAGCGTCGCGCACATGGTTCTCCTGTTCCAAAGCGGTGGGAGCCATTTTGAGAGTTGAAAGTGGTGGTGGGGATTAAAAAGGGGGTAAAGCCGGGTTGAAGAAAAGTGGGCTGTGCGAAGAATGAAGAAAGGGACAAGAGAAGAAGAGAAGAAGAGAAGGCAATTATATATCCACGACCCAGTTGAATGGAAGGGAATTGATAAAAAGAAATTGAAGCCGAACAGGCAGCAAAGAAAGGCAGGAAGAGGGGGAGAAGAGGAGGAGGAGGTGAAGTGGAATGGAATGAAACGAAATGAGATGGAAGGGAAGGGCCACCGTAATGTCCTTGAAGGGAACACGCAAACACGAAGAACGGGGAAAGAAAAGGGAGGCGGTGGGACTGACATTTCCCCAGCCAATCACCATTGCAGTGCTGGCCAGCCAACCAGACACCCATTTCGAGGCTGCACTAGACCTGATCGGGCCTTCCGGGGTTCTGGCCGGGAAGAAAGTGCAGCCGAACGGGACGATGGAACCACGCCTTTCTTTATATGGTCTAGTGCCAGGCATCTTCCGCGCCTCCAAGCCTTGATCTTCACCCGCCAAATCTCGTTCCTGGTGGCTTTCTTTGCGTATTGCGTATTCGCGTATCTGCGTATCTGCGTATCTCCGCGTAACTCAGTGGCAGGCATCGTCAATTCAGGGAGCAATGCATCTTGGGGCTGGCAGGGGTGCGGACAAGGATGAAATGCTCTTTGGCTTTCACATGCTGGATTATCCTCTGCACAGCCCCGTCATGACCATAGTACATAGACCATTGAAGAAAGTCAACGAACATCGTACTCGGGCATGCACTCGAGTCGAGACATAGTCCAGAATGCATCACGTGATACTGTAGCCTGACCTGACTGATTATGTCATCCGGTCGCCACAGCACCCCCCACTAGCCACATTCAGCCACGATGACTATCGATAATCCAAGTTCTTGCTGTCGCTGTCGATTCCTCCAGTTCACCTGAGCTTCGCCGCTGGAGTCCCAAACAGAGCTTCAACCCACCTCACCACTATGCCTCCTGCTCAGATCAAGCAGGATCTCAACCGATCCGGATGGGAGACCACCGACTTCCCGTCAGTCTGTGAGAGCTGTCTCCCGGACAATCCTTATGTTCAGATGCTGAAAGAGGATCATGGCGCAGAATGCAAACTTGTAGGTAGTCCCCCCGTCGCTGTGCGCACATTCGAGCCCACGCTACTAACACTGTCACAGTGTACGCGTCCGTTCACCATTTTTCGCTGGAAGGCCGACCGCACCGCGCGCACCAAGCGCACCACCATCTGCCTCACCTGCGCCCGCCTCAAGAACTGCTGCCAGTGCTGTATGCTCGATCTGTCCTTCGGCCTGCCTATCGTCGTTCGTGATGCCGCCCTGAAAATGGTCGCCCCAGGTCCGGAAAGCACCATCAACCGCGAATACTACGCACAGGGCCACGAGAAGGAGATCGAGGAAGGCCGCGGTGCCGTCGAAGAGTACGAGAAGACCGACGAGAAAGCGCGCGAGCTGCTCCGGAGACTCGCCAACAGTGAGCCCTATTACCGGAAACAGCGCCGGATTGAGGCAGCTCCAGAAGACGGGGAGGGTTCCGCGACAGCCTCCAGCGAGGCGCCCGTTGGCCACAGTCGGTACGGCAACGGGCCGGGTCCGATTCGCACCAGCGACAGCCGGAGGGGAACACCGCTGCCCGGCCGGGGCGGACGCGGAGCGGGAGGAGGCATGCGTGGTGGACGCGGCGGGCGTCCCTTCCCCAGTGCGGCGCAGGTGCCGCCCTCCGCCGACGACATCAACCCGCCCGCCGACCCCAACATTACCTCGTTGTTTGTGACGGGTGTCGAGGACGACCTGCCCGAGCACGAGCTGCGCACCTTCTTCACCCAGTTCGGCTCGCTCCGCTCCTTGATCTGCTCCCACCGCGCCCACTCCGCGTTCATCAACTTCGCCACCCGCGAGGGCGCCGAGGCGGCCGCCAAGCACTGCCAGGGCAAGGCCGTACTCCAAGGTTGTCCTCTACGCGTCCGGTGGGGCAAGCCCAAGCCGCTGGACAACATGGACCGCGAGGAACGGATGAAGAACGCCCGCGAGGGCCGACAAGCCGTGGGCTCGCGCGCCTCCGCCGATGGCGGCAAGAGAGCCCTCACGGCGGCCGGCGAGGACCTGGCCAAGGAACAAAGACCCCGCAACTACGCCGTGGCGCCACCCCCGGGTGCTGGCGAAATCCAGTACTCCAGTTTGAACGGCGATTAAATTGTTTTTCGTTGACACTGTTTTTCAGAGGACACAGGGAGCCTCCATATGATGTATACTTGAGAGCGGGCGTTTTGGCTTTCTTTTATTCGCTGTTTTGTGTATGCATTTGTCTATCTCTACAACATTGATCAAACCATGAAATACCCCAAAGTGACGCCAGAAAGGAGAGAAGTAAAAAGGGAAAAAAAACTTCGGGTATACTATAATACAATCCGCAATGCATATCTTTGCAATCAACCACCGAATCCCCAGCCCGTTGATCCGTAGTCCCTGTACAATCGAATCATCGTGCTCAGGCAGAGCAGGGCTTGTCTACCTTGACCTTCTTCCCGGCGATTTTGATGGAGTCATTGTCGCCGCGCTCGATCTCGTCATGGATCCGGAGTTCTATGAGCGAGGTTAGCATCGTCTTTCTCTGGCAGGGTGAGCCAGGGAGTCAAAGCGCACCCCACTTGGCATTCTCGTCGCCGTCGTCCCGGACACCCTGCACGATGTTGTGCCGCAGGATGTTGGCCACTTCGATGGCGTGGTTGATCTGCATGGGGGTGTCGATGCCCTGGCGCGGGTGGTTGTCGAAGTTGCGGCGGGCTTCTTGACGGGCTGCGACCATGACGCGGAGGTCGTCTATTGAGAAGGAGTAGAAGTCAGCGGTGGTCATAGAGAGGCTGTTGAATGGATGTATGGGGTGGACGGACTGTGGAAGGCCACGCGGGTCGCGCGGAGGAGTTGCCGGTAAGCACTGCGTGCGGAGACGACGCCTTGAGAAGCCATATCGAAGACGTGTGAGATTTGTGAAGAGGTCGAGTGGCTTGAGTGTTGCGTCGGGGGTGAACGGTCTGGGCTTGTACTCGAGTATGAGTCTCAAGTGACGGTTTGCGGATCGGTGGCTGCGAGAAGCGAGCGCCGGAAGTTGTTGTGAGAGAGGTGGGGTTGGAGTACAGTCTCTACTTATTCGCCAGAGCAGAAGTGAAAGACAATATCGTAGATCAATCCGATCGGAGTTGGGCGAAATTATTCTGTTGACAAGCAAGTGATCTTCGCAGCGGAATCGAGGCTTTCGAAGAACCTCCGAAACAAGCCACCCGTGATTGGCTCCGGGGCAAGCGGCAAGTCGGGGCAGAAAAAATAAAAACGCAGCGGGCGAGAAGCCTTGCCTTAGATTTTCTCCCGCCGTCACACAACCTTCCTGTTGGGGTCTTCCATTGTCTCTTTCCATCTACATCGAGGCATCTCAAAAGTCCATCATGACTTCCACTCAGACTTTCAACCTTGCTCTCCCCGCTCTGCCTTCCGGCTGGAGCGCCGAGAAGGACTTCAAGGCCGTTGGCACTCTCTCTGGCGCCACCCAGAGAAACCTCGAGGCTGTTGGTCCTTTCTTCCTGGCTCACGCCCGCAGAGTATGTTTTATGTTTCCATCCTGCTTGAAGCCGACTTTGCTCAAGATGCTTACAATTTCTGCAGAAGCGTCACGGACGTACCTTCTCCGAGGATGAGAGAATCCAGGCCCAGCAGAACGTCAAGAAGACTGAGGAGGATGACCTTGGCGAGATCTCCGAGCCCGAGGACAACATGCTCCTCGCCAGAGAGGCTAAGGATTGGAAGGTATGGTTTATCGGTGATGCAATTACTGCTACTGGTCGATACTAACCCCTTGCAGAGCCAAGATCACTACCAGGTTCTCGGCCTGACCAAGTACCGCTGGCGCGCCACCCCCGAGCAGATCAAGCGTGCTCACCGCAAGAAGGTCCTCCGTCACCACCCCGACAAGAAGGCCGCTCTGGGCGACCGTGACGAGAACGACCAGTTCTTTAAGTGTATCCAGAAGGCCCACGAGGTGCTCTCCGACCCCGTCAAGCGCCGCCAGTTCGACTCCGTCGACGAGGCCGCCGACGTCGAGCCCCCCACCAAGAAGGAAGCTACCAAGAACTTCTACAAGCTCTGGCGCAAGGTCTTCATCTCCGAGGGCCGCTTCTCCAACATCCAGCCCGTCCCTGAGCTTGGTGACGAGAACAGCAGCCAGGACGTCGTCGAGGAGTTCTACAACTTCTGGTACAACTTCGACAGCTGGCGTACCTTCGAGTACCTGGATGAGGATGTCCCCGATGACAACGAAAGCCGTGACCAGAAGCGTCACGTCGAGAAAAAGAACGCCAACGCCCGCCGCAAGCGCAAGAGCGAGGACATCGCCCGTCTCCGCCACCTGGTCGACGACTGCGCCGCTGGTGACGAGAGAATCAAGAAGTTCCGCAAGGCTGCCCGTGCCGACAAGGACAAGAAGCGTCTCGAGAGAGAGGCGGAGGCCAAGCGTCTCGTCGAGGAGAAGGAGAAGGCTCGCCAGGAGGAGGAGCAGCGCAAGAAGGATGCCGAGGAGGCCGCCAAGGCCGAGCGCGAGGCCAACAAGAAGGCCAAGGAGGCCGCTAAGAACGCCACCAAGAAGAACAAGCGTGTTGTCAAGGGATCCGTCAAGGATGTCAACTACTTCGATGAGGCTCCTTCGGCCGCCCAGGTCGACTCCGTCTTGGGAGACGTCGACCTTATCCTCAGCAAGATCGATGCCGAGGAGCTGGCTGGTCTGGCTGGCCGCCTTACTACTGCTGGTAAGGACGCTGCCGCCGTCAAGACTGTGTACACCGAGGAGGTGCAGAGACTTGTCGGCGCTGGCAAGCTCAAGGAGGGAGAGGCCAAGTTCTTTGCTTAGACGATCTGATCTGATAGAGGGAGGGGTCTTTCATCACTAGTCATGATATATTATAGATGATAGATTTCCAGTCGCCTTGCAATTAATGAGTAGCAATGATAGCATGGTTGATACATTTGTTCTACTTCAGGGGATTTCTTTTTGTTTTTTGTTTTGTTTTTGTTTTTTCTTCTTTCCATTTTTTATTTTTCTGTTATTATGATTATTGTTTTTCTTTAGGTGTTGTAATCTCCCCCCAGGTTTGTGCTGCCTGTCGCTGCAGCTGGCTGGGGCACGTGCCAGTGGCCTGGCCTCAGGCCCACTTTATATCCACTAAGTTTCCATCCCGCTCTTCCCGCTGGCCAGTCAACGCCGAGTGAATCGCAACGTGCATGATTCCTCCATGCTTCCTCCATCTACTTTTCCCTGCAGAACTGCCAGTCATTCTCAACATCCATGCATAACCAGCCGTTTTCCAGTCTCTCCGTCGGAGATTAGATACATCGTTGCGCAATCCAGTGCATGCAGGAGGGGCTAGATGCCATCGCTTAAATCTACGTGGCCAATCGCCTGACTGCAGTTACATTCAGAGCTTCCTATCGGCAGTGGAGATGTAAACACATGCCCCCATGGGCTGGCAACCATCTCGTCCGACATCGCAAGACATCTCAAATTTGAGAACAGAAAAATTATTTAAAGACGCTCCAGCATTGCATTGCTCTCATGCCCTCTTTCCTTCTTCGTGCCTCAACCCCGCAAGCCATTCGGTTCTAATCACTCACCTGGCCTCCGTTTCATCCATCGGGCATCATGTTCACCAAGCAATCCGTCTTGACCCTCCTGGGAGGTCTGTCGCTTGCTCTCGCGCAGACCACCACTGAGGAATACCCTTCCGCTGCGGAAATTGCTGCAGCCAAGGCTTCTGTCCAGCCTTACTCACCAGTGTCCAACGTCAAGGGTCTTTCGTTCAACCGCTTCGTGAACATTTGGTTGGAGAACACCGTATGTCGATCCCCCGACCATTTCGTGCAGGACAAGACATGGCTGATCTGGCTAGGACTACGATACTGCCGCCGGGAACACCCACCTGGCTAAGCTGGCCAAGAAGGGTTTGTTGCTCAGCAACTTCTGGGCTATCACCCACCCTTCAGAGCCCAACTACTGTGCCTCGGCCGCCGGTGACACCTTTGGCATGGACAACGATGACTTCCACCAGATCCCCAGCAATGTGTCCACCATCGCGGACTTGTTTGATACCAAGAACATCGCGTGGGGAGAGTATCAGGAGGCTCTTCCCTACCCTGGCTACCAGGGGTACCGCTACCCGGAGAGCGGTGCCAACGTGTACGTGCGGAAGCACAACCCTCTGATCTTGTTCGATTCCGTGACGGAAGATGCCCTTCGTCTACGACAGATCAAGAACTTCACTACCTTCTACGAGGATTTGGAGCACGAGCGTCTTCCCCAGTACATGTTCATCACCCCCAACATGACCAATGACGGCCATGACTCCAGCATCGAGACCTCCGGAGCTTGGACCTACAACTTCCTGACCAAGCTTCTCGAGAACGATTACTTCACCAAGGACACTCTCATTATGCTGACCTTTGACGAGACCAGCACTTACGCGATTGGCAACAATGTCTATACCTTCTTGCTAGGTGGTGCCGTCCCGGAGAACCTCCGTGGTACCACCGATGATACCTTCTATACCCACTATTCCGTCATTGCCTCGATGTCCGCCAACTGGGGTCTCCCGTCTCTGGGTCGCTGGGACTGTGGTGCCAACCTTTTCAAGTGGGTGGCCGAGAAGACCGGCTATGTCAACTACGAAGTTGACACCGCCAATCTGTACATGAACGAAACCCACCCCGGTCCGCTCTCCGATGACGACTACAGCACCTACACTGCCGGTTGGCCCGTGCCTCTTACCACGGGTACTTGCTCTGCCGGCCACGGCATCTTGTCTCAGGTCAAAAAGACCTGGAAGGGGCTGACTGCTACCTTCAACTACACTGCTCCTTTCCCCTACGATTCGCGGAGCAACAGCAACCTTGGTGTTTCTTACAGCCGCAAGCTGGTGAGTCTCGTGTCCACGCTGTCTCAAATTATGCTAACCAATCTTTCTCTGTAGAAGAATGGAAAGACTGAGTCTGGTGTCTCTCAGTGATGTGTTTAAAAGAGTTGTGTCATTTAATTTATTGTTAGTTAGACAGGCCGTGAGCCGACGTATAATTCCCATCATCCCTCCTCCTTGGCGCCATCTTATTTCTCTCTTGAGAATTTTTCTGAGTCAACATAATTCATCATCATTATGCTGCAGCTGATCGGAACGAGTTAGGTTTGTGTGCGACTGAGTTGGCCTGCATTGGTGTGGTGTCTCGACCGCGGTCTACTTGACTCATCGTGGCTGCGGGGTGAGTTGCATCATGTGCATATAAAGCCCTGCTCGCACAAACACAATCTTCGTCTTCGGTGCATCCTCAATCTTCCCATCAAAACAAACCTTTATAAGGATACTCGCAATGAACGAATCGAGTCGGGAACGACTTGCTGCCCCAAGCAATCTGGAACTGCAAGACTTCGATAACAGCGGCGAAAATGCCCTCAACGTGACCTCATTTGAGGACATCCCTGCCGACGGAGGGTATGGATGGGTGTGCACCTTCTGTGTGTTCATGATCAATGTGCACACCTGGGGGGTCAGCAGCGCATGGGGAGTGATTCTGAATTACTTCCTGTCGCATTCAACCTTCCCCAACGCCAGTCACCTGGGCTTCGCCCTGATCGGAGGGGTCTCGATTGGGCAGTGCCTGCTCATCGGTCCTCTGGTCACGCAAACTCACCAGACGGCTGGCACCATGCCCACGCTGCTTTTGGGGACTGTGCTTGTCTCCGCCGCTCTCTTCAGCGCCTCGTATGCCACGCAGTTCTGGCACCTCCTCCTGACGCAGGGCATCTGCTTCGGCTCCGGGATGGGCTTTCTGTATCTGACTGCGACTGCCATTCTGCCCACGTGGTTCAGCAGCAAACGCAGCTTCTCCTCCGGGCTTGCCTCCTCCGGCACCGGACTCGGCGGACTGGCATACAGTCTGATCGCGGGCCGCAGCATCGAGACCATCGGCATCCAGGGCACCTACCGGGTCCTCGCCGCGTGCGCTTTGGGTGCCAACCTCCTGTGCTCGCTGCTCCTCCGCGACCGACCCAGCCCTCATTCCGCGCCCTCGCTTCTACGACCCCGACGCAGTCACTCTCGCCCCGCAGCCACCACCACCCCTCTCTTCTGCAGCCCCACGGAACTCACCCACCTCGAAGTCCTCCTAATCATCATCTGGGGTACCTCCACCGACCTGGGGTTTATCGCCCTCCTCTACTCACTTCCGAACTACGCGACCTCCATCTCCCTGACCGCAAGCCAGGGCTCCATCGCCAGCGCCTGCCTCAACCTGGGACTCGCGCTCGGCCGGCCGTTGATGGGCTACCTCTCCGACCGCCACGGCCGCATCAACGTATCGATGGTCACGACCCTCGTCTGCGCCGTCCTCTGCCTCACCCTCTGGGTGTTTCTGTCCTCGTACCCACTGCTGCTCCTCTTCGCCCTCCTGGCCGGCTCCGTCTGCGGTACCTTCTGGGGCACGGTCGCCCCCGTGCTGACGGACGTGGTGGGGCTCAAGCGGCTCCCGGCCACGTTCGGGCTGGTCTGCTTCATGCTCGTGGCGCCCACGACGGTGGCGGAGGTGATTGCCCTGCGGCTGGTGGATCTCGCTGGCGGCGGGTACCTGGGAGCGAAGGTGTATGTGGGCGGGCTGTTTGCTGTGGGTGCGGTGGCGTTGGCGGTGTTGCGGGCGTGGCGGTTCTATGAGATCGAGCGGAAGGGGGTGGTGGAGCGGGATGGCGGCGTGGGGGAGTTTCCGGGGTTTGGGAGGTGGGTTGCGGTGGAGAAGTTGTTTTTGCGGGGGAGGGTGTGATGGGGGTTTCGGGGGTGGGGTGTTACAAAGATATTGAGTGCAAGTGAGGTTGGTATATGGCAATGGATTATATGGGTTTTCAAAAGCATTGCAACGATTTGATAAGGGATGGTTTGGTAGATTGGATTTGAGGTTATACTGGTTATATACGTCTTCTAAATAGTTGGATTGCATCACATCAACTGGCTGTGTTTATTTTGGTAGTTTGATGTACTGCACGTAGTACGCTTTCCTCTACCCCATTCACTTTGTGCCTCCCTATCCAATCTGTGTGATAAAAGATATGGGTCTTCTATGGTTGTTTAGAGGTCTTGCTGGTGAATGGTTTGAAGTATAGTACATGTATGGCTGGTGTGCATGTGTCACTCAACCCCGCCTTCTCCCCTCTTCTTCTATCATCTCTATCACCATCACCTCAACTACCTCAACCACCTCACAAATCATTTTCAACTTCAGCTTCAACTTGTTCATCAACATCAATCAACCACCACCACCATGCCCATCAAACTCAGTTCCGTCTTCGCCATCCACATCCTCGTCGCCCTCGTACGTTACCCCACCTTCTCAACTAGATCAAACCAGAAACACTAACCCACCTCAAAGCTCGCGATCCTCTCCCTTATCCTCGCAATGTACGTCCCCAATCCCCTTCCCCTTTCCCTCCCCCATCCAGAGATACTAACAAGAAAAGCCTCGCCTGGACCCGCACAAAAACCCTCTCCCTGCCCCTCCCCCCCATCCTCCCCATCCTCACCACCCTCCTGGTCCCCTACACCCTAGCAACCCTAACCGCAACGACCTTGCTCAAACGCACCGCCTCCCCGAAATCCACCCTCCTCCTCCCAATCCTCAATACCCTGCACACCCTTCTAAGCACCATCCTCCTCACCCTCACCCTACATCACCTAAATACCACCGAAGGAATAAAAACATGCACCCTCGACCAAACCTGGCAAGGGTATTTCCACGCCCGCGACGCGGGAACCATCCGCCGAATCCAGGATACCCTGCAGTGCTGCGGGCTGCGCAGCGTACGGGACCGCGCGTGGCCGTTCAAGGATAAGGCTCATGGCGATGATGCGTGTGTGTTGCAGTTGGGGTATACCCGGTCTTGTGCGGGGGTGTGGCGCGGGGAGGAGGTGCAGGCACTGTGGTTGTTGGTGGTGGTTGTGGGGGTTTGTGGGGGTTTGAGGGTATGTTCTGTTCCTCCCCCCTTCTTAGGTATTCAGAGTAAGAGGGATGCGTGAGGGCTGACGTGGTGGTGTATGGGGTAGATTGCGTTTTGGTTCCTACGCGTGCGAGGGGTCGGGGTTCGGTGGGTTGATAAGGATGATACTGATACTGAGGGTGTGGGTGTCCGGCGGAGACGCGAGGAGTATCAGCGGATTTTGGATCGGGAGGTTGAGGAGGGGGCCAGTGTTGGGGGTTATGAGGTGGAGGATGCAGGGGAGGAGGATGATGGGAGGGATCCTGCTGCGGCTGGGGCAGGTAGGCTGTTGCCGCATTCAGAGTCGGGGTATGAGTGGGGACAGCGTTGATGTTGGCATCGATTCGCATGCTAGTGGGAGGATGGAGGATGCACTTGATGGAAGAATGGTCCGTTGGGTTGGTTGCTTAATGTTAATGGGTATGCTATGTACATGATGCAGAGATTGGTACAGGTTTCGTTGTGAATGGCGCTTGAGCGCACAGGACAAATTGCAGTGCTTCTCGCTTCTGCTTGTTGTCTCAATATCGTTGCCACGAGGCGATCCCTGCGGTGTGACTGGGGTCACCATTAATGCTGTGTCGTTGTCTGCTAAGCCTGGCGCAGACAGATCGATAGGGCACACTCGATAAGTGAATTGAAGATATAGGTGAATGGTATCGTTCTCTGCAGGCTCACGCCTTACCATACCCCACTAAATTGCCGTAATACCGCTCGTCCAGGCCGGCCTGCATGCGCGCCTCGGTGTTGAACGGCTCCCGCAGCGCCCCCACCCAGTATTGCTGCACATTCGACCGGAACACCTGCACCGGATCCGTCTGCTCCTGCCCGCAGATCCACGTCAACCACCGATGGCCCGTCGTCACATGGGTGATCTCGTCATTGTGGATGATCTCAAGCGACTGCACGCTCTCTTCGTCGCCCGCCTTGCGGAACTTGTCGATCGTCATCGGATTCACATCCAGGCCCCGCGCCTCATGTACCAGCGCAATGATACTGATCCGCGCGCGCAGGTCATGCCCAGTCAGCGTCGCCGACTCCCATAGGCCATGGTGAACGGGGATCGCCCCGAAGTACGAGCCCATCTCCTCCAGCCGCGTCCGCAGCAGCGAGAAATGCTTCGCCTCGTCGTTGGCGACCTTCAGCCAGTCGTAGAAGAACGCGCGCGGAAGACCCCGCGGTTCCGTGGCCGTGGTGCGGAACGCCGCAAAGCGCACGCAGATGTCTATCGCCAGATCGATCGCCCACTGCTCGATATTCGCCAGCGCGTGCAGCATCATGATGCGACTTTTCTGCGTGCCGCCGCGTCCGGCGCGGGGCATCTGGCCCGGCTTGATGTCGACGAGGCCGTCGCGGGGCGGGATCGCCGGGAGGGTCACGCCACTACCGTCGCCGATCTTCATTTGGTCGCTCGTGCCTTCGCGCGCCGTGAAGGTGGAGAACAGGTGCGCCGTCAGCTCGATCTTGTGCTCCGGGTTCGAGGTGTTGAGAATGTGCGCGCACCATTCGCACACGGTCGCCTTGTCGTCGAGGTAGACCGCCGGGCCAGAGAAAGCAGCGTCGGTTTCTGTGGCTTCTTGAGGAGAAGCAGCCGTCTCGTTGTTCCCGTTTGTCTCATTGCTGGTGTCATCACGCTTGCCCGTTACCTCCGTCTTCAGCTTCATCTTCTCACTGACAGCCTCCATTTTGACCAACCCCACCCCGTCCTCTGGGTATTCCAGCATCACCTGATCCCCGAACTCCACCGCGCCCCGTACATCCACGGGGAATGTGCACGCCTTGATCCCGACACTTGACTCCCCGGTCTCCACGTTGAAGTCGTACGCATGCCACGGGCAGGAGGCCACGTAGGCGGAATCTTCGATATCAATCGACGAGTCCTGCATCGGGCCGCCGGCGTGCGGACACTCCGCTTCCATGGCGTAGTAGGACCATCCGTTGGCTTCATTCTTCGGTGCGGGGGAGGTGGCGGGTGGCTCGATGGTGGGGAGGCGGAACAGCACGAGGCGTTTGCCGGTCGTCAGGTGGATGACATAGCGGGTTTGCGTGAGGGAGGCGAGCGGGGCGAGAGGTATTCGGGACATGATCTGGGTGAATGTGTAGACTCCGTTCGGGGTTCTGTTAGTGTGTAGATGAGTGGAGGAAGAGGTTGTTTGCTTAGCAGATGGAAGAGTGTGAAATTTGAGATCACGTGAGAAGAGGACTGCGGCGGTCTAGACCGGACTGGGAGATGGACAGGCAACAAGTGGAGTCAGCCTTATCGATAAGGCACTTATTATCTCTTATCGGCTATTAGCAATCGGCTAAGTTATGGGGTAAGTAACAAACTGTGGGTTTCTAGAAACTGAATTCCTTTGGCTTTACTGTTGAAAGTTGGCACTCATAGACTACCTAAATGAACAATGCCGTACTTGACAGTGAATGATTGGGGTCTATGAGAGTAAATCATCAGCAAGATAGCTTTGTAAGTCGAGCCATGAAACGCTTGTTAGCTGTATACACCTATACTGTATCGTACCAGAGCTAAAGTTCTGTGATGTTTCTCACTGCCTTAAATCTCCGACAAGCTGCGGGACGGCGGTTCGCCGTGGCTTTGACTACTTGGATAATGTCATCTTTCGGGGCATCCCCGATCTGAAAGTCCGTCGCCTCATGAGCTATAAACTGCCTGACCTTAACGGACACTTTCCCATCACCACCAGTCTGGTTCTTCGTCTTTGCATTTTGCTTCATGAACCGGGCTAGGTTACACTCGCAGAGAAAGTTGTTGATTCAATCCTGTCAGGTCCGCGCATTTACCTTGGTGGGCCGGAATCCACACGCACGGTACTTCATCAACTGCGCTTCTCGATCGATTACCTCCAACGAAATTGCGGTCTGATTTGTGTGGTGGTGGGAGGGGCAAGTGATGCAGTCGCAATATGCTGGCTTTTGATCTTATCTGGGGAGCGGGGGTGGAGGTGCATGTATAGATGGAATAGTAGTGGATAGCAACCGACATCATGAGCTTTACGACTGCTTAAACTCTATAATCCTACTGCTACTTCTGATCTTTGTTTCATTGTTTAGCTTAGATCTGTGAATCGCAAGTGATTCTTAATGATTTATAACTGGCTCCCGGACTGCCAGCCTGATCATGTTTTCTGTTAATAAGGGCTCCCTGACTTCTACATAACACTTGAGCATTCTAGTCTGGATTGGAGCTATAGGACCTGGAGCCTTATTATTTATTTTGAAAATTCTATATGGAAATCTAAATAGCAATAATAGAATCAGTTTTATAATTTATATATATAGTAGACATCTTAAGATGTAGATAGATATAGTTAAACTTTCTAAAAAGATAAAAAAAAAACAAGAATTATAAGGCCCTATATAGCTGGATATAAAAAGATATGAAATAAATAAAAGTATACTATAATCAGGCTCACCTGTATACTTATATATATATATAAACTAAAGCTATAAGTAGAATATAGAGTATAGACAGCCCTTTAGAATTAGTCTCTACTGCTGTTCGCTTTTCCTTTATCTTCAAGCTGTTTTCTGGGATGATGGATGAATTTAGGTTACAGAAGGCTATCTGAGGAATGGGCTAAGAACCACCCGGGGGGAGGGGGCGGTGAGGGCCGCCAACAGTATTTGTTGAGAGCATTCGATCCAAAGTAAGTTAAACCATAACAGAAAATGAAGATCCAAACTTTTAATCAAGTTTTGAGAAACATATGCAATCTCCTCCCAGCAAGAGCTGGAGTAGAACTATCACAAGTTAGTCCCTTAGACTGCTCTGTACTGCACAGCCCTTCTTTTACACCCTTTGATACTCATGGTACGAAAGTGGCGAAATCACACATGAACACTGTGGGGCAGAACTGTGGCCGAGAAGGTCTATTGTACCCGATTGACTGATTGTCAAAACACGACAAGACTAGCTGGATAAGATCAACGCCCTCGGATTATTCCTCAAGATGTAGCGGCGGAAGAGCTGCTGGGAGTCGTCAAAACAGACTCTCGGGGACGTTCTGCGTGTCGAACCCATTGGCCACCCAGTAAGACTGGTAGTTCGTGTTCGGGGCATTACCGTATAGATCAATATCGCTCCCGCTCGAGACAGGCACGTCGAGGTTTATGGGGCTTGGATTCGAGATCCCTTGCTTCGCCGGGCTCGCAAGTCTGGCGGACTCCAACGATACCGGCTCTACAGGTGGGTTGTCCGCATCGCTAGTGCTAGTATTCTTTTTGTTAGCCTGGGAAAGGAAAAGCAAGAAAAGATGCAAGAGGTCTGAGGTGATTGAGAAAGAAACCCCTCGGTGCTGAACACGTACAGTAACCATGGAAAAGCGTCGAACAGATCCAAGTCGGTGCCAAAGAAATCGCCCATGGAAACCAGTGCCTCCTTGGCCATTTTCATGATGTCGGTACTGATGACTTTGCCGGTCAGGGGCCCCACGTGCTGGATCTCGTCCAGGCACTGGATCCCACGCTCCACCGTCGCAAATGTCGCCCGGGCGTCCTCCTGCGCCGTGCGCGGGTCCAAGACATCGTAGAGAAGGGTGATGCAGGCGGAGGCGAGGAAGGTGGCCATCGTGCCGTCGGACCGGATATCCGGGAACCGGCGGTAGTAGACGTCGTGGGCGAGGTCAATCAGGCCGCGGGCGGCGTTGATCGAGGCGGCGATTGACTCCCGGATCTTGACGGGTCCCGTGGCGTTGCTCTCGGCCTCGGCCGTCGAGTTGAAGAAGGTGGCGTACATCAGGCTGGGGCGGTGCATGAGCATGCACGTCAGGTAGTAGATCATCCCCAGGCTGATGCGCTGCACCTCCTGCCAGCTCTCTCCGATGGGCAGATCGCGGTCGTAGAAATGAAGATACGACGGGAGCGACTGCGCGATCGACTTCAACCTCGCATCGCACTCCAGCAGGAGCGTCTCGGTTTTCGACACGTCCGAGATCTCTCGCATACAGTTCGGGGAGTACGTGGCGATCGACACTTTGTCGGCCACCCGGCCGATCTTGGCCACGGCCCGGATCCAAGCGCACTCGACCGTGGGGCGCAGGTACTCGGGCTTGTCGATCTCGGCGCTGGCAATGCTCTGTAGGAAAATATCCTCTGGACAGGCGGTGTCGACCTGATCTTCACACAGACTGGACGGGCGGCCAATGAAGAGGGCCGAGATCTTCTCATTGGCAAAGATGGTCCAGAACGTGACTCGGAGCCGGTGCATGCTCAAATTATGGCCATCCGTCACCTGTGATCGATTAATGCCCAGAGCCAGGACATTGCGAGCGGCGTACCCAAAATACAGATATGCCTCATTGGGCCTCATGATTTGAAGCGCGTACATAGCCTGGGGATGCTCACACGTTAGCGTTGGATGGTGAGTTGCAGTGTGGTCGCGCCAACCTTCAGAAGCATGAAGTGAGTGCCCTTCAAACTCGGTTCTTGGAAGTACATAGCAAAGTTGTTTGCCTTGGTAGAGAAGTGCTCGGCCCACAGATCAACCCAGTCGACGGTCTGCTTTCCTTTGTAGCTTGACACACGGGCGCCAATCGCGAGGACCATGTATAGCAGGTCCTTGTCTCTCTGGACCTTCCCTGGCTGAGGAGCGTCCCACAGCTTGGTCCAGGTGTCCATGATCTCCGAGTAGGCTAACAGGGGCATTTGAGGATGCATGATGCGGAAGTAGGCTTCAATAAACAAAGTGCCCGTATCGCGGGGGAAATAAGCATCGGTCTGGGACGAAGGGGCATTTTCGCTGGTGGTTCCCCTCGAAAACATAAACCTCTCCAGGCCCCATTTTTCCAAGGCCTCGGGGACAGTCGAGCTCCGCCGGAGCGCTTCACTGGGGTGGAAGTTCCTCTTCACTCGCTCATAGATCCTTTGAATGAAGCAAAAGTGTGACGAAGGGCCTGTGAGTAACACGTTAATCATCAGGAACCTAGGGACTTCCGGCTCCCAGGCACCATCTACGCCGGTCCAAACTGGCTTACGCAAAATCTCGTACCATAAAATTGAAATGACCCCGTGGCCTGGTTGGATACCCCAATTCCAACGCGTAGGGCCTGGTGCAATTTGAATTGAACCAGGTCACTAAACACTTGCGGCTGGGGCGGAGGTGGTGGAGGAGGAGGAGGAGGAGGAGGCACCACCACGTCTGTGGCGCCAAGAATCCGGCTGGGAGCTTCAAGTGGACGTGAACTGACTGGTCTTGGGTTCTCTTTGCGCGAAGAGTCTCTCTTCCTTCTGGCTCTCCCTGTCCGATACAAACATTGACGGTGATGCTGTTCACATTTCTGGCAGGGGTGGCTCCCGTTACACCTGATCTTCCGAGACCGACAAGGCTCACAGGCCCGAACGACGTGAATGCGACTGTTCTGGTGAGACAGTGTAGAGAGTAGCCTTTGTACAGGAGCGCCTGGTTGACTTTGCGCCATCTTGCGTGCCTCTTTCCTGGGAGAGGGGTCTTTCCTGTGGCCGCGGCTCTCGGCACTAGTCTGGGATTACAGGGCATGACCGCATGCATGCATGCAGCTCGAACTGGGGACTGGAAAAGGTGTATATCCGAGTGCTAATTCCGTACCGGAATTAACACGGAATTAGCACGAGAGGCCCGCAGAGACCCTTATTCCGAGAATCGATCCACTACTTCCAGCTTGCTAATTCCGATGATCCACAGTGCGTCCCCGAGAAAGAGGGGGCCTGCATAGTTGGAAAGAAATGATGAAAAGATAATCAGGGTTTTGACACCATTGTTTAATTACCCAAACAGCCATGTATAAAAGTATGTCTATCAGATTCTTGGAGTATTTAGTGGTAAAACAACCATTTAGAGCGATTTCGTTCTTCGATGTTGATGTTGTATCTGGATAGCTTGGATCTAAGTCATTTACTGCAATCCTCAGAATCCAGTCGGCCTCATACACTTGACATGTTGTTAATGAACGTTGGTCACACGGAGTGGCCACTGCATCCCGTCCCTCGTAAGGCGCACTATAGGGCGTGAACCGGCCGGGGTTTGCCCGGCATTTCCTAAGCAGAGCCCCATAGTTACTCACCATGGAAGCCAAGCCCCCGCCATTCATGCCAGAGTGTTATCGTCACGCTTTCCAGAAATTTTCTTGAAGCTTTGAAATCACACTCGACTGAGTAATATGCAGTTTACACGGGTGGCATATATAACGCCCCCAGTCCTACACCCAGACGGAAGCGTAACCCACTATCCATCAAGCAAGCCACAGTAACGAACAGTCACCCACAACATGTCCTCGTAAGAAAACCCCCCTGCCTGTTGCTATACTCCCTACCACCCAATCCTAACGCAATACCCTTTCAGCGCATCCGAAAAATACCTCGTCCTCACGCAAACCAAGGGCAAAATCTCCCCGCAGACAGTCAGCGATCTCTTCGACCAGCTCCCGCCTATCAAACCCTCACAGCTCCTCGGCAGCTGGAGTGGGGGGTTCTGCGACACCGGCCACCCCACGGGGCCCAAGATGGAGGAGATCCACTGGGTGGGCAAGGAGTTTCACTCCCTGGATGACGTCGACCCTGTGATTGTGTCCCGGAACGGCGAGAGAGCCAGTTGGGGGCAATGGGGGCGTGCTACTGTATGTTCCGAACTCCCCTTGGCTTTCAAGCCCTACAGCCCATGCTGATATTCGAACCTCGATGGTAGTTACGGGAGATGGTGTACCGTGGGGTTCTGTCGACAGTCATGATCTATGACGACCGGCCGGTGTTTGATCACTTCCGGTACGTGGATGAGAATGTGGTGGCCGGGGTCATGGAAGGGAAGGCGGTCGAGGGCGGGGACTTTTATTTCTACCTGCGGCGGTAGGATTGTGGTGGTTACAGTACAGGAAAGTCCAGTAGAGTAGTGAAGGGCAGTGAAATGAAGTGAAGTGAGAGAACAGGAACCATGGTTCTATCGACCGGGATCTGCGCCCTAGGGTCCTAGGGCGGCGGTGACAACGGGTCGGCTCCACCTCTCCTATAATTATGGTTCTCATCTCGACCACCGCAGTACTACCTCATAGGCCTGCTTGTCATTTCCAGCCATGAAAGCCCTGATGCTCCCCTTCCTTTGGTCAGTAGCATGTTTTGGCCCTGGAGAATATAGCGGAGGCGTGAGGGCGCAGACACAATGGTGAGACTCCACAAACCGAGTCCCCATCTCGGGCTTGGTAGTGACATGAACATCGCGAATCAAACCAAAAGAACGCTCGCGTCGTTGAACCTAAGTATATGCGGAGTAGGTACGCAGAAGCTCACAGGCGCGGTGACTATCATAGCCAGCAAGGAGAAAAAAGAATCAAGCATATATTCAACCAAAGCCAGTCCTCTAAAGTCTATAGTCTGACACGAGTCTATGATAACGCATTCGAAAGCACAAAAAACCCTTCCTCCAGCTACGTGCCAGCTTAATCAAAAATTGATGCCTTCATCGAGTTAGGCTGGATGTACTCCGAGGCATTACGGAAGCTCGTGAACCCCCAGCGGATCTGCGCGGCCATGGCGATCTCCACGTCCAAGTCCTTGGCAAAGTGCCACGCCAGGCCGGTGTCGCGCTGGAACGCTCGTCCGACCAGGATGACGTCCAGGTTATCCTCGTTCAAGATCTTCTCCGCCAGAACGCCGTTGTTGATCATCCCGACCGCCGCGACGAGCAACCGATGGCCAACCGCCCTCTTGACTGCCGCGGCGAAGGGGACCTGGAACCCCGGGCCCCCCTTGATCTTCTGCGAGCTCGAAACGCCCCCGCTGCTGATATCGATCAGATCCACGGCGCCCTGCGCCGCCAGCGCCTCGGCAAAACGGACGGTATCATTCCCCTTCCACCCGGCCTCGGCCTCATTCCAATCCGTCGCCGACACCCGCAAGAAGACCGGGACATCGGCACCCACCGTCTCGCGCGTGAGCTGCGCGATCTCCAGCGGCAGGCGGATCCGATTCTCCCAGCTGCCACCATACCGATCCGTGCGCTGGTTGGAGGAGGGGCTGAGGAAGCTAGACAGCAGGTAGCCGTGGGCGGCGTGGATCTCGATGAAGTCGGCGCCGGCGGCGAGGGCACGCTTGGTGGCCGCCACCCAGGCCATCTTCAGCTCCTCGATTTCGGTCGCAGTCATTGCCTGGGGTACGATGCCGTCATCGGAGAAGGGGATCGCGCTGGGGGCCATGACGTGGTCCGTCCAGCCGCCGACGGCGTTGGTGGCCACCCCGCCGCCCAGCCAGGGGGGCAGCGTGGAGGCCTTGCGGCCGGCGTGCGCCAGCTGGATGCCGATCTTCTGGCCCTGACTGTGCGCAAACTCGATCACCTGCCGGATCGGCTCGATCTGCGAGTCCTTCCAGAGCCCGACGCAGCCGGGCGTGATGCGGCCCTCCGGGACGACCCCCGTGGCCTCGATGATCATCATCCCGGGCCCGCGCTGCGCGATCCCTCCGTAGTGTGTCGTGTGCCAGGGGGTCATGTGGCCGTCGTCGGCGCTGTATTGGCACATCGGTGCCAGCTGTGGAGCGAGTTAGCTGTGCCAGGTGCAGTCTCCTGGTGGGTAGGCGGAGGATGAGACTCACTCCCAAGCGGTTCTGGAAGGTTTGACCCCGAATGGTCAAGGGCTGGAAGAGCTTCGGGATGGGCTTTCCGCTGGTTTGGGGGTTGCGCGCCGTGCCCGCGGGGGGAGTCTGCGCCGGCGTGTAGAAGGAGACGCCCGGAGCGGGCTTGACGGGAACATCGGGCCAGTTCGTCATTGTGTGTGTGTCGTTGTTGTCGTGAATAGTAGATTCCTTGTTCTGGGTATTAGAATGCGTATCTCATGCGCCATCATGCTCAGGCTGTAGATCCAACTTCTTTTTTATAGTCCCCCGGGAGGGTTGCTGGGTAGTATAGCTGTGCTCGAACATTCGGCTCCGCATTGTCTTTTAGGATGATTTCTAAGCTGCGGGGCGTGGAAAATGATTTCCAGCCCCACCCCTATTGTCGGAGACATTAGTAATAGCTCAGGGGTTTGCGTGGGTCAAAGATGGGGAGGATCTGATCGGTGGGGGTCGAAGCTGTAGGGCGTGAAGGGCGCAGCAAACTCCGGGAATCCAGTCTTGGCGCCGACAGGAAGCGAACCCGTTTGGCAATTGACTTTTCTTTCGCTCGGAACCCACCAAGTGATTTAATCCCGACACATGTGGCGGATGGCATGGGCTAATTCCGCCAACGATGATATCACTGCCTGCGGGGAAGCAAACCCTGTGGGCGATGAGAGACTTCCAACGTCATACTCCCGAAGCACCATCGCAGCATACACAATTGCTCGTACTTAAGACCAATGGCGACCATCTAGCAATTTAGTACGGCCCTCATCCACGATCTTGCAGAATTAAGGAACATTCCCCCCGGTAAAAATGCCCTCAGCAATCGTCACTGGAGCGACCGGTATGACCCCTTATCTCCGCCCGACAACCTAACCCTAAACTCACTATCCACTCCCAGGAATCACCGGCAGTGCCATCGTGCACCATCTCTGCAAAGACGACCTATACGATAAGATCTACTCTCTCTCGCGCAGCAACCCCGGGTATGCAAGCCCGAAGGTGCAGCACGCGACGCTGGACCTGCAGAGCTCGGCCGAGGACATGGCCAAGGACCTGCAGGGCGTGCGCGCCGAGTACGTCTTCTTCTGCGCCTACCTGGCGCGCGACGACCCCGCGGAGCTGACGCGCGTCAACGCAGTCATGCTGCGCAATTTTTTACGGGCGCTCGAGCGCACCGGCGCGATCAACCACCTGAAGCGCTTCATCCTGACCTGCGGCTTCAAGCACTACGGCGTGCACCTGGGCCATTGCAAGCAGCCGCTGCAGGAGGATGATCCGTTGCTGGAGAGCAGCAGCAGCACCGCCTGGCCCCCAATCTTCTACTACGAGCAGGAGCGCATCCTCGCCGAGGCGGCCGCGCAGGGCGGCTGGGAGTGGGTGGTGACCCTCCCGGAGGACGTGCTGGGGTATGCGCGCGGCAACTTCATGAACGAGGCCACCGCGCTGGGACTGTACTGCGCCGTCAGCAAGGCGCTCCCGGGCGCCCTGCTGCCCTACCCGGGCTGCAAGGCGAATTACTTCGCCTTCAACACCTGGACCTCGGCGAATCTGCACGCAAAATTCTGTCTGTGGGCGGCGACCGCCCCGCACGCGGGCAATAACCTCTTCAACGTGATGAACGGCGACACCGAGAGCTTCCAGAACCTGTGGCCGCGGCTGGCTAAGCGGTTCGGCTGCACGCTCCCCATCCCCATGTTCCCCGGGGGCGGCGGGCCCGACTCCGCCGGGTTCGGAGACTATGAGGCGACGACGGTGCGGATGGAGAATCCGCATCCGATCACGGAGCAGGAGCAGGCGATCGGAGTCCGGGCGGAGGGATCGCCGACCTTGTTTCTGCAGGTCGATCCGGAGAAGTGGGCAAGGAGGGAGGATGTCAATGTGGCGTGGGGCAAGTTACGGGATACCTATGGCCTCGATCAGAAGGCGTGGGAGAAAGCCACCTGGGACTTCTTGACGTTCGTGTTGGGGAGGGACTGGAGCTGCGTGGGGACGATGAGTAAAGCGAGGAAGTTGGGTTGGACCGGGTATGCGGATACGTGGGAGGAGCTGGAGGAGACGTTGGCGGTGCTAGAGAAGGAAGGCGTTTTGCCTCCGGTGGACAGGCTGAAGCAGGATTTCTAGGTCATATCTAGTAAGGTGGGTAAGAATGAATGAGTATATATAATGATAATAGTTTTCAATGTTATTATGTACCTTTGGGAAGCAGACGACCCTGTCAGCTATAGCGGGGGAACTGCGATATGCTGTGTGCATCAGGAGCTTTTGGGGGACCTCTATGTTTATAGATTTTCATTCGGCGTCTGAATTCTCTGCTCATTTCAAACAGAACAATCAGATATCGCTCAACATAGCCTAGATGGACTGTCAATTTCTTGCGTTGAGTCCTCGATTCCGCTCTACCAGAACAGCTTGCATCAAAGTGCAGTCCCAACATACAGCAAGTCCCTCTCTCCCCACCCAACCTTCAACAAAGTCCACCTACATCATCCCCAGATTCCGAACCCCTATCACATGAGCAAATATACTTCTAGAACTGACTATGTGCTAATAGAAAGAGTATGTTCACACTATTGTCCAGAAAGCACATTCTTCAAACAACCTAACCCCACGTTCCTCCCCGGCTTTCGATTTTCCAGCAAACCTCATTCCCAATCCGAGAATAGGGCTTCCCGGGGGAGAACCCCCGGACCCCCCTTTCTTTCAGCTTCCCGGTAACCTGTATTCCTGTATTCTGGGGCTTCGGGTTGAGGTTTACTGGGGAGCTGAAAGAAAGGGGGGTCCGGGGGTTCTCCCCCGGGAAGCCGGCCTCCCCCTCTCCAAAACAGCGGCCATCAGCCCCTCATTCACCGCAACCTCAACGCCTACCTCCCCCCCTCTCCTTACCCAATACCCATTAATAAACCTGACCTCCGTCTCGCGCCCGCACCGCAAGTCTACCACCATCGAACACGTTGTCTCCCGCGTCCGCTCCAACACCCCATTAACCGTGTCCTCCAACCGGTCCAGCGCGAACCGCGCCGCCACGCCCTCGACACCCCACAACTCGGGCAGTCGCGGCACGATGGCGGATATCTCGTCTAGCACGGCGCGGCGCAGCGCGGGCTGGGTGAACAGGAACTTGTTCTGGGCGTTGTGCAGCGCGCAGACGGGGTTGCAGAAGGCGTTGACGGCCAGTTTTTCGAGTTGAATTTGCAGGATCTCGGCGTAGGTGGGGTAGGTAGTCGCTGTGAGGAGGGGGGAGGTTGGAAGGGCGTCGAGAAGGTAGTCTTCCCCTGACGCTGTCTCTTTGGCGGGGTCTGGGGATTGGCTGGCCGGGCGAGGGACTTTCCCTAGTGAGATAGCGGAGGCGCCGGTGTGCGTGACCTCGAACGGGGTGCTCAGGGTGACGCCGTGGGAGATCACGCCGACGATGTAATTTGGTCGGGTGGCGGGGTCTGGAAAGAGGTGCTCGTTCACCTCGTCGATCATGCCGCAGCCGTTCTGGAGGAAGAGGATCGTCGAGGACGGGGTCAGGCGCTGCTGCAAAGGGCGGAGGGCGGCGACGGTCTGCGTGGCTTTCACGGTGACGATCAGGTGGGCGATGGGGCTGGTTGCTGGATCGTTCGAGGGGGGTGGACTGTGCCAGGCGCGAGTGGTCGGGTTGTAGATCTCGAGGTCGTAGGCCCGGTGGTGGGTGGTCTGGCCGCTGACGGTGTGCAGGGTGGTTCGGCTGCCCCTGCGAATGTATTCGTCGTATAAAGTCTCGCGGTGCAAGAGGAGCGTAACTGCTGGCGGGGTCGGGAGGATCTCGTTCAGCCCGTGGGCTGTGAAGGTGCCAATGCTGCCGAGGCCGAGGACGTGGACTCGTGGCTGCGGAGGGGAGAGTTTGGATGGCATGATTGCGGTCTGCGAATAGCTCCGGCTCAGTGGCTTAGGGGTCGATGGCAATCGAGATTGACGGAGAAGTCGTAACATGGTTTGAATTTGACTTGTAGCTTGCACTGCGTTATCTATCCGAGGTTTGCAATGCTTTTGTCTGTTCAATCACGCCCTACGCCCTACGCCCTGTCAAGGGATTTTTACACGCCCTATGTCAAAACTACGCCCTTCATACCTCAACCAATTCAATTGTACTCTCATGGTATACGATTAGAGATGGCGAGAGTTTATAGACCTCCGATATCCTGTCGAACCCTCCATCCAAGGCCGACCAAAAGTCCATCTGTGGTGTCTGCAACCTCAACCATCATTCCCAAAGCTAAATACACAACTGAGCCATGAAAGAACCTACACAGTGTCCACGTCCCAGAACTAACAGGTCTCCTCTACACCAGCCTCCGCCTCTCCCTCTCCCTCCCCATTCTTCTCACAGTGACACCCTTTAAACGCCGCCAACCACTCGGGATTATCCGCCACCGTCTGATTCCACGTATCGTCCGAATCGTACAGCACCCGCCGAGACTCCCGCTGGAACATCTCATCCGTGGGCACGACTCCCTTCCGCATCTGCTCGCGGGCGAACCGACTCAGATGCAGGGTGAGCACCTGGGTGAACGAGCTCAGCTGATCGGACGCCACCCCGGGCGCCATCGCCTGCAGCGGCGGCGCCACGCTCGGCACGGCGGGGGCGACGATCTCGCGCGCCGCCTGCTGGTCGGCCTCGCTCCATCGTGCCCGCGACGAGATCTGCGCCAAGTGGTCCTGGACCTCGCAGCTGGTCGCGGAGAACGGGATGACGCTGCGCGACTCGGACCCCAGCAGATACGGCGGCAGGGCGTTGGCGACCAGCGCCGCGAAGTCCGCGGGGAACTCATGCTCGCCGCGCCAGTCCGCCATGGTCTGGCCGCACCGGAAATGCTCCGCCAGGTGCTCGACGCGCTCCTCCCAGCTGTGCAACCGGGCGTCGCAGAACCCGCAGCGCGAGGTGATGGCTGACTGGCCGATCTTCCAGCGCTCGAGGTCCGGGGGCCCACCGCCCCCCTTGGTGGGGAGGATGTGGTGGACGAGGCGCAAGTGCTGCATGAGGTGATCCTTGCGACGGAAGGAGCGGCGCGTGCCGGGCTTAGTTTCGCACGCGGTGGCATCGTGGTCGCTCAGATGGGCGGCGTCCGGGTCGGGGGCGCCGCAGAAGGCGCACAGCATGGTTTCCGGCGCGGTGGCAGAGGGAGTGGTCGTGCCGAAGGGGGCGCAGTACCATGCTTCCAGAGTAACATGCAAAGATTTTTCGTGGCGCGCCCAGTCGTACTTGCTCTTAAAGCGATCGCAGCAGAAGGTGCAGCAGTAGCGGCGCAGGGCCTGGGTAGAGCTGGTGGTGGTGGCCTTGGTGGTCTGCTTCCTACGAGGGGCGGTTTTGCCCTTCCGGACCCTGCTGCCAGGGCCTTGGACTCCTAGACGGTCCGCTGCGGATGAGGTTGACCGGCCTGATTGCTGGGAGTCCCGCGACGATGCGCTGGACTCGCCGCTGGTGGTCGACGCGGCTCGTCGGTACTGGCGGAATGCGTGGCTATTGCCTCCCGCTGCGTTGGGACTGATGTTCTCGGGCTCGCTTGGGGCCGTCTTCAGCGCATCAAGGATGTCTGGTATCAAGGCTGGCTCTTCCTCCGGGGGTGAGTTCCGCCATCTTTCCATCGGGTTCAGGTCGCTGCCGGCATTCGGAATCACAATTGGGCCCGCTTGCGCTCCGGATTGACGGGTCAGGTAACGACTTCGACGACGAGGGAGTTGCCGACTCGGGCTGGCAGGAGAAGGATCCGTAGCAGGAAAAGCTGCTCTAGTTGAGCGCAGATAATCATCATTTCGACAAGAATCGCTTAGCCCGGCCCATTTTTGGAACTCAGGAGCGGCGGCGAACATGTGGGGGAGAGCTGATAGTGAATGGTCGTTTAATTGCCCACTTGGCGGCAATGCAGTGAGCGGGCGGTCGAGGCCCAACTCTGCTATAGAAGGCGAAGGCTGATCAGGATAAGCGTTCAGGTATTGGGGGTTTATCCAGTCATAGGCGTTGAAAGACGAAGGATCGGCACGGAGCAGAGCTGGATCGACCGCTTCCACGTGGTCCTCCTCACCGGTCATAGCTGGGGTTTCGATTAGTATCGCTGTGCTGTCGAAACTGGCAAAGGTACTTACGCAGCTGGGCAGTCTGTTGATTCATGCTGGGGAAACTCTCCGGTGTAAGTCGTAGTAATGTACTGTACGGTAGGGTGACTGAGACCGTCCAGCATAACTTAGGGCACCGTTCGAGCAGTAGGGGTGAGGTTACCAACCACTGATCTGTAACTAGAATTCCTGTCTCGGTTCTTGACTCAATCTGCAGTGATTTCAAGGCGTATATTTGCAATGGACGTAACATCAGGAGTCATGACAAATCAGAAGCATATCGCAAGGGTCTGCCTGCGCTGACTCTCCCCATTACATAATCCCCGCCTTAGGCAGCCACCCGCAACTCAATTGTTAACGACGTTGCGTGACTTTGATGTCACTTAGCATAGTATTCTTCTTATTGTCTTGCTGCTTTTTTGTCCTGTCTTGTTCCAATTGACCATCCAACGTATTAGTTGAGTCTTCATCTTTTCTCTTTGGCCTTGCAAAGCTGCTGTATATATTTGGAACCGGGCACCAAGAATTTAATGTTCATCGACACAGCAAACGTTCCACCAGCCGTCTTGGCATAAAGAGTTTTCAAGGCAGCAACAAGAAACATAAGAATTCACTTCCAAGAACATGCCCAGCCTTGCAATCGCCGAAGATAATTTGAAATGGCTGTTGAGATACTGAGGAGAAAAGATGCAGCGATATTTGTTTGAATTGAATCATATAACACAAAATCTCTGGTCTAATATCAACCCAAGCATGTTAGCTCAGGGGAAGAGCGCCGGGCTCATAACCCGGAGGACCCTGGATCGAAACCAGGACATGCTATTACTTTTTTTTTCCCCTTTTCTTTTTCCCTCTATCTTCTTCCACTTCCTCTTTTGCATTTATCACCCATTTGGAGTAAAGAGTCAAAGTCCAGTATTCATCAATTCCCAATTGCCCATGTTGCGGTGGACGACTCCTGATAATTTGCAATTGCCCTTCGTGTGTTCTGCCATAAATCATATCATCTGTTACCTTCCATGTTTAACCTGAATGATATTCGTAACTTGTTGGTCAAGGCATGGGCCGACGGCAAGAGCATGATAGTACCGGCGGTGCTAGCGGACAGGTAGTACGCGGGGAACAGAATGAATGATGTTCGGCAATGAGCTCTCTATTGCTGACAAGAAAAATATCACAACAAGCCACACATAGCCAAAGAGAGAGCGCGAGACAACGCGTCCAACAAGTTGATTCTATCATATACAATGATCGACGGCAATAATTTCCAGCTTTCAAGTTCTATAACCCCCCTCCCCTCGAAGATCAATGGATAACACCGCAAAACCAGTCAGCCACTGGCGGTCGAGAACCGGCTCTTTTGTCGAATCCGCGAGCCATACCGAAAAAACAAGTAGCTGGTTGCCGACATCGATTTGGTTAGTGAATGCCCCTGACCATACGAGCACATGAATGGATATAAGTCGTTCACTTACGGGAATGGGATCATAGCGAGGGTCAGGAACGCTAGCAGACTCGTAGCCCAATGGTAGCCCAGGCGGTTATACACTGCCCACCAAGTCTCGGCCAGTTATTAGCAATAGTCTAGAGAGATAGTGAACGCCTAGCAGGTACTATGAGGATGGTGAAAGGGATATGGATGAACGCACTCTGAACACCGAACAATGGGAAGACACCGGCGAATGCAGACCGGGCAAAGCTGTTGGCAGCAAGGGCGCTAGCCGCGTAGGAGGGGTATGCATCTACCAGGAAAGTGAAGATGCCTGAGTAGACCAAGATCGTTCTGGCCATCATCCATTAAAAACGCTCGATGGTGATGCACTGTTCTGTACGTACCCTGCGCCGAAGATACCACTGCCGATGATCGGGCCAATCCAGTGGACTCGAGGATAGACCGTCCACGCGAAGATGAATAATCCCGCCGTGACTTAAGGGGCGCCGACGATCGCTGGAACAGGATCAGATCTGACGTGATGCAAGAAGCAGGAGATTGCCGTGGCTGTTTGTACATACCAGGCGGAAGTCGCCATTCCGGCTGATATTGAGACTCAGACTCCGTTGCCATTGAGCCCGATTGCGACTTTGTCAAATGCACCCGTTCCAGGCGGGCATAGTTCCACCGCCAGAAGGGATCCGTCAGGATGGCCAGAACCATGCCCACCAGAAGCCCCAGAAAGCTACAGCCCCGTTGCCAGAGTGAGAACCCGTAGACATTCCCGAAGACAATCTGGAAGGCCCCGAAGAACAGGTACAGGATTCCCAGGAGGATCGCAGAGAAGATACACAGGCTCAAGCACATTGGCTCGAGGGTTAGGAGGAGAATTGGGCGATAGATCGACTGTTTGATGCTAGCAGCCACGCTCTGCGTTTTCTTGTCGAGTGGACTCTTCCACCGATCGTCGCCCAGCTCTTTGCGACGAGCGGAGGCTATCTGTTGGAGGAGTCTAGAGCAAAGGAGAAAAAAACGGTCAGACCTGCAGCAAAGGAAGTCTAGGGTTGAGGGAAAGTTGGATTCTACATCGGGTGATATGTTTCCGGCACGACGAAAAATATCGACACGAGCAACGCGCCAACCCAGCCCATCAAAAGGTAAAATGACCAACGCCTGGATTCTTGGTGAGCACGATTCTCGTCAAAGTCCGTCTTAGGTGGGCTACGGTGAATGGACGAGCGATCGGTATGTTAATGCAAATGATTCTTACCAAGTGGTGTACTGGTTAACAAACCCACCAAGTCTTGTTGCCACGGTCAGCCTGCAAGCATAACCAACGTATCCAGAACCCAACTTACAGAGGTCCAATCTCAGGCCCAACGAAGGGACTAGCGGTGTATAGCATCATGGGGGCTGCCAGCTCTTGCCGGGTGAATAAATCCGCCACGGTGCCCCCAGCCACGCTCAAGAAGGCACTCCCTGCGAACCCGCTGAAAAACCGACCGATAATCAACGTTTGGATATTGGTTGCCACAGCACACGGGATGAGCCAGATGAGGAAGAACAGCAGTGAAAAGAGGTAAATCGGCCGACGTCCATAGAACTGGTAGTATTTGATGGATTGGAACAAATGGTTAGAACAAGACAAAAGGCAGGAACTCGGTTGGAGGTTTCAAGGTCGGATCTCATTTCCCTTACCTCGGACAGGGGACCTAGGACAAGCGGACCGAATCCTACCACATTAGACAACGCCAGCGATCGAAGCGAAGCCACAGGGAGGGCCTGGAAGAAGGGGATGAGCAGACCCAGCCCCCAGATGAAGAAGGAGAGTCCCAAGGTAGCCACGATCTGTGAACAGTGGAATTGGTGGGTGATTTGCGCATAGGTCGTGGTGTAGATCGATGAGGTGCAAGTGCTAGTCCCGAAACCACACCAGTAAGCATTTTAAGACCCTCCTTCGATTTTTAAAGGGGTGCGGGGAGGTCCTTACACGCACATAGACCCCAGTGATACAAGAATCACGATCAGCCATTTCCGGATCACATTGAAGTTCCGCGGATTACTAGGGTTGTCTGGATCCCAGTCTACTACAAAGCTCTCTGAGTAATCTGCCTCGGTCCTAGAAGGGCTGCTCGATTCCTTGGGGGGACAACATGCATATCCATCATGTAAAGACCAGCACCGGCGCAGCCCAGGCGAGCCGAGGGACTCAGTGGCAGGAACTTGGCGTGAAGGGATATGGGTCTGTGGTGTTGATGGTGTTGATGGTTCCATTTTCGGGGGCTCACTGTTGGCGGCAGCGTCGGGATGAGGATGGGATAGGGGAAAGGTATGATTGTTATACCCTTCTCATATTGAGACTAGACATTCATTGAACACGTGCGCGAGATATACTACGTATACTCTGACCTACTAAGAGTAGCCTGTGCTGCTATTTGACCTGAACCACCTTCGAGGACATCACTTGGCTACATGTGACGATTGCTCAAGTCTTCTCATGATTAGTCAGTCATATTCGGTCGCATTCCTGATCCAATTCAAATCCCAAGAATCTCTCCACCCCGGGATTAGGAGTAAATCTCCTCGCACAGTTTCGTATAAGTGCTTGTTCCGGTCGGAGCCAGTCGGTGGGGTGGCAGTGGCGTTGAAACTCTTATTCCGAGCTTCCTAATTCCGACGTGTCCCCACATCTCGCATCTCGGTAACCCTAAGCATAGCATAGAACACTATAATTATACGTATCGCGACTCGATGCGTAATTCCGTAACCTTAAATCGAGTTCCTCCGTACGCCTCCCGCCTCCATACGCCTCCCGCCTCCATACGCCTCCCGCCTCCGTATGCCTCCGTGAAGTATTTATCATGGGTCCGTTTTCGTGGCCAAGATGATATACATACACAGATACTTAGTAAAGTACTAGATCGCCGCTTTCAGCAAGTACACTACAGGATAAATAATAGATCGAACCATCCTCTGTCTGCGGTCGCAATTCACAAGCAACAGATTCACAACAGAGTCTCAAGCCAGGGACACTGATCAAAAGTCATTGCCTCCTTGAACTGAATACATCCCACATATCTCCTCTCATTTTACCCCCATTCATCTAGTCCGACATCAAGCATGTCGCGAGCCGGACAGCCCGTCGATGCCTCCTTGCTGGGACGTCCTCTGGAATTCCCTTTCTCCAAGCGGACGGCCCCCAACCGGTTCCTCAAAGGCGCCATGAGTGAGCGGCTGGCTTCGTGGTCGGAAAATAATCTCGCAGCCCGGGGGATTCCCTCTGAAGAGTTGATCGGGGCATAAAAGGTCTGGGGCCAAGGGGAAATCGGCCTGATTCTCACCGGCAACGTGATGATCCACCCGCAGCAACTCGAAACCGAAGGCAACCTGATCATTCCCGCGGACGCCCCGTTCCACGGGGAGCGATTCGAGCAGTACCACAAGCTGGCCGCCGGCGCGACGGCGAAGGGGTCTCTGGTCGTGGCACAGGTGAGCCATCCCGGTCGCCAGACCCCTTACCACCTGCAGCCCCACCCCATCAGCTCCAGTGAGATCCAGTTGGCGGGCGAGGTGCTTGGCAACACCTACGGGGTGCCCCGCGCCGCCACGAAGACGGACATCCGCGAGGTGATTGAGGGCTTCGTCCACGCGGCCGAATTCCTGGACCAGGCCGGGTTTGATGGGATCCAGCTCCACGCAGCCCACGGCTACTTGCTGAGCCAATTCCTCTCTGAGACGACCAACCGCCGGACGGACCGCTACGGAGGCAGCCTCGCCAACCGCATGCGGCTGATCCTGAGATCCGCGAAGCCATCGCCGCGCGCGTCCGGCCCGGCTTCATCATCGGCGTCAAGGTCAACAGCGTGGAGTTCCAGCCGAACGGCTTCCAGCCCGCGGAGGCCCGCGAGCTGTGCCGGACCCTGGAGGATCACCGCTTCGACTTCATCGAGCTCTCCGGCGGCACGTACGAGAACTGGAAGATGGACGATGAGTCCAACAAGCGCGATTCGACCAAGCGACGGGAGGCCGTAAGTGATCTACATCCTTCATCTAACCATCCCCCTTTTGGGAAGACATAGCTAACGTGCTCCTGTCTTTCCCCAACAGTTCTTCCTCGATTTCGCCCAGATGATTGCCTCCTCGTTGAGCAAGACCAAGGCGTATTTGACTGGAGGCTTCCGGTCCGCCAAGGGGATGCTCAAGGGTCTCGAGACGCTGGATGGGGTTGGCCTGGCCCGCCCGCTGTGCTAGGAGCCCTTCCTCTGCCGCGATATCCTGGCGGGCAAGGTTTCCGGGGCCCTGGTGCCCCGCATCAACCAGTATGACTTCGGATTGGCGGCCGTGGCGGCGTGCATTCAGATGTGCCAGATGGGGACCGGACTGGCCCCGATCGATCTGAGTGAGCCCGCCGGCGCCGACGCGGTGACCGCCGCGGTGAGCCGCTGGGCGACGCGCAAGGCCACCGACCGATCTGAGGATGCCCTTCATCCTACAGTCATTGCTGACTATGCGGTGCCTTTGACTGTCTGCGCTTAGAAACATTGTGTCTTCTTGTATATATTGTAGAATGGGGTTGAATAGCGCTTTTCGTTCTTTGGTCTTGTGTTTCCCCCTTTCTTTTTTTGCTTTGCCCGAAAGATAAATTCTACGACGCTAGTTCTCAATTGGGTTGTACCGGTAGTTAGGGTTGACGACCCCGAGGCCGTAAAATGATGTTAAAGATACTTAGACTCATAGTAGGTTTTAAATTTTTACATTTAGTTTTAAAACGCTATGTTATCATTTCCGCAATGTAGTCATATATCAGGCAGTATGAGTTTTACTATATGTATAAGAATAGGTGGCAGTAGTGTTCTTAGCCTAATAACACAGGAGGGGGTACAGACTACCTTCTTCTACTCTAAGGCGTGACGACAGAATCCTGAGTCCGGGATCATAAAAAAGAATGGATGCAGCGAAGCAGTGGATCAGGACTTTTATTCCGCACCTTATTTGTTCTCCGTCACATATAGGTTAAGATAATCAGCTACAGTACGAAGAGCACGAGCAGCGTACTCAAAGGACCTTATGCTCCAGCATCGACTTAACCGTGTCCGTCACACTCGTCTCGAGGTCGATATAGTTCCATCTCCCCTGCGGCGAGCCCTTGGACAGAATATCCAGACTGACCGTCATATCCCACCCGGTGGGGTGAACCCCAGGGGGCAAGGTCTGCGAGGGGTCCCCCGCGGGGACTCGATCACTGAGGGCGGGGAAGTTCTTCCGGATGATATTGACAACTAACTGCGGGCTGAGGAGGCCGGAGATGAGCAGGATCCGCTGGCCCGCCGCTGCCGGGTTTGTCAGCGCATCCACATGGCTCTGCGCGACGTCGCGAACATCCACCTGTGTTATCGATGCCAAGCGGTGAGTCAGTCAAGCGACTCGCCTTACGACAGGGGTGAGAAAATGAAAGCTCGGGGCAGGAACCCACAGAATGATAGAATGGGAACGTCACCCCTTCAATTTGCAGGTGGGTCCCGTCGATGAAACTCTTGATGGCGAACTGATTGGTTTCGTTGACCGATTGGGGCCCGGAGATGGGATGCAGCATTGGGCCCGTGATCACGTCCGGGTTGATGACCACCAGGTCAAACTGCGGCGACTCCTTCGTCACAAACCCCCACGCGGCTGCTTCGGCCCGCGTCTTGGAGACGTTGTATCCCAGCACGGGGTCGTTGCGCTCAATGGCTTGTTCGGCGGTGACCTATACACAGTCATTAACATATCAGCCCTGTGGAAGCAAGATCTCTATTGTACCACCCGGCACTATACTTACCGGGTTCCAATCCTTCTCGGTATATGGCTTCTCCTCCTTGGATAGATCTTCAAACGAATTGAGGACGGAAACGGCACTACCCAGCAGGACGAACCGTTTCAAAGAGCTCCCGCCGTATCTACTGGCGGCTTTCAGGATCTCGGTGGTCCTGTTTGAAGAGATTATGGAATACGAATGAACGCGGGTCCCAATCTAGGGCAAAACAACTGATCTCTTTCGGTCACAAGATTCCGGGAAGGAAGCTCTAAGTGTGACGGATTGGGGCGGGGAGTGGGGAGG